ATTTTTTTTAAAAAATTTCATATTATAATTATCAACAATTAAAAAAATATTTAAAATCCAAATTAATTTAATTAAAATTAATATTTTCAAATTATATATATATTTATTTCCACAAAAAATTCAATTATATATATTTAATATTTTATAATATTCAAAAATTTTATTTTATCAATTAAATTTAAATATTTAAAACATATTTTCATATCAAAACATCGAATTCCTTCCTTATTTAATATATTTTGTAATCCTCAATAAAATAAATATAAATATTCAATAAGAATTAATATTTCAAAAAAAATATTAAAAATTTTATATCAAATTACTATAATATTTATTTCAAATTGTTTATTATAACGAAAGGAATATGAATGTTAGACCTTTCATACCCCTTTTATTATAAAATTATCCCACTACATGCCCAAAAATTTAATCAAATTTTGTGATATCGGTCTAGAATCTCGTCGTGTTTTTACATTATGTCAAACAATGTCAAATACATGTTCTCAAAATCAGCATTTACTAATCAACCGGCCATTGACACAACAGGTTAGACAATCAAATCCTTTGAAGCTATTGGGCTATCTTTCTGTGCTTATTTAGAAGGGGTTATAAACACTAGCCTAGCGACCTTATATTACATTGCACTGTAAGTTCCGACTGAAACATACTAAGCGTACACGCTAAATCTGCAGGAAATGGAAGCCTCAGATATTATTGCAGGGTATACCGCTGATCCAAATTGGTCAAATGTGGCTTGTGTTTGTGTCAGGATGTAGGGGAAAAAACGAGACCTAAAACGAGACCGCTGGGAGACAAAACGAGACCTATACTATAGGCCTATAGGCATTCTACTCATGTACTCTCCTCTCCTCTCCCTCTCCCTCTCCCTCTCCCTCTCCTCTCCTCTCCTCTCCTCTCCTCTGCTGTAGATTCTCTACTTTACCCTGCTCTTCTTTACTCTATATACTCTTCTCTACCCATCTCTGCTCTATTCTACTCTTCTGTGCTCTGCTCCTGTCTACTCTGATCTACCCTTCTCTACTCTATTCTATTGAATGCCCGCAACACAGAAGTTTCTCTGCCAATAAACGTCGTTGAACAATAATGGAGTGAAGTACTGCGAGAATGGGACACGCTTCCTAGTCAAGACCATCGTGCCAATGTGATTTGGGTCATAGACCTCAAGCCTTCAACAGAGGATGATGTATAACAAAACTTCCCGCAGATGTGAAGCATTACGGCGCGAACTTTGACCTTCAGAATGAAAAAACCATGCGGGAAACATCCTGTCTTAGCACTTGACTACAAGCCACATCATTGCAGGAAGGGGTATTCAAGTTTGAACACCTTTGAAAGGATTCAAATTATTTTGCGTTTAGCGATCTTTTTGTCTGATGATAGTGGGCAATCTACACAAACGACCCTGCAGGAATAAGGGTGCCCCAAATGAATCCCAGTCCCAGTCCGAAGCATCGTGCCGCTGCGATTTGCATCAAAAACTCAACATGCCCCAAAACATATGACTAATTAATCTGGGATAAGGTGTCTAACAGCATTTCCCATAGGCACGACGGTTGCGGGACGACTTCTCGTAAAATGAGATGAGTAAGGTCTACTACCCAGTAGCATTTTGATTTCATCCGGGTTCCTTTTTGTCACGCGCCTTCGACCTGTGCTCGGGCCTCCACGCATGCTATCGCCATGCCATTTGCACAGCTGGATTGAAGCTGCCCTTTTGGGCTGTTGAAATTCACTTCAAATCGGCGATTTGGCCAGGGATTTCATCGATTTCATCTAGAGGTTTTTGCAAAGAAACTCATTGGTTCATCTCTGCATCATTTTCTGGTTGGTGGTATACCTACCCCTCTGAAAAATATGAGTTCGTCAGTTGGGATGATGACAGTCCCCATATGATGGGAAAAAAAATCCAAATGTTCCAAAACCACCAATCAGATTTTCAATATTCAAAAACCAAAGAGTTAAGGTATTGATTTGGGGATTGGTCAAAACCTATTATTAATTACCCTATGACTGAGGGAATAACCGCCCATTAACCAGCAAATCTAGGGTACCATCCAGGTAGGGTTTTGATTCATAGCCATTTCGGCAAGAATGTTGGTGACATCTCCAATCATTCTCGGATTATCCCTCTGACCCAAAAAACCATCTCTTCCATCTTTGAACCCCAGCTTTTCACTAAGCTCTGGGAGATAACAACGATCATTGGTGAGGTGACAAACTCATTATATACCGGTACATGGGTTATATAATAGTCGCGACCTGGAGACCTCAAAAAAAACTTTGGTTTGGTTTTCCAGATCAATTTGATATATGCTCGCTCTAAACCAGTAGATTCCAGGGGATTCATTGTGAACCCATAGATTTCTGAAATCATTGATCATGTGTGGTCATCTGTGGATTTGTGCGCCTGTTCCCAATCTTAGATACACTGCAAAAAAAAAAGTTTTGCCGGTTAGTATGAAATCCCACATGGAACATAAATATGCATAAATCGGATTCTCAAGTACTCAAGCAGCCATCGAGTCGTTTAAGCCAGCAAATCATCATTTATTGTGTGGGTTGGTAAACTCAATTCATGCCCCCTTGGCTTCTTTGTTGGCAATATGGATTCAACCTAACCAAACGATAGAACATGGGATATCTTGGGGGGTTGATATAGTGTCATGGGGATGTTAAATGATGGGATTACGAATGGAACATACGAACCATGATTTCCCAAGCTGGATTTACCATGATTCGAAGTCCTTTTGACTCATTAAATGGTACCACCAATATATATCTATAAATATAAATATAATATATATATATATATTTAAATTACCATGAATTACCTTAAGGTATCTATCAAACTATGGCAATTCTTCCTAAAAATCACAAGAAAATCCATATTTTCAACCTCTTCGACCATCGCCGTTATCGAAACCCCCGGGCCCCCGCTGCCCGTCTCAGCCCGACGCTTCCGCTGCCGTCGGCGATGTATTGCCCAAGGGCTCCGCGCGCGGTTCGCGGGGCGCAAGCACTGGGTCACCGCTCTCGGGTGCTGGGGATGGGACACCTCGGTGGATCTGGATCCTTGGGGCAGTTCCTGCGTACTAAGCGGATGGGTTTATAGAACATATATATATATGTAAATATGTATGTATGTATATATATATATTATATGTAAATATATATATATACATATGTATGCATATATCTCGGACGGCTTCCGAGTGGTGCGTGCACAGCGGTGGCACTGCAGCGCAGCACGGGGTTCAATGTCCAACAGGTCGCTTCGTACACATTTCAAAGAGGAGTGCAGTAGTTTGCGCCCGCCCAACTTCTATAGTATGCCACAAGCTGTGGGGCTGCACTAGGGTACAAAGTTCAGATGTTTCCAGCAGGGAAAGAGGCATTCTCGGCGAACCCTGCCTGAAACTGAGATGGCTAGGCATGGCTATTGTCAGGCACGCCCACCGGTCCAATAACCAACCAGTGTAGTTGGTGCTAATGCTGTCTAGCAAACCAAGGTGACCGAAGCAGATCTAAATTGATCGGCTGCTTAAACCAAAACATTGGAGAGATGGGGTGCGGCACCCAGGTCTCCAAAATCTATAGGCCAAAAACACTGGAAATGTGACCCATGTCCGAAACGCTTTTGCCGGCAAGGTTGTGCCGCTCCAACTTTGCTACCGCCATGTTTCTGAGCCGGCTCACAGCTCATACAATCACTGTCGGGTGCTGCTCTATATTGTCGCCAACACGCCCAGAAGCGGCATAGAAGATGACCCACGCAGCTATATAATTCAAGGCTTGCCTGCACGATCCAAACATAACTTTGGGCAGCGGACTGCAAACTGGGTCTGTCAAATCATAACATCCTTGCGGCTGACTTGCAGGCCGCGCCGCCCCAAAGTCGCTGTCGAGGTTGAAGTCATGCATTGCTTTCAAGGAAGCTGCGATGCCAACAGGCAAGTTGCACATAGTCACGCATCTGGATGAAGTCGCGAACCACCAGGCGCCCAAAATGCAGAGCAAAGTTTTGAAGGTTGCCAGCACACTGGCATTGGGTGGCTGCAGGGCACAGTGATTGGTAATCCCATCTTGCACATGGCCAGGTTTAGCCATGATCCTCTTCCCAAGTAGCATTCGGGATGCAAAACAATCAAATGCCTTTTTGACGAAAGGACCGCACAGCGAGGAAACGGAGCCATGCTATATGTATGCATATAACATATAACATAAATTACTTTACTTCGTGTGATCCCCACCATGACATTTATACATTTTCTTACTGGCAAAACTTCTGGCATTCTATCTGACATATCTTCTGGCATTCTATCTGGCAAATCTTCTGGCATATCTTCTGGCATTCTATCTGGCATTTCTTCTGGCATTCTATCTGACATATCTTCTGGCATTCTATCTGGCATATCTTCTGGCATTCTATCTGGCATTCTATCTGACATATCTTCTGGCATTCTATCTGGCATATCTTCTGGCATTCTATCTGACATATCTTCTGGCATTCTATCTGACATTCCATCTGGCATATCTTCTGGCATTCTATCTGGCCGTTGAGGTCCGGCAGTGCCCACTGGGATCTGGAGCTCGTGGTTGAGGTCCGGCACTGCCCACTGGGATCTGGAGCTCGCGGTTGAGGCCCGGCAGTGCCCACTGCGACCTGGAAGTCCCGGTTGAGGTCCGGCAGTGCCCACTGCGATCTGCAACTCGCGGTTGAGGTCCGGCAGTGCCCACTGGGATCTGGAGCTCGCGGTGGAGGTCCGGCTGTGCCCACTGGGATCTGGACTGTGAGGAGGAGGCGGCGGGTGAGGAGGCGGAGGAGGCGGAGGAGGAGAAGAGCTCTGTTAAAATCTAGCAACCCTCACCTGGCAGGTGGGGAAAAATATAACATATAACATGTAACATATACATATATACATATACATACATATACATATACATATACATATATATATATATATACATATGTATGCATACAACATATACATACATATACATGTATATATATATATATTCCCAATTTATGGTGGATTAGAATCATATGGCTATACCATTTATACCAGGTGAGGCAAGTTGGTGCAAATCACTGGAAAAACAATGGGTTTGTGGCAAGTATAACACCCTAGTTGTTAATGGATTTATATGAACCACCTTATAGCTGGTGGCTTATAAACCAGTTATATGTTTAACATGTTTTAACTACTAGTGTCATTAACTCCAATTAACATGTTTTAACTACTAGTACTACTAGTTTTCTTCTAATACTGGAGCTACTGGGGTTTATAAACCACCAAACAGAACTGGCAGGCCTCGCAAGTGGTTGATCAATGGAGAAATGCCGGAGCTGTCTTCTCACCCACCACACAGGGACAACAGTTGGGAAGTCCAAACAGACCGGTACTAGTAAAACACACACATATATATATATCTCATAAATAATACATTGCTTACAGTATAAATGTAATATATACAACCCACATATATATATATATTATATGTAGAGCTGGGGAACTGAGAGGAACTGGGGCACACTATACTTACGATCCACTTGGTAACATTGGGGATTACACCGGCAGAATGGGATGGTTGCAGGCGCCTGATGGATACAACTGGATGTTCCTAACGTCCTTTTACCCCAGACCATGAACATCAGAAATTGCTAACGACTGACTACAAAGAACTCGTACAATATTTGTAAATATAATCATCACCATTTTTTTCGGTTTACGGCACTGGTAGTTTATCACATTCCGATACATTATTATATACATATCAAAGCTATTCTTTTGGTAAGCTCAGTAGTAATCGCCCAAGAAATGTAGCTCCTATGAATTGATATTGATTGGTGCCACACTTCTTAATTCGACCAATGCAAACCACACTGAGTTGGTGAAGATTTGTTTCACCGGTATTGTCCCACACATTCTCCATTCATGTCCCTGACGAAGAAACCTTTCTTGATGAAGAATCGGTTTGTGTCCGCCCAAAATAGTGACAATTATCAATAATTGTTGAGAATATTTGAGAATATGGTACCAAAATGGTACCCCGCAATAATCAACAGCACAGGAATTTACATTCACCCGGGGTCAACACAATGAAAACTCCTTTAGAGATCATTTTCCAAGAAACTCATAGCAGTTATCCAGATCTTTTTCGTGTGAGTCAATGAGTCAAGTTATTAAGGGTAGCCTATGGTAATTTAACATAGCGAACTGGAAAATCACCATGTTAAAAGAAACAAATTGGAAAAATTGGAAAAATCCACGATAAATGGTCATTTTCCAGTTCGCTTTTTGTATGTTTACCAGGCCGGGTGGGTAGGTAACCCTAAAATTGCTGATCTGCGGTTGGTTAAACCAACCGATGACCCAATGCCGCTGGGCCAACCCCACTGCTTTGTGCTGGCACCTCAGTGATCCCGGAGACCCAGGGAATTTTCCACCGATTCCACGGAGATTCCCCGGGGCCTTTTTTTGGAAGCTCTGATGCTCTGAAATTGCGGGGAAGATGACAACCTGGTTGGTGGTTGAGCCACCCCCCTGAAAAATATTACGGTTTATTGCGGTTTATGAGAAGGCACGGAGGCAGCGAGCGGCCTCCGCACCCATCCGAGCTGCGAACACTGCGGGTCATTGCCGACAAGGTGAAACCGCGCCAAAATCTCTATGAGATGCCAGCTGGCGCCCCATTGATCCAAAAACATGAGAATCAACCATAGCAACTTTGGAACTAGGCCAACGCAAATAATAACAAACCACAAACTTCGCAATAGAATCCCCACAAGGCCGAGCAACCTTATTCGGAACTTTCAACCCATGATTCTTCAAATAAGTCCCCCAAATGGAAAGAAAAACGCGAACCCTTTCACCATAATTGGTCACACACGCTTTGGGAATCTCATGTTTTTGGGCATACCACTTTTTGCGGTGTACAAATGGCCCCTCGTGGCCCGTGCTCCATGTGAAATCCAAAAACAACTGCAAACCAGATACCAGTTTGATTGCCTCAGTGCCAGCAAATGCAGCTGTACCACATTCAGACCACCACGCATGAATGGCATCCACATTGACGCGCCCATAGCGCTTCCACATCTTTTCTGGGTTTTTCCACACCGGTGGGGTCGGCAGTGCAACTACCACAGGCGTACTAGCGACAGGCGTACTAGCGACAGGCGTACTAGCGACAGGCGTACTAGCGACAGGCGTACTAGCGACTGGGACAACTGATTTGGTTTCTTTCTGCTGGGCCCTGTGAGCAAAACGACTCTGTTTCAGTAGCATCTGCAAAACTGCCATGTGTAGCTTGCGCCGCTCGGTCAGCGCAATCGATAGCGCATCCCACGCTACCCAAAACTCGTCTGGTCGCCTTGTGTTCACCGCAACAGCGGCCTGATCAGTGAGTTGGTTGTGCCAATATGCCCATTCCTCTTCACAGTTGGTAGCGGAGCGAATGCTGCAATGTGAAACCACTTTGATAATCTGCACCTCAATCACCCCCTCATGCAAAATTGAGGCAATGGCTCTCCACAAATCTGAATGCGCTTTGTTAGGTTTGACGACTCCTCCTGAAAGCAGTCTTCGAACCCCTTGAACCACCCCCAGACAGTCACTCCACAACCTGACTCGTAGGCACCTCTGAGATGCCCATCGCAGTGCTTCATAGACTGCCATCAATTCTGCACGAAAAGCCGATTGACAAAGGCCAGTAACATGTCCTGCAAGAGTGAGCTGATTGTCCAACACACCAGGGCCACCACTGGCCAGAGTCACCGCCCAAGCCGCAAAACGCAGCATAGGTTCTTTTGGGTGAGCACACGTGCCATCAAGAAACAAGTCACACCACTGGGAAGTTGCAAGTTTGGGTAGGCCAACAGGTGACATCCGTGAGAACCCTGAATCCTGAAGGAGAAGACCGACAAAGACACGCCACTCCTCAAGGACAACGGCCCAACCATGGACAGAGAAGCACTCCGGCAAGTCCAAAGCAGCACGCCTCTGGGCAGGTGTGAAATGACCCCTGCAATGCTCAAAATGGACACAAACCCAAGCCCGATGCAGAAATCCATCTTTTTGACCACACCAAGGACAAACATCTGAGACGCCAGGTTGGAACTTGGCCCTGCCGTTTTGAACAAATAACGTCCCGTCAAGATGGCAACGGAGATAAACTTGATCTGCCGGGCTGAAATGCTCAACTGCTTGTTGGGTAGCGACAACATCAACCGAGTCCAAACCACCAAAGGTAGGCCGATGGGCGGCTTCAACCGAAAGAACATGAGACCAAGCCAAACGCATACGAACACCAATTTCATCCCACGCCGCATCAAACAGGGAGAAAGTACCGAGACTATCTTGGATAAGTCCACCACCTCCAACGACCCAACCAAGGCGACGTATACGGGACAGCAACACCGCGGTTGGCCCATTCTTGGGCAACATGTCTGCTGAGTCAGTGAAAAGCCCAAGGATTTGCTCCATGCGCTCATAGCCACCAAGTTCCCGCGCATCCCGAAAGGTCTGACAAATCGCCCAGGCTTCTGGGTCGGCCAAAAACTGACCACTGGCCAAGTGAAGGACAGGGTTGGCACCCTTCCGCTCTGCACGCAGGCCCCTCATGGCGCCCGACCGCAAGACCCGATAGTGAGCCTGACCAAGGTGCACGACCGCAATCCCGTGAAGCGCACGGGGCCACCCCAAAATTGGCAGTGCTTTGAGCTTGAGGTGATAGGGAGACAAACTGGCACGCAACAAAGTCCAAACCTGAGGCATGGTGCGCAGGCGCTCTTGGAGAACAGAATTCCAACAGTGACGTGTGAAGTTCTGGTGAGCCCCAAGGTTGCGGGCAAAGTGAGCCAGTGTTACATCAAAATCACGCAAGTCAGCTCGGGCTGCACCATCTGTACTCCAGAGGCGCGATTTCTTCAAGTCCAACGACAAATCCATGGCAGTCACAAAGTCCTGAACTTTAGACCACAGCAAGGGGAAGTCCAAAACTGAGTGGAATCTCAGCCCCCAGTCATCGATGAATGCCTTCAAGTTGATCCCTTTGTTCAGCTGAGCTAACCACAAGTCCAAAAGCCAATCAACAATGATCATACCAAAGACAGAGAGGCCACACCCCTCAGGAAGTCCACAATTGGAGCCCACTGCTTTGCCAACTGCCTGCCGTACCTTGAACCTACGTGTCTGGGCCGACACAAAGCAACACCAAGCCCGCATCACACCGACAGGAAAATCCATGAGCCGAAGTGCAAACCAAAGGGGATACCTAGGGATAGCGTTGAACGCTTTGGAAATGTCCAACAACACACCATGCACCGCACAGCCATCAAGAAACGCAAATTCCAATGTCTGTGCCACATCATACCAGATGGCTTTGGCTTGCCTCCCCGGTACCCCGCCCTGAACACTATCTGGGATCACCGCTGCAACAGTTCTGAGAGCTTCCCTGGCTCTCTCTGTGGACCAAATCCGGTAAAGAAGGCTGTACACCGTAACTGGCCGAAACTCATCAACATGTTGGGCTTGAAGGTGTTTTGCCAGGCTATTGACATAGCCCGCGGCCAGTTGCTCAGGCCAACGCTTGCCCCCCTCAACCGCTTCAAACATAGAAACACAAGCAGCCGCTGCCGTAGCAGGAAGTGCAGCCAGGTCAGGCTGTGAAACCCCATCCGGACCCCTTCCAGACGTTTTCTTCTTGCGCGAAACAGCCGTTACAAATCGCTGCAAAGTCCAAGGTTGCGACTGCCACTCAAGTGGTTTCATCACACGCTCGGCAAAACCACAGATTTGATCCCATTGCCCCGGTGAAACATGATGGGCTTTGTTCCAGCGGGGCTCCCAAACATCATGAAACCGAGCAATAATAGCGGCCTCAGATGTGGTAGCCTTTTCTTGGATCAGCAACTGGCCAGCGACGACCCCCGACACATCTTCAACCCAAATCTGATCGGCCTCATGATGGATGACCTGCATGACACGCCCTTGGACAACAACGGGAAGGTCAGGCAACAACCGAACCGCACGCACCAACACGAGTGCACTCTCCTCTACCCGCACCTCTTCTATGGCCACCTCAAGACGGTCAATCAAAGTATCAACCTGTGGAGCAGGAGCAAGCTTGCAGTCACTGAAAACATATTTAAGGCTATCAACGCGACGTTGTTTGCCAAACTGATATCTGCGCTGGGCAAGACGGATCTCATATTGCTTAACCCATGCCGCCATAGACTCAAACATAGCCCCAAGGTCAGTAGCAGAAGGGCACACCAACGGAAGTCCAACCGGCCAGACGGGACTCAACCCCTGCACGCCCCACCAGATGCCAAATCCTCCAGGAAAGCCCGCTGCAAACCGGATCGCCCTCCAAGTAGCCTCTCGGTTCAACTGAGAATTCAAGGTACCAAGTCCAGACCTAAGCTGTTGAGACAAGGCTTGAAGACGCCTCAATTGTTTGAAATACCTGGCATGTTGGAGGCTAACCCCGAGGAAAGTCGGAGCAACCTCGCCCACTCTGGCTTTTCGGCGGGGTACCTGATAGGGCTTTCGAGGGACCGTTTCCAAAGTTTGACCCCTGCCAAGTTGAGAGCGCTTGCACACAAGTCCATGGTGCGAATTCCACAATTGCGCTTGCGTTTCAACCTGATTCCAAAACTTGGCATACTCAGCTGTCAAGTCACCCTCGACATCAAAATCAACTGAACAAGTCCCATCAGATGGCCAAGGATACTGCTGAGGAACACGCCAGTAGTCAAACACCCCACCCCCCGGTGAACGAAAAGAAGCCACAACTGCAGCATGGTCAGACCACATGTCATGATGTACTTGGACGTCAGTCAGCAGTGCCTGCAACTCAGGAGAAATCCAAAGCTGGTCAATGCACTTCCGTCCTCGACTCGTAGGAACAACCGACCGCCCCCACCAAAGTGCTGCAAGTGTTTGCACCTCTCTAAAGCCCAAGTCCAAGAGGCGCTGTGTTTGGTCAAGCTCGGTTGCTGCAAAATTGAAATCACCACCTATGATCCTTGGTCCTGTGCTCTGATACCCAACTCGTTCAACCAATTCGGCCAACAAGACCTCAGTGGTATACCTGGCCTGTTTGTGTTGTGCATTGGCAGTGACACCGTACATCATCCCAACCGTAATCCATGTGTCTCCAACCACCATCCCGGCAACCTGCAACCTGGCTGTGCTGTAGGTATGTTCAGCAAACTGTTGGGGCAAGGCTCGCGCTGGAAATCGGCTCAGCAGCATGACACCTGTATGCGAACCTGTGCCATATACTGATTCCTTGAGGGACAAGGAGCACCTGGAACAACCGATTGCCAAGGAGACTGCACAGCTCTCAACCCCTTAACAAAACCTCGGACCCCAGTCACAGAGAGTTGGGTTTCACTCAAGATCCAAGCATGTCCGCCCATGTGAGCGACTTGATCCACCTTCGTATTCAGACCCGAAGGGTTGGCAATTCCAAAAGTCCAGATGCCATTCCCTTCGGGCCCCGGATGTGATGCCTCCCCAACCCGCAAAAGAAGTCCACTCAAAATCGCAAAGAACAACCAGCTCCTTCGAACTGGTCGGGAACTCTGAACCGCACCTGATTCTTTCCCAAAAGCCCAGGCATAAGTCCGAGTCCAGCCAACGGGCCAAGTGCAAGAAGGCAGCTGCACACAACCTGCATTCCCCGACCCAAGCGACTGAACAGCCAAAATCCAAAAAGACATGAAGACCACCGGAACGGCCATGTAGCTGCCATACCATGTCATGAGCGCCAAAACGAACCAAAGCAAAAAGGGCAATGTACCTCCCACCAGTCCATCCCAATTGTTCAGGGAAGGTTTCCAAACAACTGGGCACCCTCACTCAGGACGGTGGCGCTTCGCCAAAAGTGACTCAAATTGGCTCATTTGCTTATGAAACATGCTATCCAACATAGATTGTTGATTCACGGACTGCTGTCGGAATTGTTCCTGGAACGATTCTTGGAAAGCATGCAGTTGGGAAGCATGGCTGGCAATTGCTGCTTCAAAATGGGCACCCTGCTGCTGCATCTGGTCACGAACCTCATGAAGTTGCTTGTTGTGGTCAGCCGCATGTTGGGACATGGATTCCTGCAAGCATTGGGCATGCTGCTTCAGCTCATGCATCTCTTTTTCAAGGTGATCAACCCTGGGATCATGAGTCCCTTCACTGTCAACATCCATGCTGGCACGAGGGAGCTGCGCCAACACTGCTGAGACAACTCGTTGTTCCATGTCTTCCAAAGGATTGTGCAAGTGCACTGTCTGCGGTGCAAGCTTCTGAGTCCTGGGGCCTGGCTTTGCCCAGGGATCATGAATCTGCAGCTCATCAACCATCTGGTCAGAGGAGGCCTTGGAGACAGTATTGTGAGAAGCCACAACTGACGGCAGAGCAGGTGCAACTTGGGCAACTTCCGTTTCACGAGTCACGACCACATCTCCATGCGACATCCTCAGCACCTTTTTGGGGGGTTCTGCAATGGCTTGGACCCGAAACATGAGCCCCTGCACTTGTGTCCCAGTGGAAACCGGCTGCAAAGGACGGACAGTCCATCCGAAATCACCCAGTGTCTTGGTCAGGGATGACCGCAAAGTACCATAAGGCATTGGACCCACCAGAAAAGTCATTCGATCACCTGCTGGCAAAAAGACCTGTTCAGGACGGATCTTGGCTGAGAGAGCAGCCGCATGTTCAACTCTGCATCTCAAGCCAAGTTTGGCCCCAAGACGTGCGACGCCACAGACCTCAGGCAGTGTCTGTCTCTGCATGACCAACTGACTCAAGGAAGTACGTGGAGTCCAAATGACCTGAAAAACCGTTGAGGGTTTTCGGCCACAAACCGTTTTGGGTTCAGCAAACACCCCTTGGGTACCACTAAACTCCTGCACAGAAATTTGAAGCGTTTCTGGAAGCCTCAAGTGAACAGCATAAACTTCGGCTTCTTCAGGACTGCAAAAGGCAAAGGTCTGTTTCATCCACTGCCGACCCCAAACTTCAAGGATAGGAGAATCAACTGGAAACTGATCCGTACGGTGCCAAGCTTCACACCCTGGACACTCTTCATCCGAACAAACCTGCAAAGGACAAACTTTTTGGATGATGTACTGCAACGGATGAGCCACAACCTGATTCCAATCACCGACAATCATGTCCCGAAACACCATGAATTTGACGACGCAAGTCGGGATAGACTGAACCTGACAGCCAACTGTGGAATCCGGACGACAAACCGGGGTGGCACCAAGTTGAACCAACAAACCTTCCACCAATAAAGGTTCGGAATTCTCAGCACAGATCAAAGGCAAAGTCACAACCGTGGAACGCAACCCCGAAGTCAGCGGAAGGACAGTGTCAACCAAAAAGAACGCAAGTGCACCAGTGGACACGATGCTGGCTGCCCGAAGGTACGGTCCAGCCAAAGCCAAAGTGGTCAACACAACTCCAGAGACATGCGATGCAACTTGGGGCAAAGACACCTGAGCAAGCGGGGTCCCATCAGTGCTCTGAAGCAAACCAAGTTCCAAGCGAAGTCGAGTAGGATCCAAGGACGACACAACCCCTGGCTTTGAGCCTTTTCCTTTGCCTTTGGCATGTTTATGTGATTTCTGACCAACTGATCCCTTGCCCTGTCGCTGTTTCACCTTTTCATTCAATTCTGAGGGCTTGACAATCAGGAACGGTGGCCTCTGCTGGTTTGCTAGCCATTTGAGCTCCCGCCAAGGATTGACTGCAGTAAGCGCTTTGGCCACAGGTCCATCCCCCAAGGCACAAAGAAGGGTCTGAGCACGCAGTTTCACTTCATCACCAGCAACCCCTTGTTGAACCAACAAAGCACACAACGCTTCCAAGTCAACCTGACCAAGACCAGCAAGACGGGGCACCATGCACTGCTGAAGCAACCCAGAGGCAAAGTCCAAACGCAAGGCACTAGCCAGAGAGTTCACAGCATCCTGTGATCGAGGCATTGGGGTTTCCAACAGTAAATGACGCACAAACGCAATGACAGCCGCACCACAGTGGGAAGTGACCTGAAATCCAAAATCCAAAGAAGTCCATACACCAAGCTGTCCATTCCTACCAAGTCCAGGAATCTGTGCCAAGGTCTGCATCACTGAACCATGAGACTCCTTGATGGAGCCAGTGAAGAGCTTGCAACCAACCTCATCAAGTCTCCACACCAAAGGGACCCAATGCTGATCAATGACAACTGCAGAAATCACCGTCACAACCTTTGCCAACACTGCAGTGAGCTGCGCCCATGTGCCAGGGTTGTCAACAAGCACAAGCCCAGAAATCAACAAAGGATCCCAAACAACCACATTCTGCAGCTCATCAGCCGAAGTTGCACAGTGCTCAAGCCAATAGAGCAACTCATCATCACCCCATGTAGGTCCCTGACGCGAAAGGATCTCCAGGCGCTGCGCCTGGGGCATGACAATGCGACGCAAGTCCAAGAGCTGGCCAATGCTGGTCACTTCAGCGCCAGGAGCCACTACCGCTCCAAGCCTGTCCCCTTCAGCAGTGCAATCTTCATCCAAACAGCACGCAACAGCTTCTACATACTGCGACCGCACATCCCATCCAGAAGGCACCAACGTCACAAGCACCTTTTCATCCAACGATTTGTTCAAGTCAATGGGATCACCATTCACAGTGACCTCAAAGTCAAAGTCCAACGTTCCAAGCTTGGCTTCAGCAGCAACAAGCTGAGCACAGGTGGTGCCAGTCGGACATCTGATGGTTTGGATGACGTCACCATCAGCAGGACAAACCAAGTCAAGCTCAAGCATTTCAGCGTCAACCTCAACAATGGGGTCAGGCACAGTAGGGGGGATCGGGGGAGGCCACTTTGCAAGACACCGCTGCTTCACTTCATGGACATACGCAGACAAGACCTGGTGAGGGCACAAACGGTCAGTGCAATCCAAAAAGGAATCCAAATGGCGACGGATTTGGGCGAAAATCCAAAGCCCGGCAATTGGAGAAACAGCTTGTCCAATTCCACCCATGGCCAAGCGCAAGTGAGGTCCAAAATCAAGCCCTGGCATTCCACCCATCAGACACAACATTTCTTCAGGGTGCAAATACCTACAGTGTTCCATCACCTGATTCATGTGGACCTGTGAACCTCCTGTAGGCACAAGGATACCAATCAATCCCCGATTCTGCAGCCTAGCCTCACTCAAAGCAGGTCTACAACCACAACTGCAATCATAGAGAGCATTGCCAGTGCTGTGCAACAGAGTAGGCAGTTTGCCGTCCGGCTGCAAAAAGGCATTTGCAATCCCACCTGAGGCATAGCTATAGTACTTTGCCAACTCATACAGATTCAAACTGATCTGCGCTTGTTCGTGTTCAGGCCAAGTGTGCATGACAGGCATCAGAGCTCGGACCACTGGACAGACATTCAAGGCAGGCAAATCCACAAGATTGCAGGCACCCAACAGCGGAGCACAAAACAAGCCAAACCAACGCTCACGCCGACTGCACCAAGAGTTAGAAAGCTGGACCAATGTTTGGGAAACTCTGTACCCTGTTGCTTCAGCAAACTTCATGATGATGGTCTGTGCTTCTTGATCTCTCATGATGGCAGGGGTGCACTCAAGGACAAAACAAGCGGATTGCAACATGTAGGCTGTCTGAAGAGCCTTTGGTAAGCTCAGTGAACGTGGGTCACTCATGCCAAGCTGATCACCCAAGATGGAATGAGCATTGCAGCTGATTCCTGCACACAAAACACCATGGAGGCAACCTCCTTCAACCAAGGTTCGAACAATGGCCGGATCATTGATATCACCATGCAAGAAACAAGCATCAGGCTGATGAAGCAAGCGAAAAAGAGGCTCCCACTTAGCGTTATGGTCTACTCCAAACTTCAGTCTCATGCCAACCCTGCCAAGCAAACACGAGAAGCCACCAAGTCCACAGCAGAGATCGACAACCTGAAACAGACCAAAGCGAACACAAGGCGGAATGGCGTACACATAGGAGGAATCCACAATGCTGAGATGAATCGGACTCAAAGAAGTCACCTGTAGGCCAAGACCCCCCAACAGCTGACCAGAGGGAAGACTACCATGCACCCAAATCTTTGCCCCTCTTCTGTCAGCACTTTGAACTAGATGAGGTCCAGCTGGGGTGTCCCCACGACAAACCATGGAAAAGACCAGTTGCACTTGAGAATCCACCGTAAGATCACCCCAATTTTGAGGTACCATGGCAACCACCTAGTACAACTACCAACCCGACTTCAGTACGCACAGCTGAACCTACTGGAAGGTATCGGGCCCCAACAGCTTCTGAAAAATATTAGTCAGTTGGAAGGATTATCCTATATATTATAGAAAGGTAAATTAAAGGACCGGATAACCCCACAAGGCAACTTCTTCCAATAATGAGCACCAAAATGTTGTAGCAGGGACGGGGAAAGAAGGAAAGGCAAAGGAGGTGGTGGAGGATCCAGAAGTAAAACAAAGTTGTGTGTGACAAAGTTGTATGTGAAAGATGGTGTGTGACAAAGAAAGATGGTGTGTGTGACAAAGTTGTGTGTGAAAGATGGCGTGTGTGAAAGTAGTGTGTGAAAGAGAGCGTGTGACAAAGTTGTGTATGAAAGATGGTGTGTGTGTGTGAAAGTTGTGTGTGAAAGAGAGCGTGTGACAAAGTTGTTGTGTTGAAAGATGGTGTGTGACAAAGTTATGTGTGAAAGATGGTATGTGACAAAGTGGTGTGTGAAGGATGGTCTGTGACTGTGTGTGAAAGATGGTGTGTGACAAAGTTGTGTGTGAAAGATGGTGTCTGAAAGATGGTGGGTGACAAAGATGGTGTGACAAAGTGGTGTGTGAAAGATGGTGTGTGACAAAGTGGTGTGTGAAAGATGGTGTGTCAAAGATGGTATGTCAAAGATTGTGTGTGACAAAGTGGTGTGTGAAAGATGGTGTGTCAAAGATGGCGTGTGAAAGATGGTGTGTGACAAAGTGGTGTGTGAAAGAGGGTGTGTCAAAGATGGTGTGTGAAAGATGGTCTGTGACAAAGTGGTGTGTCAGGTGTGTGGCAAAGTTGTGTGGCAAAGATCGTGTGTCAAAGATGGTGGCCCAGTGCCGTAAGTGCCAGGCCTGCCACGCGAAACGAAGGTGGATGTCACCAAGTGCCACGCTTGCCACACAAAACGAAGGTACATGTCACCAAGTGCCACGCCTGCCACGCAAAGTGCCGCGGCATCACCGGCGACTGATCCCAGCCCAAGCGCGCCAGCAGAGCCAGCCCAGTGCCATAAGTGCCAAGCCTGCCACGCAAAGTGCAGGTATATGTCGCCAAGTGCCAGGCCTGCCAAAGTGCCGTGGCGTCACCGGCGACTAATCCCAGCCCAAGCGCGCCACCAGAGCCAGCCCAGTGCCATAAGTGCCAACCCTGCCACGCGAAACGAAGGTGGATGTCGCCAAGTGCCACGCCTGCCACGCAAAGTGCCGCGGCGTCACCGGCGACTAATCCCAGCCCAAGCGCGCCACCAGAGCCAGCCCAGTGCCATAAGTGACACGGCTGCCAGGAAAAACGAAGGTGGATGTCACCAAGTGCCACCCCTGCCACGCGAAACGAAGGTGCATGTCGCCAAGGGCCACGCCTGCCACGCAAAATGCCGCGGCGTCACCGGCGACTGATCCCAGCCCAAGCGCGCCACCAGAGCCAGCCCAGTGCCATAAGTGTCATGCCTGCCACGCAAAACGAAGGTATACGTCGCCAAGTGCCACGCCAGGTGTGTGTGAAAGATGGTGGTGAAAGATGGTGGTTGACAAAGATGGTGTGTGAAAGATGGTGTGTGTAAAAGATGTTGTGTGAAAGATTGTGGTTGACAAAGATGTGTGTGTGTGAGAGATGGTGTGTGAGGGATGGTGTGTGAAAGATGGTGTGTGAAAGATGGTGGTTGACAAAGATGGTTGACAAAGATGGTGTGTGAAATATGGTGTGTGTAAAAGATGGTGTGTGAAAGATGGTGTGTGAAAGATGGTGGTTGACAAAGATGTGTGTGAGAGATGGTGTGTGAGAGATGGTGTGTGAAAGATGGTGTGTGAAAGATGATGGTTGACAAAGATGGTTGACAAAGATGGTGTGTAAAAGATGTGTGTGAAGAGGAGGCGGCGGGATGCGGAAGGAGGCGGGGAGGCGGGGAAGAACCCGGGATACAGAATCAAAAACAAGAACCCCACACAAAGATGTGGGGAAAAATGTTCCAAACCACCAACCAGATGTAGTTGACATAGTTTAAGCATTGCACTACATCCAAGTGCACAAAAAGATCAAGGTGACATGAGGCCGGTGAGGCCCTGCTTGGTTAACGTTTGGCTTTAACTGTGGCGGATATTGGCTGATACAACGAGCTAGTCTGGATCTTAATGGGGTCTATGAAGAAACATGACTGGGATACTGGGGGGACCTCACCCTGAAGATGCGTTTTTCAATGAAATTCTATGTTGTTTCAAGAATACCAAGATATCAATAGATATCATACACTCCAACTAAGGTAGACCCTGCCAAATAGTCTTCGTAGACTATTTTCCTCAACAAAGTTGGCAATTCTCAGGGTCCAAACTGTGAGCCGGGATAGTACCCTCTGGTAATCATCGAACTGCATGGGCCACGTCCCAGAGCCATATGAAATCACCAGTACTTCGATCTATAGATTTATAACGATTTAGAGAATATTGAATGTTGATGAATATTGTATATCCTATAGTATCCCGTTATATATATATATACATACATTATTATCCTATGATATTCTCATCAAATCCGAATGAGCTACCCTCTGGTAATTTAACAGTTTGCTATTGAAAATGGCCATTGAAATAGTGAGTTTTCCCATTGAAAATGGTGGATCTTTCATGATCTTTCCATAGTTATGTTAGTTTACCAGAGGGTAACATCTCCTTGTGGTTGTTTATAGATCTTGTGCTTCCCTTCCCTTCAGTCACCCTGCTCCGAGGTCGCGGCCACACTGCCCACCATCATCAAGCACTGCCCCGGACGAACCAAGTCCTCCGCGATGTTGGCGACTTGGCGACATCCCCAAGTTCTTTCATAACATCAAATACTGGTTGGTGGTGCAATAACCATCTTGAAAAATATGAGTTCGTCAATGGGAAGGATGACAACCCATATATGACATGGAAAATAAAAAATGTTTGAAACCACCAACCAGAATATATAAAGAAGCTTATAGGATCCCACTACTTTGATCGATCATGACAGATGAAAAACACATATATTGTATGATCTTTTGTTTGATCAGTGCAGATTATTAGAGATATTATATGATATTATCAATATTATCCAAATGATATCATTGATATCATCATTATTCTTATATAGGAATCCCCGAGAGAAGCTGCCGAAAAAGTCGTTCGGCATCTATGACTTGGGCTTAAGTTTTTTTAGCTTGCTGAGCTAGAACTCCTTGGATTGGAGGGAAATGGATGGAAATGTGGATATGGATGGATATGGGCCTGATATGGGATATGTAAACAAGAATATATGATGCGTTTTTAGATGTTTTTAGTGGTTTTTTAGATGTTTTTATTGTGTTTTTTTTTTTCGATGAAACTTTAGTGGCTTTATGGCTTGGATATCATGCTATCATCTGATATCATGGGATGCCCCGCAATTTCAATTTCAAAAGGGACAATTGTTCTTAGTGATGGAATGGGGAATGGGGTATCCTATTTTCAAACAATTCCGTACGCAAAAACACTCAAAAAAAATCACGCTACATGTTCACCACCTTAGTAGGATTGTTTGCTTGAATCTTTTTGGGTTGCTACAATACTAGTAGGATCATTGAGAGGAAACACGACTTGAGAGTTATTTTTGTTTGCCGATTGTGATGGGGAATAGTTTATACCCGTACAAAAGTCCAGCTGGTGGTTTCAACCCATCTCAAACAAACTATTTATATATCCGAAACAATCATCCCAAAACGTGTTTCAACATAAACACACATACTACTGCAATATAGATACACATACATATTATATACACATGACCCTACAAAGCAGAATAGATGTTGTGATCTTCATATCTATCCAATGTTTGGCTGTTTCATTTTGATCATTTTGACCCATCCACACTTAGAGCAAAGAGGAAACCAGTTGAACATGATGGAACACTAGTTCCTTAATGTACTCAGGTGATGATAGAATCAAAGTAAAACGGAAAGACATGGTTACAATATGTTATAATGAACTTAAATACCATAGAACTATCTAATGGATCTTCACAAAATAGGGAGAGTATGACTGTCGTCGAAAACATGGCTATAGGCCTATAGGCTATATACGAAGATCCATGAAGTCCTGTGGTCACAACTTACCCTCTGGTAATTTAACATAGCTATTGAAAATGGCCATTTATAGTGGATTTTCCCATTGAAAATGGTGATTTTCCATAGTTATGTTAGTTTACCAGAGGGTATATTGCGGTGCTCAGTTTACCACAACCTGAAGTGGGCAATGTGTAGTTTAAACATGTTTCAACAACCACGTACCCTCCGGTAATTAAACCTGGCAATGGTAAATCTATGTAAATTTCCTATATTATAATGTTGGTAGAACAATAATGAACCAGCCCCCAATTCACCATAAATAGGTGGTATAAACCATTCCCAAATGGGTGGTTTATTATTGTTTTAACCACATTTTTGTGATATTTTTCATGGAGGTTTACTGCTGCTATACGGGCGCTGGCCCCTCGAACATCATCGGTGGATTCTCCAGCCTTAAATCATCCATTTGAAAAGGACTTTCCATTACCCATGACGGATCCATGGTGCTGGTATATATATATATGCTAACATAAAGGGGGTATATTGATGGGATCCATGATACATAATGTTACCATAGCATACATGGATCCTATGGGTTATAAACCAACCACCTATTGGGGATCCCCATGGAAACCTCTATATCTCCAGGGTCCGGAAATAGCTATGACTGGTACCTGAACTACCCGTCCCCATCGTTGCGAGTACCTCGAGTACCCCAGTCCTTGATTTCTTGCCATGTTGGCTCATTCACCGGTGGGGACGTATCTTCATTGATCGGCAACCTGCGCTTGCATATCTTGCATGCCCCGTGTTTGGCTTCCGAACACCAGCTCCTTTTAAGCGACTGTCTCGGTTCAAGAATTAGGCCAAGGAAATAAAACAACTACACAATGATCTTCGGATGGCAAAAACAGGTTGCCAAGGCTTGTTCAGGATCTGAAAATTGCTTATACCTCGCAAATTGCAATTTTGATGATATAAATAATGATTAACTATTTATCTAGCCACAATTATTGGATTTAGAATGATTTGGATGGATTTACGGTGCCACATGTGCCACATTTTTCAGACAAATCCATTCCTAACTTCACCATTCTTGCTGATGTCGGTTTTACGCCAATGATCTTCACGTCCTTCCCGTGAAATAATCCTGAAGGGTAAATCTATAGTTCCCATTCCTTTGAAGTATTCCCCAAATATCTTCAGAATTTCCCACTTCCGCCCCATATTAGCCGTGATGGTCATATCTTCCGGGACAAACTCTGGCAAACAAAATGACTAAGTGGACCTGAAATCTGTCTGCCTTTTCCGCTCAGCAGCGATGAATCTTTGCGTGGCGCCCAATCTTTGGTCTTCCAAATCTTTGATGCCCCGAACTACATCGCCCAGGGCTCGGGCTCCCATTGGTGTAGGCAAATGACCCAGCATGGTGCATGTTGCACTGTGAGAACATCGACGGATGAGTCAAGGGCCATATGGTTGCGAAGAGTCAGAATGAGTTTTCATGGTGCCCCATGGTTTCCACCGTTTCTCGTGCTGCTTCCCATGGTTGATGCCCAAGGTCTTGGTGAAGCTGCCGATATCAATATTCAAATACGTGGTTTTCCCATACCATCTATGGTAAGGATTGGTAAGGTATGAGTACAGTAGTTTTATGCTACAATTTCTATCAATGTGTCGCATTGAGAATCATGAATCATGATTACTACGGGAAATGCCTAATCATTAATCTTTGATCATTGAAAACCCATCATTGTTGGAAACAGAAAGGCTGGAAAGCCCCCAGTTTTGGCATAGGGGATCCCATTCCATCCACTTGAATAGCCTCATGGATCGCCATCATTTTCAGACACACCCAAGTAATTGTCATATTGCTCGTGTTGATATATAATATATATATATATATTTTTTATATATATTATATATATATTAAATATATATATATATAATATATATATATATTATATCATGATATATCCCTTATTATATCCCCATCCGATCTGACCGGATGCGAAACTACCATAGTCTAACATGGCCTAGCGGCTTCTGACTGTCACATTCCTACAATACTTCCGGTGTCATCAAACATGGTTTGCTGGAAAATCACCCATTTATATACATAGACTTAGAGATGATCATCCAATAATAGATGAGTTAGTTTTCCATCAGTGCAATGATTTCCCAGCTATAAACTTCTATCTACCATAGAGAGCCATAAACCATAGTAGTCACATCATGATTCATCCAAACGCTTGTCAAATGTAGTATCCAGCCTGAATCTATTGGATAATCATATCTGATATTTTTCTAGATCGTTAATTTTATCTATATAGATTATATGCAATTCTGTATATATATATATATATTATATATATATGGGGGTGGGTCAAAACCTATTATTATCAATTCTAATGGGATGAACATCCATTTACCAGCTATTTTGATGTTCACCAGGGGTACAAGGTTTTGACACACTGCCATATATATATATATATTCGTTATTCAATGACATCCAACAGGTTGGCGCCTTCGACCCCCTAGGATCAGCGTCTGCCGTATGGCAGGAACTCCTGGCGCCCGGAAAGGCACCCTCTGGTAATGACGAACATAGCTATTGAAGCCATGGCCATTTAGTTCGTTGATTTACCCATGAACAATGGTGATTTTCCATAGTGAACTGTTAGTTTACCAGAAGGTATGTTTTTTTTTCTAGGGGGAACATGATGATTACCCGACCTGGAAAACCCGCCATAGGACACCCTTTCAGAGTTTTTGACGGTTTTCACGTCCAAGATTACTCAGAGTTTCACGTCTTTTGGCTAAATTGCGTTCAAATTACCTTCACATTGCGTTCAAATTACGTTCAAGTTGCGCAAAACTTACGAAAAATCGTCCCGGACAACACTTCCTGCCCAAACTTTCCAGGAAAGGGTGTCGTAGGGGTGCCCCAGCTAGGGTAAGCATACCAAAAAATGTGGAACCCTCAGCTGTCCTAGGAGAAAACTAAAATAGATTTGGAAAACCCAAAGAAAATGATCTATATACAACTGGTAAGTTTTATAGTTGTCCACATCTATGTTAGTCTGCAGGAGGGTAGCTATTTTTCTTTTTTGGAGGGGTATCCTATTTTCGGATAAACCAACATACTGTGAACATAGGGGATACATAGGGGATGTTAACATGGGGATTTAGCTAAGAACCCGCGGACTTCAACTGCAATTTTAGGAGTCGTTGTCACATGTTTTCACATGTTTCAAATAAAACTCAAAGTGACATTTTGGGACGTTAAAAACCCATCAAAAAACACAAATCCAGAGGTGATATTCCCAGTGACATTCGCTCCTCAACCGAGGTGAGGTTAAATATTCAAGATGTTCAGAGATTTTACCATGACTTCCCAAAATATTGATACGATTTAAATTAATGTTAAAGTTACTCGATTAATCGGGTCTTCAAAACTAAGCAACACAATATTCACACATGAAAATGAAATTCATTGAACATCGGAAATTCTCCAAAATGACCGTTTGAGTGGGGCAGAATGATACCATATTAGTACCCTCTGGTAAACGAACAGTTCACTATGGAAAATCCCTATTTTTCCTGGGTAAATCCACGAACTAAATGGCCATTTTCAATAGCTATGTTCGTCATTACCAGAGGGTACATCCCATTAAAATCACCATTTTTGTTGGTTAAATCCCATTAAACCACCATTAAACCACCATTAAACCACAGGAGTACCAGAGGAGTACCCTATTTTTTCACAAAGCCACGTCTCCGAACGCGACCCCTTCGAAAGGGAATCAAGTCAGTCCTGTAACTCGATGAATATGCGCACGCAGCTCGCTGATCGATGCAAAGTCATCCTGGGCTGGCGAGCGGATGCGGAACAGAAGAAACTGATGGTATGTGGATGGATCAAAGCTATTATACAATATGTACGTATATATATATAAAATAATATAATATATATGTATATATATATATATACACCCTTTTGGTGCAATCAAATGTGGTTTGTTGGAAAAATAACCCTGAATTTTTCAAGGATTGTCTCATTCAAACGCCCATTGATAGGGGATTTCCCGTTGCCACGTTTGATTTACCACATGGTACACAAGTTCTTCGTGTCATTATTTTGGGGCCATTTGAGAAACCCAGCCCTGGTTCTCTTCGACTTCGGAACTCCTAGCGTCCAGTCATACACCTCCAATTGGGAAAAACGAGTTTCATGTCGGGTTTACCACACTGGTTGGTGGTTTTAACCATCTTGAAACATATTAGTCAATGGGAAGGATTATCCTATATTATGAAAAATAAAAAATGTTCCAAACCACCAACCAGCACAGTATTGTCCATCAGGCAATTAACCCAAAATCAACTACAACTGAGCCCAGGTAACCACCGATGTTCTGCGAGACAATAAAGAAAAGCACCTAGAAAAACACCAAACACATCCAAACACCTTCAAAAACAAAAAAAAATAGGTATACCTTTGTGAATATGATGAAATCTGGATTTTCTATCAACTTCCAGGAAGAAATGGAAAAAGAAATCCAAGCATCCAAGTTGACCGAGAAAGACTGACCGGACCTGGAGCGGAACCGAAAAGATCTACCCGGAACCCTTTGGTTCAAAAATCCCCAGCCAAAATAAGATGGGAAAATCATCGAATAATAGGAAAATCCATCCCAGATGCTCTATGGTGCTGGAATATTTACCTACATTTACCCCAAAAATGGCCCAATTTTGTTGGTAAATATTCCAGATTATTCCAGCACCATGGAGCATCTGGGCATTTATTAATCCAATATACATCTGGAGGTTTTCAATGGGAGCTTGAGGTGAGACGTGTTTTCTGTAGTACTCTTCGGTACCCTCTGGTTATGTCAAAATAGCTATTGAAAAGGACCATTTATAGTGGATTTTCCCATGAAAAATTGTGATTTTCCATAGTTATGTTAGTTTACCAGAGGGTAATATGTACGGGAACGTTCTGTAAATAGACGTTATCGGATTTTTTCAAGGAACGGTGGATATCATCAGCAATACTTCTGACTAATTTCCCAAGCTGAAATGTTCGTAGTTGGGATACTTATGCTGTTGTAATTCATCCTGATAAGTGATGTTTGAATCAAATCGTTTGATATACTGGGAATATTAACTATATTATATACTACTAGTGGTTTTAAACATTTATTTTTTAATACATATATAATTAATATATATCATGTATATATATATATACATAACATATTCAGTTCAATACTGGTTTTCGAATTATCCAGTATATATATATAATATTCTAAATGAATTTCAAATCACACATCGAAGTCAACTCATGGGGATGACTCACCCACGACTTGGCTCATGATTTTGACCTTATCTTGACATGATACTGTTGGTTTGTTACAGTTAATCTCATGATGATGTTTATATATGTTAATATATATATATATAATCTATATATATATATATCATATTTCATTAATGGATCTTGATCATTTCTCTCGGCATCCTGTAAGGTGGTGCCTGCCAGTTCTAAGTTGGTTTTAAGCTGTTTAACACCCATTAATCATGATTAACTAGGTTGATATATCTACCAGACCCATCCAAAAGCCAATTTTTTCAATGTTAGTTCTCGACCAACTCAACCATTAGGAACTGGGGCACCATTCATCTCCGATCCAAGATCGATCTACGGCAATCTATCTGGGCAACACACAATCCCCATCACATATTCTCTATATATATATATATACACTGTATATTTGCCTATCATTCATATGACACCCAGCAAGATTCCGCATTGCTTTCTGTGGCGGCTGGAAGTCAAACACGAAGGTATGCGGCCCCATTCGATTTCAGGGCCCCAGTGAGATCCCTAGAGTTCCCCAACCGACCCAGCGTGACGTTTTTCCGGGTCCCCCAGGCCAACGTAGCTTCACCGTGGGCGGTCCCACTCTGGCCTGGCAAAATCATAGAATTTTCTGGCGAAGATCATAGAGATTCATAGAATTCGAGTAAACAATGCACAATGCCCATATGCTCTATGTATGGTATATTTACCTTATCTAACCTACAAAACTGGGTGATTTTGTTCGGGCAAATGTTGGTAAATAGTCCATACATTGAGCATATGGGATGGTAAATGATATGTAAATATGGGATAATATGGGGATATATATATATATAGTAACTATTACAATTATATGGGTGTGTATGATATTTACTACTGGATACAAAGTTTGTGAATATCGCGACAGGAAGCCTGAAACTCGCCAACGGTGGCTTTGGCATGGCATCAACGTCATTCCATGATGTTGTTTGTTTGCTTGCTTGCTTGTTTGATTGTTTGTATGTTTGTTTGTTGTTTTGTTTTGTTTTGCTTTGTTTTGTTTTGTGTTGTTTTGTTTTGTTTTGTTTTGTTGGTTTGTTTTGTTGGTTTGTTTTGTTTTGTTGGTTTGTTTTGTTTTGTTTTGTTGGTTTGTTTTGTTTTGTTTTGTTGGTTTGTTTTGTTTTGTTTGGCTTTGTTTTGTTTGTTTGTTTCTCTGTGTGTTTGTCTGTTGTGTTGTTATGTTTTGTTTTGTTTTGTTGGTTTGTTTTGTTTTGTTGTGTTTTGTTTGTTTGTTTGTCTTATTTGCTCTGGGGATTTGTTTGCACAAGGGATTGTGATAGTCTCCAATGTATGAAGGGTACTATAAACTTATACTGTAATCGTCAACCAACCCATATATGAGACCAAAAGGGGGTTGAATGTAGCCACTGCTCAAATATGAGCTTGAAAAATAGTTGGAAGACGTTACAATTTCCTCTGAATTTGTAATGGTTGGATCATCCCATTTTGTGGCTAAGATCGGTGAAATAAACCAAAGTTTCTTCTGATGCACCCCGCTCCATGACCATGGCTACAATTCATAAATCACAACCAGTCCTACATTCAAAAACCTCGGGGGTAATTATGCGTTCCATGAGACCCTATAATATATATATAATATAATATATAATATATATTATAATATATTATATATATATCCTCTATATATATATATATACATTGTAATATCTCCATTAATATCCCTACGTGCTGATAATTGGAAGTAGGACACTAGGCCAAGAATCCACTTCCATGATATCCATACCATTTCAAACTCACTTTCGCCTTTTTTTAAATCAAACACAACCGTAGAAATCCCGGTACAGTAGTGGATCTGCTCACTATTATTAAGCACAGTCCCAGTCGTGGGGGTATGTTATCTGCAAATTTAGCATAATTTATTAACATAAAATGAGGCCCCATATGCGGCTTATAAGGTGAGTAATCCCGCTTGCTATTCCCATCATTTCTTTGGTGATGTTGCGGTGAAGTCGCAACATAATTTGCACAGAACTATGGTTGGTTTAATCCCTATCCATATAATCCATATCTATTCATTCCTATATACAGTATATATAGTAATCCCCATTTTCCTGCTCCCAGCCTTCCGCTGTACAGGTAGAGGAGCCTCGGAAGTGAATGGTGGCAAAGTGGCGCCACTTTACGAACAAAGATGGGGTAAAACCAACCACAAGGTGGATACCGAAAAATGTGGGCCATACCTTGCTAATTAATTAAGATTCGAATTAGATACTCCTGATTCCTGATTACTCATGGCCTCTATGCAAAGACCTTCTGCTGTCCGCAACCGTAGGCTCTGAAGTTGCCTCATTGCATGTGGCACTTCCGTCTGGAGGCAAGCTGTATCCAAATCCGGATTTCATTCACAGCGTTCCGACGCAAAGCTCTCCGTGCCACGGAACAGATCATCAATTCATCACATGTAACAACTTCACATCCTGCACCGAGTTGTATACAATGTTCCTAACGTCGCTGAAGCAAGGAAAAAAACATAAAAAACTGGGCTGTTTTTGGCCAGCAACATAATCAGTAAGCACACATATGCAATGTTCCTGCCCATATCCCGCGGTTATGCAGGCCGTGACTTGGTGGGTTGGACCTATACACCCCCACATTGAGTGAGGATTGGACGAAGAATCATGTCACGCCACTCATTTACGGGGAAAATCATTGTATAAATATATGAATTACATATGTATGTGGTCAAAAAAGGAAAAACATGGACTATTTTGGGTTGTCCAAACAAACGAGCCCCCGACGTTGTAGTCTTAATGGAGAGGAAATGCTCATCAACCGTCAGATTCTGGGGTACAGTACTATCTTTTTTTCACACAAACCCATTTCGGAGACCTAAAAATGGCATCTTACTGCAAATCTCACAGGTGCTGTTCGCACCCACTACAAAAAAAATGTTATGTGGGGATTATATAGCACAAACCAAAAACAATTGCAAGCAAGTAAATCGAACAAATCCAACAATACGGACAATTGTCTCGACCTCATTGGCTTCTCCAAAGACAACACAGTCCATGTTTATCCTTCTTGGGGGTGCATCCTAGTTGGTAAGTTATTAATCTACACCAAAAATAACTGGCGAGCAAAAGCGCGTATTACCCACTTAGCAACTGGTATGCACATCCAATGATCTTATATATATATAATATATATATACATACACAGTATACATATATATATATACATATTATATTATATATATATATCTTGTGTGATTTTTATGGGTTACCCTCCTGTAATTTCACAATATTTCACAGCTTGCTATGGAAAATCACCATATGTTTAATAGGGAATCATCATTAATCCTTGAACAAAATGGACCATTTTCCATAGCAAACTGTTAACTTACCAGAGAGTAATTCCATCTAATATAATGATTTATAAGATTTTATAAGATTATATTTTCCCCATTATCCTATTATATCCCCAACATTCCCCAACCATCCCCATGATCAAAAAATGACGGTGCCAAAGCCCTTCCAACCAACTGAGTTTTCGGACCCCGGGAGCCAAGTTCCTGCGCCGATTTTGGCACCACAGCTGGTTGGAGCATTCTCTAATGCCCATAAAAATACTAGATTATACTAGATTGATGATGGCTAATATATGATGATGGATAAATGGATAAATCATGGATTATACTAGATTCTAATAGATTGATGATTATACTAGATTATACGTTACCAATGATTGATGATGGATTTGCATCGTGGATTAATTAATATGGATTAATTACACGAACAACTTCTGTAGCCCCTGCAACTCGATCATCCCAGTGGGAACCAGTCTCAATTTTTCCGACTCAAAAAATGGCCATGAAAAACGGTGGGCGAATCCCGCAAAAAAAACTCCCACAAAGATCCAGAGGAAATCAGCGAAAATCTGAAACTCGTGATTCCTCAGATTTTTTCAACGTTGATAATTTTAGTTGTTGGATTCCCACATTTTTCATATGAAAATATATGAAAATCATCCAGCACATCCAGCGAATCTTCACATCTCTCAATACATCCAGGGTCCAGCAGTTTTTCATCGTTTTTCTCTAGCCTTTTGGCTGTTTGACCCTTTTTTTTTGTCACCTCCGAAGAAATCTCGATTTTCCGGCTCAGCCAGCCCACCTGGCTGGCATCCCTCCATGCTTGGGGCCGTAGCCGGGCAAGAAGGCCTTGGTGCCAGGAGTTGATCAACCATCCCGAACTGGGACATGGACCAATGGAGGCGAGTTGGGCGAGTTGGATAAAAAAAGGGTTCTATGGTTCTGCAGACGCACACATTTCATATCGAGAAGACTCAAGAGCTCAAGAACAAAAATGTCGACACCATAGCTGAATATCCATAGCAATACGGGGATTGGCTTCAAGTTTTCAGCCAATTCAGAGTTGTTTGATCAATTGCTTTACTTCGTGTGATCCCCACCATGACATTTATACATTTTGTTACTGGCAAATCTTCTGGCATTCTATCTGACATATTTTCTGGCATTCGATCTGGCATTCTATCTGGCATATCTTCTGGCATTCTACCTGGCATATCTTCTGGCAGATGTTCTGGCATATCTTCTGGCAGATGTTCTGGCATATCTTCTGGCATATCTTCTGGCATATGTTCTGGCATATCTTCTGGCATTCCATCTGGCATTCTATCTGGCATATCTTCTGGCATATTATCTGGCAAATCTTCTGGCATTCCATCTGGCATTCTATCTAGCATATCTTCTGGCATATTATCTGGCAAATCTGCTGGCATTCTATCTGGCAAACATTCTGGCACTTTATCTGGCATATCTTCTGGCATTCTAGCTGACATTCTATCTGGCATTCTATCTGGCATACCTTCTGGCATTCTATCTGGCATATCTTCTAACATTCTATCTGGCATATCTTCTGGCACTCTATGTGGCATATCTTTTGGCGTGGATACTCGCGGTTGAGGTCCGGCAGGGAACACTGGGCGTGGATGGTCGTGGTTGAGGTCCGGCAGGGAACACTGGGCGGGGATACTCGCGGTTGAGGTCCGGCAGGGAACACTGGGCGTGGATGGTCGTGGTTGAGGTCCGGCAGGGAACACTGGGCGTGGATGGTCGTGGTTGAGGTCCGGCAGGGAACACTGGGCGTGGATGGTCGTGGTTGAGGTCCGGCAGGGAACACTGGGCCCGGATTCTGGTTGAGGTCCGGCAGGGAACACTGGGCGTGGATGGTCGTGGTTGAGGTCCGGCAGGGAACACTGGGCGTGGATGGTCGTGGTTGAGGTCCGACAGAGAACACTGTGGATCGCGGGTCGCAGTTGGACGAGGAGGACGACGAGGAGGACGACGAGGAGGAGGAGAGGAGATGAGGAGAGGAGAGGAGAGGAGGAGCAGGCAACTGACATAAAATCTAACAACCCTCACCTGGCAGGTGGGGAAAAACACACAGGACAGGTCTGATGAGTTTCAACCCATTGATTGATCCTGATTATCCCATAACACATACCACCAGCCAGCGTTTATTGCTCGAAACCATGGGGTTGCCAAAAACATACGCTGTAAAAAAAAGATACAATTAGTCTTAGCTTTCCTATCTGATATAATTAATTCTATGTTTCGAAGGGCCATACACATCGCAAATCCTATCATTCACCAGCTCATGCTTGATCTTCCGAAACGAACAAACTGGGATCCGCCACGTGATCAGCGATCAAAACCCTCCTATCATCCCCTTACACTTGTCTGTGAGTAAGCCTTCCCACAATGGGTCACAAGAACCCTGAATGAACCAGAGGTGGATCCAATAATTAATAAGCCTCCAAACTTCAAGCAAGAAACATGGGACCAGTTCATTGTTGGCTTTATTATTATTACATTATTATTAGTGCATCATATTACATATTATGTACATATACACAATGATATAACACACATTCTCATAGGACACTAGTACTGGAACTAATTATTGCAATTACCAGGCTATTCCATTGACTGTGATATAGTGATATATATATAACCCAGTTATTGTATTACATATTACATATTACATATTATATTACCAGTCATTGGTTATATATAACCCACTTGACAAAGTGATTGCCCTTTGGTAACCATGCCGCAATGCTTCAAACTTCAGCATTTAGGCGGATGTTCTGGGACCCACCGGTCCCACCAACCCATTTAGAGAGTAAGGCTATCTCAGCCACGAACTGCTTGCCAGAGGGTAACCAAAAATTGAACCAGTATGAAAACGATTGTTAAGCATTATTTATATAGTAATGTTCTATCATTAACAATTATATATCTACAGTCATGAAAAAATATTTTAAGTATTATGAACATGTATGAACAATTATGAACACTTTTTACCCATTACTGTAACCATTATGAAACATCATTCATCATTGAATCATTGACCAGTATTACTCTATAGGGTAAACTAACAGTTCAATGTGGAAAACCCTTGGATTCTGTCGGAAAATCGTCAAAAAAATGATGGATTTTCCACATCGAACTCTTCGTTTCCCCCAGGTTTTTCCACGTGAAGGCAGCCCGAGGACGCTGAGGACGCCGAGATCCGGACTTCGTGATGCCGACTCTTCTTTGGGGAGAGGTTGAAAGGATTGGAACCTGACGTCGTCACGTCGTCGCAGGTTCCAACGGGACACTTAAAAAGTCATGATGACCGTGGTATGGGGAGATTATGAGGATATGTGATGTATATATATAATATATATATATGTGATATACACTATGATATTAGTCATGATAATATATCATGGATTATAATGGGATATCAAACGGATGCTGGACATCTAGCAGTTTGCCACGACAAAATGGACCTGGGAAGGTCAACCATCTATACACATGAACGTTTTCCATGGCTATGTTGAATCAATACGGTGCCCCGTTCGGGTTTCGGGTGGAAAAACCAACCTTTGGGAATCAACAACCAGGCCCTCAGGGCCAAATTGGGATGATGGATGTTGCAGCTCTCAGACGAAACACTTTCTCCCCCTTGCAACATGGGCCAAATCTGCTGCTTTTTTGGGTGCAGTTCTGGAAGTGTCCGTGACTTTTATGGAATGTTTGTCGCCTTGATGGAAAGGACCCCCTTTCTCCGGTATTGAATTGGGCTGCGTCAAATTTTATGGCTTCAAAAAGTGCGAGCAAAATCATCAAAATCTCGTTGCCTTTTTGGCCCATATTGGCTCACCATGGTGCTGGAATATGAATCCCAACATTTGCCCTTGTCCAAAATCACCCAGTTTTGTAAATATTCCAGCACCATGGTGAGCCAATATGGCCATGTTTTCCCGACTCATGGAGCACAAAAAACCGGACCCCACTTGGCTCTCCAAGGTGCTCCATTCATGGTGCGCGCCAGAGACGAAGTCCTATGGAGGTCACTGGTTTTTGGAGGTCACCGGATAATTCATCCCGTTGAAACCTCAATTCCCATGACGGATCCGGCTGGTGCTGGTAGATTAATGCTAACATGACTGGGGTTTTTGTTGATGGGATCCATGGCACACCATATATAGCATACATATGGATCCTATGGGATTGAGTTGTTTTTTTTTCCCGTTTTTAAGTCAGTTTTTTGTCACGGAAAGAAAAAACTGAAAGATGACTGAGTTTGATGACCGAAAGCCATTTTTTTGGGGAAAACATGGCTCCCTAAGGGACCCATATGGAGATTGTTCGAACGGTTGAAGGGTTGGGGGTTCTCGTCTCAAGGACTTCACTCTTGGACAGGGATTGCCTGGGATTCCCACCATGGAGGCAGAGATTTGGCTGGTAATTTGTGCCATAGCTATCGAACATCATCATTTGCAGTATAAAAACATGTATGTATAATTATGTATATTGATAACCTATGAATTTCTAGGTCATGACTTCACATTAACTGCCAGTAAACCTGGAGTTGTGTTTTTTCCAGATGGAAAATCCACACCACAAAAAGTTCCGGCCATTTCCCGGCCATTGCGGCCTCACTGGCAGATCTCGCCGGGCTGGAGTTGCAAACTCCCACCTGCGACGTCGCCACGTGACATGCCAACAACATCATCTGAATGCTGGCTTAAGTTACCTTTGGATTGCCTTGCAATTTGAGATGCCATAACATAAATACATATATATATATATTAAATGTGCTGCATATATATATGTGATGATATATGTACATAATTTAATGAATCTTATTTGTATTTTGAAACGTAATGATATGATTCATTATCTATATGTATATACATATCTCTCTATATATATATATGATATATCTATATACATTGATATAATTCATGTCTGTCTTCATATCTGATATATCCCCAGGCCCTTAACCCCCATCGCGTCGCAGGCCTCCGACATGCCTTCGTCATTGGACGTTGAGCTGTGCTCCGAACCTGCGCTCAGAGAACCCCCCGGCGCCGTTCGGGGCACGTGTTTGTGGGGACAAATGAAAATTATTGAAGATTGAACTGAACCATGAAGAAAGATAGATTGATAGATTTAACATGATTTAAGATGATTTGAACCATGAAGAATGGTATATTTAACATGATTTGACATGATTTTTTTTTACCTGATTTAAGCGTTATAAATATTGGACTATTCCTAGGATCATCTAGGATTGGTTCAAGGGAGATTTACTTTTGGAGAAAATGACCAGGGAGAAAATGGGGGATTTCAGCAATTCATGTGCAATTCATCAGCCAATTTCTGGAGACTGAACCAATTTTTACATGGGGGAGTTCAACAATGGAAATGGGGACGAAAAACAAAGACAAAAAGACATTCAACGCATTGACTGAAGGGAATATTTACAGACAGCATCAAAAAGGCTCATGTTACCCTCTGGTAAACTAACATAGCTATTGAAAATGGCCATTTTTAGTGAGTTTTCCCATTAAAGATGGTGATTTTCCATAGTTTTTTGTATGTTTACCAGAGGGTATTGTTTCCCATCAAATTGAGGGCCTCCTGTCCTTTTTCGACACCAATTTCGGGCGATCACGTCGCATGACTTCAATGCATTTCATATGTTTGAAATATCTCAAGATGCTTGGCTGTTGCAGTCCGTCACCCAAGGGGGTTGAGATTATAATAATTTATAATAGCCATTAGCTCTAATAGAGCGAATCATTCTGGTCTGCCATTTCAATAGGATATGAGATGCACTTTGGAATCTGTCCTACCGGTCGACAACCCATTGGCCCATCCCCACTATCAATGACTTTTGTATCAACTCAACAAATAAGACATGTCATGCAATGTGGTTCAACTCAACGTGGTTGTCCAGTGACAGGTTTGTAATTATACTGGACTGGAGGATACCTCAAAACATCATAAACGATCAGGATTGAGTGTTTGTTGAAAAAACTCGATCAAATGTATGAAAATTCCCATTGGGCAGTTTCCGCGACCTACTGTGGATTGGTCCTGCTGGTTAAACGATCGTGATCAATACTCGCAGAACAGATCTGATAAATTATGGGATAAAATCTCAGAATTTCGAATTTTTGAAGACATGTCATGTACCCCTATCGTAAGTTTGTTGTGAAGTCGATGTCATCGTGAGTTGTCAAAATATGCTTGACGATTCAGATCAAACATGATCAAACCATTCAGAGAAGTAGGGTAGTATAGTATGTTTAAGGATCTTTTGCAGCTCTTTTTGCGAAGTTTTGCTACATCATACATCCACATTTAATATCTCTTTCTTACCCTCTGGTAAATTAACATAGACCCTGGCAGACAGGGGTTGGAAGACTAGTTTCCGTTAAACATTGGAAATTTTCAGGGTCTATGTTAATTTACCAGAGGGTAATATCTCTTTCTTAGAAATCCCCATGGTCAGTGAAATCAAAATGTTGTTTTCTCTGTTTGTCCTAAATGTTGATCCACCCCCCGGATTTTTCTTCACAGATTTCTAACAGGGTAAAAAAAACACGTACCTTCGAACATGTCTAAGTTCATATATGATTATATACAATACATACATACATATCATATCATGTAATTTGTATATATATATATATATTATATTATGATATGTATATATACATACATAATACAACATACATAATACACCATACATAGTACAACATACATAATACATAATGCATGATACAACATACATAATATAATATACATAACACAATATAATACAATATAATACAATATAATACTATAATATATTATAGTATAATATATAATATATTATACTATAATATATTATAATATAATATAATATAATATTATATATATATATTAAGTAATATTCTTCAATGCCAGTGTCTGAAGCTGAAACCACTACGGGCTCCCCGACTGGAGCATCGGCTCTCGCTGTCGTCGGCGAAGGAGTTCTCCGCCTCCGAACCTGTCACTGCTTTGGTTGGAAAATCTACAGGAAAGCATGGTTTTCCCCATTAAATAGGATGGGGGTTCCTGTAACTTTTCCCTTAAGCCAATCAATTGAATATGTGATTTCTGCCGGATTTTCCATATCTTTTTGTGTATGTAGTGGAAGGTAAGAGACCTGATACTCAAAAATCTGTGATTGTGTCATAGTCCATCTTTAAGATCATCTTTGATAGTCCACAAAAAAATAAACGGTTGCTGGTTATGGTTATGTTCCTATACTTTGCTTCGTATAGCAAACAACTAAAGGATTGGAGTAGCCATCCCAGGGGATGCTGTCTTTCCATCCAAGGTGTGACACAAAAAATCTCCGACAGCATGAAACTTTGGGATGTGATCCGATTGCTCTTCGGTGAATTGTTTGGTTGAGAATTTTCGATGGTAAACTTTGGACATCTTTGGACACTTGCTGCCTTGTCCCATCAACAAATTACAGGAATTTCCATCATTGTGAAGCCCCCAAATGTGACTGCATCCCTCAAGAAAAAGCGGGGATTCGTGCAAGGTGCAATGGATAGGGGGAGGGATGGAAAGTGATTTTTTGTGGCGAACTTCAAGCCATTAATTAATCACTATCAAAATATATCAAAATCCTAATATTGGGATATGACCCAGCCATTAACTATGGATATCACCTGGAATCAAACAGAGCATGGGAGATCCTGCCGACATTTCTAATCCCTTCCCCTGCAAACTGCTGCCTGTCCCTGATGGGGTGTATTCAACACTGTTGGGCGTTGGGAGTACAACCCTATCAACCACTCATACTTCTGATTAGCTCACAAAGCCCCGTTTTTTAAATATGTGTTGCCTCTTGTCTTGACCAATTCGATGGGGATATTCATCCTTAACTAACATGATTTCTTTGTCGGCTATATGGGTCTGAACATGAGGTCTACCGTCACTAATTTGTGGCATTTTGGAGGGCACATGACAATTAATCTCTGGATTTCACATGTCATCCATCCCTAAACCCATGGGAATCCAAATAGAATTTGACTTTGCATATGAATCAATGACTGATTTTCTGACTCGGAATGTCCATCGTATCTCCACTGACCCGGCAATGGCCCACCTCGGTCGGACATGTCGGACACGGAGCGCGCGTCGTCGTCATCTTCAAACTCCCCGTGCAGGTCCTACAGGCAAATTTATTGGGTAAAACACCTATATTTATTGGGTAAAAACCCATGGTTTCCGGTTAAGATTTTCCCAACAAAACCAATCCAATGAAACAAATATCAAGAAAACATGTCAAGCCTATGATACATGGGTTCATAATTTGTGAAAACAAGATGGAGCATTGGAGCATGTGTTTGTTATGTTTGTTGTTTTTCCTCCTCGAAACAGGCTATTGCCATTCCATACACATGCTTGAGAAAATCGTAGAAAACCACTAGATTTCTGCACTGGAGCGACTGAGGGTGCAGTTTGCAAAAGTTTCTGGGTCTTGCTAGAGGCAATGAGCTGCTTGGTTGGCACTTTCTGCTTGGTTGGCACTTGCTGCTTGAGCTCCTTGACTTGGGTGCCAGTGTACAGTAAATGGATGGTTTCACAGATCGTAGAATTGGAGATTTGATGATCGCTGTCAAGGTGATTTCCGAAACTCCATGATCTAAAAAAAATAAAAATAAGTTTCTCTCAAAACATATGGAGGTTTCCTAAAATGGGGGTATCCCTAAATCATCCATTTTAGAGTGGGATTTTCCATGAAATAAACCAACCCTATGGAAAGCCTCTTTTTTCATTGTTGGTCCATCCCCCAACCAGAGCTTGCTATGGGAATCCCATTCCCAGTCATGGGTCTGGGATGTCTGGGTAACCTGAATAGTTCGGCCATAAAAGGGGATGATTTCCCTATAAAAACCATGATTCCAGGGTTCGGGAGAACAGTGAGGTCGTGATGAAATTTACCCAGATGGGTGGTTTATTGTTTTACCCATATTAATTAGATAGTCTCCATATGTCTCCACTCCCTCAGCTCTTTCAGACTCGTCACTGCGGCTGGTGTTACCCAGTGAATGCGCTTCAGGGCTGGTGCTTCTTCGGCTCTCGTCAGGCCATGACTTCAGCCGCACAAGGCAGATGGCCTTGTACGAGTAACAGGCTTCGCACATGTGTGCTGCATTCTCAGCATTGGAGCCTAGCAACCACACCACACCTCATGGCGTAGAAATTGGGACTCCAGCTGGGCAGGCACTTGAGATACTTAAGAAGACGCTGAAAGAGTCGTCATTGGGGGGTTTTGAAAGCAAGAGTGAGATTTGTTTTTACGACATGGGGGACTTAAGTGACTTAACCAAGAAACAACAGATTTCAATATATTGTTTTTAAATATATTTTAACGGGATTGAACAAAGAAACGGGAATCAAGATGAATTATGCAACCACATCCATGTTTTTTTTTCTGGTTTCAATGCCAAAAAGATCACCAAAAAGATCACCAGAGCGGTCATGGCGCCAACCTTGGATGACCCAAAACGGTTTTTAAAGCCCAGAGCTCAAATGGAACATTGGGCTGCTAAGTGACAGGTTATCACCATCTATTTCACCATCTATTTCATAATAGATCCCATATGATAGTTAAAGAAGGAAACATGAAGCCAAGATTTGAGGCTCCAGTTTGTCTCCAAATTTCACCATTCAACATGACGACCCTGTCACCTTGGGGGTAAGGAAACTTACCAAAGGCTCGACCTGTGTCCCGCGTCCTCAGGAATGCTGGAGAGTGAGTGAGAAGAAGCAATGGGATCTGATGACCTACAGGGGCTACACCCATGGGAGATCCCCCAGCTAAACTGGATGGTTTTCATGGAAACTTCTACGTATCTAACATGGATGAGAACTGGGGGTACACCCATGATTTAGGAAACCTCAATGATCTAATGGTTTTACTGCCATTTGGCTAGGACCACGATGTTTCAAGGTATATGAATCCAATATGAGCGTTGCATTTTGAGGTTGACGACCTCACAAATTCACTGCTAATAAGAATCAGTATGAGCAAACTTGGGCGCTTCTTACCTTGGCGGTCTATCAGTTGATTGTTTATTCCCTTATGTTCTGTTTGCTGTATGCTTACCCAAGCTGGTGTTTTTGATTGCCCATCATTTTTTCGCGTGTGCTTGGAATTGCATCCCAGTTCGAAAGTGGGCAATAACATGGAGTGATCATATGATAATCCAGCTATGCGTTGCAGGGGTCATTGACCACTTAAGTGGGATGCACCCCAAAGTATCCACTTTGGATCGAATTCATGACATTATAGCCACGATCCAGCAACATCCCAAGGTTTCACCTTCAAATAAAACATAAAGTATAATCCCCATAGTAATACCCATAGTGATAATTATGGTATATCCCAACTAATCCATAAAATCCCATAGTAACATTTATAGCACCCCAAAAAAGTAGACTTTGGTAAACATACTGCTCAAGTCTCAAGTAATGGCATTTTTTTCTTTTCGATATTTTTGGGAGACTCTACACCCTCAGGTAGTTTGATGTATGGAAAATCATCATTTGAATAGGTAAAGCATCATTTTTATCATCAAATATGGGATGTTCCAGTTCCCTATGTTAAATAACCAAAGGATCAATTCCCATTACAGTCAATCCCATGAAATCCCCGTGACTTGATAAGTATTATTGTTCAATATTTTTCATAGGTAAATCATCAAAACTAATCAATAAATCGAAGGATAAATATCATTTCACCATGATTTTCATCATATTAACTATATATATATACTTAATTAAACCATTATTCACCACTACAAATCCCCAATGTTTATTGGAGTTTTTTACGGATCAAAGATCGACTTGTCTCGCCGATCCCCCGCCTGGAGCGGTGCGAACGCTGGTGCACGTTCCGCAGGTTCCGTGAGGGTCGGCGGTGCGAGCGCTTCAAGCCGCTCTTCAGGCGAGCTAAATCTTCTAGGGTCAACACCTGAGGTGTGGCGGGTATACCAATGGTGGTTAATAATGGTTTATAACAGTTTATGACAGCAAATAGTTATATTGATATCACACATATATAGGGCTTTATGGATATATGGAGCTTATATAACTTATATTGATATCATATATATGTGGCGGGTATACCAATGGCCATGACGAAAAGGAACCGATTGATTGGAGGTACCGAGGCAACATATATTTTTGGCCCATTTTTTTGGGGCTATGTCATATGTCAGGGGATATCCTCACAAAATATGGCCTGAAAAATGGTACAGTACCTCCATTTTAGGATCCTGGAATTCCCATTGATAAACCATGAACTTTCAATAATGACCATCAATAGGGTCAATTTACCACTTGTCATCTGGGATTTACCTCACATTCTGGCTTTGAATGATCGGTGCAATGAATGATGGGGTACCAAAAAATAAAGAGGATGTACATATACCATGATTTTTCAATGTATACCATGAATTTTCAATGTCTACCATGAATTTTCAATGTCTACCATGAATTTTCAATATCTACCATGAATTTTCAATGTATACCATGAATTTTCAATGTCTACCATGAATTTTCAGTGTATACCCTGAATTTTCAATGTTTACCATGAATTTTCAATGTATACCATGAAATTTCAATGTCTACCATGAATTTTCAGTGTATACCATGAATTTTCAGTGTATACCATGAATTTTCAATGTTTACCATGAACTTTCAATGTCTACCATGAATTTTCAATGTATACCATGAATTTTCAATGTCTAATACCATGAATTTTCAATGTATACCATGAATTTTCAATGTCTACCATGAACTTTCAATGTCTACCATGAATTTTCAATGTATACCATGAATTTTCAATGTCTAATACCATGAATTTTCAATGTATACCATGAATTTTCAATGTCTACCATGAATTTTCAATGTCTACCATGAAATTGCAATGTATACCATGAATTTTCAATGTATACCATGAATTTTCAATGTATACCATGAATTTTCAATGTATATCATGAATTTTCAATGTATACCATGAATTTTCAATGTATACCATGAATTTTCAATGTATACCATGCATTTTCAATGTATACCATGAATTTTCAATGTCTACCATGAATTTTCAATGTCTACCATGAATTTTCAATGTCTACCATGATTTTTCAATAATTACCTGAATTTTCAATAATTAACATCAATAGGGTAAATTCACCACTTGTCATCTTGGATTTACCTCACATTCTGGCTTTGAATGATCGGGTACCAAAAAAATAATAAGAGGATTGACACAATGAATTTTACCATCAATTTGCGATCGATGATTAGGAGATATTGGGATATAAATTATATGAAAATTGGATCCCATAAATGGCCACTTGAATGGGGAAAATGAGTGAACATGATGATAATCCATGATAATCAATTGGATTCTGAGGTCTTGCGGTGATATACTGGTTGGTTTTTCTTGACATCCCACTGAAAATGGCTTGTGAGAATTCCCGAATCAATCAAGGATACTACTTAGTATAACCCCCTAGGCCCTCATCATCATTAAACATGCTGGATCTTTCCAGTTCGTTAGGTAACTTAGGTAACAGTTTACCAGAGGGTAACCCCCTACAATCATCAAACACAGTGGTCCCATTCACCAAGGGGCTGGATTTGGTTTGGCCACGTCCCATAGCACCGAGACGTTTTCATCTGAAGCTGTGACCTGGCGGAAGAACAGCGAACGGACGTCGGAATGAGAACGGTTGGTTCATAGTGGTTTTTGTATTGCATACCCTCTGGTAAACTGTTACAGAACTATGGAAAGATCCACCATTTTTGATAGGTAAATCAACTATAAATAGCCATTTTCAATAGCAAACTGTTAAATTACCAGAGGGTAATATATGCTAATATTGCATAATATCAATACATATGGGTAATGTTATAAGATTGGAAAATAGTAGTTGATGACTGCAAATAATTGTTGATATATGGTAACTTTATGGTCTGGTTAATCATGACAATTTTATGACCAATAATGGTTGATACTGGTGCTTTTTTGGTTGATAATGGTTGATAATGGTTTATAATGGTTAATGACTGCAAATAGTAAATACAGTAATTGTCATTGTCATATAGTGATAGAACATGACTGTACATAATAGTTGATAATTGATAATACCAGTAGTTGATATCAGCTCAATTAATGGTCTATATTGGTTGATAGTGGTGATTCATTGTTACTAATGGTTAATAATGGCTTACCCTCCGTTGCTATCAAACATGTCGGAATGTCGGGCCATGATGTGGTATACCCAATAGTGCACCTCCACTTTACATATCTTTAATTATCTTTATATCTTTATTACAGTACATATAACATCATATACCCTCTGGTAAACTAACATAACGATGGAAAATCACAATTTTTAATGGGTAAATCAACTATAAATGGCCATTTTCAATAGCAAACTGTTAGTTTACCAGAGGGTAACAATCCATTTGATGGGAGAATCTCACATCCCAGTGTCCCAGGGTTTCATGGGGACTTAACATCCCAGTCAGCTGAAAATAACTGTTATCATAAGGCCAGCCATGGGGATAATTCCCTGAGTCCAATTCCCATGTCATGACCTGATGGTCTATGGCATGGCTGGGTTTACCACAAGGGGGTTTCCTAACATCTGGAACCTGACAATGGGATGCCTCATGGGCATAAAACAAACCATAAATCGGGATATATGGAATACATAATGGACATATAACCAAGAATATGATATATGGGGGTGTCTGAAAAATATGATATACCCACGGGCAATTTTAATAGAGACAACGAATACACATATATTGGAACGATGATACAAGTATAGCGGCAAAAAATATCGGAGACCTAAAATGGGTTTGTCTGAAAATGAAGTACAGTATAGCATCCCCCCACCAGACTAGAAAGGCAACTGTTCTCTATTTCAGTGGGATTTTACTTTGTTACCTTTACAAGCATAGGGGTTTCTGCCATGACAGTAAAGCCCGAAGATTGGGAAGTTTCTGGAAGTCCCGCCTGATGTGGACACAACCGTCAGCAGTACAAACGCACATAAATACGTACATATCATATTGATATGTTAATACTATATTATGTACATTATATATACTTGTAATATATATATATTAGCATATATATATATAAGTATATATATATATATATATTAGCATATATATATAAGTATATATATATATTAGCATACATATATATATATAAGTATATATATATTAGTGTATATATATAAGTATATATATATATAAGTATATATATAAGTATATATATATATATAAGTATATATATATAAGTATATATATATAAGTATATATATAAGTATATATATAAGTATATATATATATGTGTAAGTATATATATATATTATATATATTAGTATATATATATATTAGTATATATACATATCAATATACATATATATATACACATTATATATATACATATATATATATACACACATTATATATATATATATACATATTGATATGTATATATATATATACATAATATATATATATATATTATATATATGATATACTCTATATGTACTCCATGCAAATCGGAACCTCATTTTAGTGAACCAACCAAAATCATGATTTAACCAACAAAAAAAGGGATTGAACCGGTAAAATTGGGTTTCACCCGTTAAAAAAACATAGGTCAAAACTGTGAGTAGAACACGGCGAACATATGTGAATAAAGCCTTGGAACATGCTGGCCTACAAAATGTTGGCCAGCTTTAGTATTAACCATTCAGCTGGGGGTTGATACGTGTGACCCACATAGAATATCGAGAGGGTTCATCAATCACCACACAAAACAAGGAGTCTATATACTCATAACAATGATGAACACAGTAAACACATGAAGTTTAGCCAAAGAAACTTGGAATTGCATGGAACACATGAAGTTTTAGTCAAAGAAACTTGGAATTGTGTTGTATTGTTCGTCAATGTTGGAAATGCTGAGCAATAAAACGTGAACCTGATGGTAAAACTCGAGCCTTGACCATGATATCATTTCGGTCTCTTCCCAGCCCCTCCCTCGCCTTCGAAGTAAACTCACAATCCAACATGGGGCTCTTTAGGCCATAGAAAAATAGCTTAACATAGCTTAACTAATCCCTTCCCTCGTTCATATTAAAAAAACAACTTACCTAAACGAAACCATAGTTTTTTTGGGGGAATTTCCGCATTCAATTGGGACCATAGTTCTATGGGGTGTTTTTCACATTAGGGTGATGGGATTCCATCCGTGATGTCCATCCAGCTACGCGTGAAACACGCCTGCATCCGGATGCCCATCATACCTGGCGGAGCGACGTCGGGAGACCGGGAGATTTTTTGATCGGCCTCTGAGCATGGCAGCCATGGCGATTTGATTGGATGAATGGCGATAGATGGTAGAATCTCATGATATCAGATCTAGATGATAGATTTAGATGTCATCTAGATCTGATATCATATAGGATTTATTTTTACGATAGATGATGGTAGATGATGATAGATGATGATCGATGATGATAGATGATGTTTATTGGATCATGATGTTTTTTTTTTATCAGATTCGAATGATTAGGAAGAATTCTCCCATGAATTCCCATGCTGCCGCGGCGCATTCATTGGGATTCTCCTGATCTGCAGATAGCAGGAAGCATTGTGCCGGCGTGTCACCTGAGTTTATCCATGGGATCCATGGGATTCCTACCCCTTTTTTGTTCACATCCAAAAATAGCTGGGTTATTTATGGATGTGAATAAGCCCCTAAAATAATGGCTATTTTCATAGGTATTGATACATAGCCATATATACATTTATCCTTAAACCAATCCGACTGACCAAATTCAGAAGGTAATCCCCAGAACGATCCGAGGTAGGCACAGTGCATGTGTGGAACCAAGGTGAAAACTGCATGGGACTCCGATGGACCCCGCGGCATTTTTCAGATCCCGAAATTTGGCAATTCCCATCAGGACGCGTGTGTATAGTCATGTCAAAAAGAGTTAAGAATATGTATGTATGTATAATATATCAGGATTATTAAACACAATGGGGACGCTTATTCACACATCTCTCACACATATGTCATAATTATCCGCATGCCCCTGGTGGTTTTTCTATATCGCCAAGGAATGGATGAGGCTTTTTTCACCCGTGCCAGAGCCGTTTTTTCCGTGTCGTTCTCGGAAAAAAAAAAACATGCAAAATGATGTAATGCCAACACCGGATTAATAAACCCCCCCCCTAGAAGGTAGGAGGTACCTGAAAATACACCCGTAAATAAACAGCCCTGAACCATAAAATTCTGAACCATAAAACTTTGGATATGGCTTACGTCAATTAGATCTTAATAGAATTCCATTGGATTTGTTAAAATTTCATGGATCAGAAAGGTGGTTGATTAATCAGGGGCAAACCATGGTTATTATTAATGGGGGACATGGGCTCATGGGGGGTAGGTACCCTTTGGGAGCTATCCAAACTGATGTTTTTTATAAAGATTTTAATTAGAAATCGATCATTTGGGGAATAGTTGTTTTTTGAAATTTTCAATGATCAACTTAAACCTGAAGTATAACAATGATGATTAAAAAAAATGTAAAAAAACAATTGGAAATAAATAGAATTGGAAATAAAAAATGTTGGATAAAAAATTGGATTTCAGCACTGGTGGTTGATTAATCGGGGGTAGGCCCACCGGTTTATTAATCTCGGGGGACCACCTGTTTTTAAATTACATTTTTTTGGGCAATGGTGGTTGATTAATCGGGAGGGGATTATTAATCCTCACTTGACATTAAAATGCACACATCTTTCTGAAGATGCAAATAGTAGATATCTCGAACTAGTGACTGGGCTTTATAACCCAACAAACATAACTAGGGGGTTTACATATTTGAGGTAGTACGTTCCATTATGTTTATTGTATCACTATTATATCTCTGTTGTGGTTCATTGAATCCCAATTTTATTTAGACACCCACAAACGTGACTGGGTGTGTCACCTTGCATCTAAAGGATTCTGAAGCCACGAAGCAAAAATACTGAGATGAGTTGTACTCTGGTGACATCAATACCATTGGGCCATGGTCCGCTTTGTGGTAAAACACAGAAACATAGAACACGCGTGAGGACATTCCAGTTGGCAAACATGCAAATGACCGTGACTCTATTTTAAAAGCAACATTTCAGGATTGCTAAACAGCTAAACGATACAAATTGTGTGGCTACTGTAATGTGATGAAGCTAGAAGTGCGCAAATGGCTGACTGGTGCTTGCAGTCAACCACCACAAGCACCATTGTCATCAAAATTGGATGTTTCCCACCAACAATTGGATGCTAATGTTGATGCAAGATCAATCAACCCATGTATTTTTTCACTTTTCGTGGCAGCCAGTTGATTAGTATTGTTGCATCACCATTTTGTGAAACCAACTATTACTAGAATATGTACAACAAAATGGGGCTTCGTTAATCCTGGATGTTACCCCTAGCGATCCCCTAGGGCAATCATCCACATCATCTAGGCAGTCTAGGCATTCAGCAGGTCAGTCCACATGTGCCAGAAAGAATGGTAGTGGTTTATGGTGTTCCCATCATTATACATGGGATTCCAAACATAATAGGTATATACATCCCTGTAAAAAATGGATTGATGACCATCCTGCTATCTGGGTATATCGTCCAATTCCTGATTCCAGTTGCTTCTATATCCATTGTATCTCCATAAATTAACATATTGTTACATTCCTAGTCTTTACTCTCTGGTAATTTAACATAGCTATGGAAAATCACCATTAAAAAACGGTATAGGATTCAATAAATCACCATAAATAATCATGGTAAATCACCATTAATCACCATTAATCACCATTATAAATCACCATTAAAATCATGGTAAATCATCACTTTTATCATCTATAGGATTTACATGTGCCATGGCGTCCAGCTATGTTATGACCAGGTAAATTCCCATTAAATCACCATTTTTTTCATAGATAAATAATCATAACTTATCAATAAATATCTATACTTCACCATCAATTTCACTATATAAACCATATATATATAATATATATATATTAACCATATAATACGTATATATATATATTATAAACCACAATAACATATATATATATTATATAATATAAACCACAATATTCACCATACACCACGATAAATCCGCCTGTTTCAGACGTCGTTGAACCACGGCCCAAGGGACGTTGATTTCCCGGACGCAACAAGTGCAGCGTCCGGCCGCGCTCGAAGCCTTTGAAGGTCACCTCGTTGAAGGCCTCGACGTCGACGTGGCGGTTGCGACGGCGGTTGCGAAAAGGGAAAGAAGCATCGAACATCGGAAAAAAAACATGGTTTTTATAATGATTTTATGTGATTTTGGAATATCCTTGTTGAAAACTGATAATGTTCTAAATATGTATATAATATACTATATATATGATATAATAGTTATGTTAATGTTCTTTACTCTGAGAATGTTTATATCACTATGATAATGTTATAAATATGTATATATATATATATATATCATAGAAAACGAAGAAAACATGCTGATGCTGATTGCATTTTCATCCACTTCAATCCCATGTTTTTTCAAGCCGTTGCCGTGACCGTTGCCTCCTTCAGAGACACCGTGTCTTCGGGTTTGATAAGTTGGAGCAGGGGATGATGCGACTGGAGTTTGCACCCAAAGACCTGCAGGCTGAAGGCTGAAATCAAAACACCATGGGATAGGGACCACTAAAATTACCCTCTGGTTATTTAACAGTTTGCTATTGAAAATTGCCATTTATAGTTGATTTTCCCATGAAAAATTGTGATTTTCCATAGTTATGTTAGTTTACCAGAGGGTACCATCTGGTTATTTAGCAGTTCACCATGGAAAATCACCATTTTATAGCTAGGTAAACCATCTATGGGCAATTTTCCATGGCTATCTTAAATAACCAGAGGGTACTTAATGTTTCTTAATCTTAGTAAACCAATATCATAAATTGCGACAAGCAAGTATGGAAGGATATATATATATATATCATGAAACCTACGGAAAAAAGGCAACGATCACGCAACACATATTACTGATCATATAATGCGAGTAAAGCAATCTCATAAACCACCTATATGGATTGATAGTTCATACCATCCACAGCAAAACTGGGGATGGTTTACTGTACAAACTGGCATGATCCAACTCAAGTTAGGATTTAGCCGGGTTAGCAGGGTCAAAAAACTCCAAGAAACGAAAAATGGGCTACTCCATGAGCTTTCACGAGATGTTCATCAACGCTAAATCCCGTAGGAAAATCACCACGTAAGTGGAGTGTTCTCCCCAAATCTCCCAGTAATAATATAATAATGGCAGGAACTCACCAGTTGAGCTATGAAAATGCCATAAAATCCCTCCAGAAATTACTGGTTGGTTCGTAAATTATGTCCGTTTTTATGGGTTAGTATAACCACAGTATATGCGTTGTCAATCTTAGGTACCATGCAAAAAAGCGATTCCTAACTGGTCAACGTAGATATTCCTAATGAAATCGATGAAGAGTAAAGGATTCGTCCCTGGTAAACTAACAGTTTGCTATTGAAAATTGGCTACACCTGAACATTGGTTACAAAAACAAAACATCTATGAACATGTATGAAGATGTTATGTCTAAGAAATCAATAGTCTTGGCTTTTCCATGGGATTTTCTGTCATTTTGTATTCCAATTTTAAACAATGCCCAACAGAGGTTTATTTTTGGGTATGTATACTGTATACCCCTATTTGGTACTGTAAAATGACCCCAAACGGTTGGACGCGTTTATTACCTATCGTTTACCACATGAAAAAACCCATACCCACATAGTCCTTGATAGTGGAAATATTAGAACATCCCCTCTGGTTTTTACGTTTACGTAGCTGTTGAACATCACCATTGTTAGTGGGTAAATCAACGAACTAAATGGCCATTTTCAATAGCTATGTTATAGTTGATAAATGGCCTATTTATAGTTGATATAGTTGGTATATATGACCAGATATACATATAGTTGATATAGTTGATATATGACCAGAGGGTAACTCAGGATCATCCTGAAAAACAACCAAAACACAGAGGATTTGACACCACTGGCACCGTGGCCCTATGGAAAAAAGGGACCACATATTTGGCCGAACGTTCGATGCCGGAAGCCCATCAAAAATCATGTTCCACCAAAAAAACAGTAACCCATTTCCCATAGGATCCATGGTGCTGGTATATTGATGCTAACATGACTGGGGTATATTGATGGGATCCATGGCACACCATATATATATAGAAGCACCATGGATCCGTCATGGGTTTGTGTTTCCTGACACCTTTTCAGAGACCCAGGGACCCGCCTTCTCTTCACCCCATGCATTCAGCACACGATATTCCTGGTGACCGAGACGAAGGCACAGCCGACTGTTGGATGCCGACTGTTGGTGACCAAAATCTGAGAAATGGGTAGAAATTCAATGTCATGAGTGGGAATATATGTATATAATTATTAATGTAATTGTATATATATATATATTAATATGTATATTACATTACATTACATTATCTTTATATGATATTATCATATATTATATATTATATGTTATATGTTATATATAATATATAATATATTAAATAATATCATACTATATTCTGTCATATTATATATTATTATATATTATTATATAATATATTATTATATATTATTATAGTATATATTATTATATATTATTATAGTATATTATGTTTTATTACATTATATTATATTAAATTAAATTATATTATATTATATTATACGATATCAAATTAAATTATATTATACTATATCAAATTAAATTAAATTGTATTATATTGTACTATATCAAATTAAATTATATTATATTTTATAAAATTAAATTATATTATACTATTTCAAATTAAATTAATATCAAATTAAATTATATTATATTATATTATATGTTTGTCAATCAACAAGGGGGTTGAACGCTGCTCAATTTGGGAAAGTGATGATCATAGATTGATTTGATTAGACAAACCCAAAGAGAATCAATACAGTGCCACAATCACCAGAATCACCAAACCTCCATTTACCACTTCAATGGGGTGAGAGTTTCTCACCCAATTATATAACATATGGAGGTTTCCATAGTCATGGGGCTACCCCAGTAGCTGGATGGTTTATTTCATGGAAAATCCCAATCTAAAATGGATGATAAATGGGGTGTCCATGGGTGTCCCCATTTATGGAAACCATACTAGAACTGCCAGTTACTTACCCTCTGGTAATTTAACATAGCTATGGAAAATCACCATGCTATTAATGGGAAAATCCACTATAAATGGCCATTTTCAATAGCTATGTTTACCAGAGGGTACTTAAGTCAGCAGCCAGTGGCCAGTATGGCCTGTGTGTCGACCAGCAGGGTGGCATCGAAGACCATGTGACACATTCGGCTCCACCATTTCTGCCACCTGAATCTGCAGGGCATTTTACGCCATTCAGAAGGGGAATTTTCACCATGGTTCATGGGTCATGGAAAATGTCCCCATTGAACATCACCCAACCATTAGGTATATGGTCTATAAATGTCATTAAATGGCTACTATAAGGTGATGTCCAATATTCCCAAAATGGGACAGTTACCAACCCCTGTGGTTCTTTGGCATCAATATACCGGAAAAAGAAAGTAGGGAAATATTGGGATGGATTAATGGATTATGATTCATTGAAATTCATTGATGCTTCAGCGGAACTTGAACAATCGGGAAAACCATGGGATGTTGCTAGGAAACATAAGACGCCTGACGTCCGTGCGAAATGTCGCTTCAGATACTGGAGAGAAAACCAGCACAAGCAACGAAGGGGTAGAATTTTTGACTTGAAAATCCATCATTTATAGATGACATTCGCATTAAAGCTCCATTTCGTTGAGGGATTTTCCAGCCACGTTTGATGACACATAAGCATTTTTGGATGGAATTCCATCCCATTTCGTTGATTTGCATATGTATTTGGATGGTTTGGTTCACAACTGTGCATTTGATCTTCAGATTCTCATCAAAAAAAACGCTCATCATCCCAAGCAAGCTATGACAGGGTTTTCGATGTTTTCGACGCGCCACAAATGGTAGGAACATTCATATAGTTTTATATTACTATATATGGGGGTCCTTTTTTTCGGGATAGGTTTCATCTCTTTTTATCTTATTATACTATTCATTAATATCTTCATATATTCTATTCCTATTCTATTCCTACCTAATCATCCCTAGCATTAAATGTACCTCATCTCTCCATTTCCCCGGTCCGCGCAGCGCCTGTCTCCCATGACTTTGTCAATGAGCATCGAGGTGACTTCTTGCATGGAGCCAGTGACCTGGCCATAGAGACTCGGCGACTCGGAGATCACTTAATTAATGGCATTGGGGATATCATGGTAATGTCAACCCCGGATGAATAAACCATTGTTTATATTAATTAGTTTTTTAAATGAAAATTATCTATCAATCATGGTTTATTCCTCCAATAGTGAAATTCTAATACTTACATGCTACCCTCCCAATTAAACAACCTAGGGGTTTAGTAATCCAGGGTTGACATTATATATATATATCCATCAATTAGGCTTTAAGCACCAACATTATATACAGTGTGTATATATAAGAATATATATATATATATACGTATATATATATATATATGGTACCCCCCCCTGGTACCTACCTTTCCTTGATTTATACTGTAAATTACAGTATAATTTGCTTATTTTCATATGTTGAATTTGATAGTTTTTTATATTGAGTTTCTTGAGACATGAGTTCAGACTTGAGTTCAGACTTGACTTCAGACTTGAGTGTCATAGTCTCGATTCCTGCTACCCAAGATCCAAGATCCAAGATTTCCAGAAAGCTTTTCTTGGAAATCTGGGGATAAACCCAAGATCCAAGATCCAAGATTTCCAGAAAACTTTTCTTGGATGCACTTGCAGAATCTTGGATGCACCCAAGATCCAAGATCCAAGATTCCCAGAAAATTTTTCTTGGATGCAGGCTGGAAATCTTGGATGCACCCAAGATCCAAGATCCAAGATTTCCAGAAAACTTTTCTTGGATGCACTTGCAGAATCTTGGATGCACCCAAGATCTTGGATCTTGGGTTTATCCCAAGATATCCAAGATTTCCAAGATTTCCAGCCTGCATCCAAGAAAAATTTTCTGGGAATCTTGGATCTTGGATCTTGGGTGCATCCAAGATTCTGCAAGTGCATCCAAGAAGAGTTTTCTGGAAATCTTGGATCTTGGATCTTGGGTTTATCCCAAGATTTCCAAGAAAAGCTTTCTGGAAATCTTGGATCTTGGATCTTGGGTAGCAGGAATCGAGACTATGACACTCAAGTCTGAAGTCAAGTCTGAACTCAAGTCTGAACTCATGTCTCAAGAAACTCAATATAAAAAACTATCAAATTCAACATATGAAAATAAGCAAATTATACTGTAATTTACACGAGCGTGCGATGGCCAAAAAAAGGATGCTTCTTCTCTTCGCTATATCGTGGGAGCTACTGCGGTTGCAGGGGTCTTCGTCGAACCGTAGGCAAGTGCCACTCTTTACCTCAATATAATGTTATGCCTCAACAGCTTCATCCTTTTGAATCCACCCTTCCTAAAGTGTCAAGCACGTGAACCACGTGGTTCGTGCAAAGTACTTGCTGTAGTTTGCCCGAGTGAGAAATTATAACGCAGCACTTTGTGCAAAGCCTTCATAGCTTCATCCTTTTGAACCCACCCTCCCTCAAGCATGTGACCGTGATTCGTGCAAAGTACTTGCTGTAGTTTGCCCAAGTGAGAACTTGTAACGCAGCACTTTGTGCAAAGCCTTCATAGCTTCATCCTTTTGAACCCACCCTCCCTCAAGCACGTGAACCACTTTTGAACCCACCCTCCCTCAAGCACGTGAACCACGTGGTTCGTGCAAAGTACTTGCTGTAGTTTGCACAAGTGAGAACTTGTAACGCAGCACTTTGTGCAAAGCCTTCATAGCTTCATCCTTTTGAACCCACCCTCCCTCAAGCACGTGAACCCCGTGGTTCGTGCAAAGTACTTGCTGTAGTTTGCCCGAGTGAGAAATTATAACGCAGCACTTTGTGCAAAGCCTTCATAGCTTCATCCTTTTGAACCCACCCTCCCTCAAGCATGTGACCGTGATTCGTGCAAAGTACTTGCTGTAGTTTGCCCAAGTGAGAACTTGTAACGCAGCACTTTGCGCAAAGCCTTCATAGCTTCATCCTTTTGAACCCACGCTCCCTCAAGCATGTAACCCACATGGTTCTTGCAAATGACTTGCTGCCAGCACAGATGTAGTTACGAAGAAAGGAAGGAATTAACAGTAAAAAGTAGGTATCAGGGGGGGGATTAGCATATATATATATGGAGGTTTCCGAAGTCATGGGGGTACCCCCCAGTTCTCATCCATTTTTTTGCATTGGATGTTCCATGAAATAAACCATCCAGCTATTGGAGATAATCCTATGGAAAACCCCATATGAGGATAAACAAATCCAACTTTTGACCCATTTGAGTGTGATTATCTCATGAACGAGCCATATTTTAAAACATATTCATCAATTATTTAGATCCGAAATATTCATAGCTTGGACTTTGCAAACACATCTTTGAATATCTAAACATCCATGAGATATACATCATTATACATCCTATTCTCACTTTGTCAGTTTTTTCCCTTTTCGATCTTTTGGATCATTTTGGATCTATTCCTCCCAAAAACGTCCACAAGCCATACACAGGACATTGTCGCGGCTTAGCCTCAAACTGGCTTCCCAGCGTGCATTCTTGGATCAAATGCCCTTGCACCTCGAAGCTGACGCCCGGACGCCCCGCTTCGAAAAATCCGGAAAAAAAAACGAAGCAGGGAATCAAGAGATAATATATATAATTATACATAATATAACATATTTTTCCTTTGTCTTATATTATAAGTATAATATATATATATATATATATATATCGCCCGGACGCCCCGCTTCGAAAAATCCGGAAAAAAAACGAAACAGGGAATCAAGAGATAATATATATAATTATACATAATATAACATATTTTTCCTTTGTCTTATATTATAAGTATAATATATATATATTCATTATACATACCATGTATGAGGCCTATGTAAGGGGATATGATACAGTATGTCCCCAAAATCTGGCTTCAAAAGTGGTCTATTCCATTTTCGGGTCCAATTCAATTCCCATATCGATATTTTCTAGTAACCACATAAAAAGATATGTCGACATGTACCAAATTCTATTATAGTAACCAAATTCACATGTACCATTGATATTATAGTAACCCATTGAATTTGGTACATATTATTATTCTTATGAATATAATCCATTATTCTATTATATAACCAAATATATACTATTCCTATATATATATAATGTTGGCACCTGATTAGTAGCATGGTACTCTATTGTGGCAAACTTTTTCCTCCTTATTCAGTAACCTGCTGTTTGGTGGGGGGGGCCTCTATTGTGGCAAATGTTTTTCCAGATTTTTTTTTTAAATTGTTCCTAATTAATTAATTATTTTTGAATTTATTTAAATTGGTTACTTAAAAATGTTTTTCTGTTTTTCATTTTTTTAAATTAAAGCTTTCAAATGCAAGGTTTTCCAAATAATTAGATGCCTTATTAAACCCTTGTTAAAAAAACAGCATCCAGACAATTTTTCAAGGGGGTACCTCATGAGTGGCTCAGTTACTCAATAATATGAATGTTTGGATGGTACTCTATTGTGCCAAGCAACTTTTGGGATTGAAAAAAATCAAAAACCTTCTCCACCTTTCTTTGAGTAAAGCTGGTCCATTTACTTTAAAAAGCCATATTTGTGTTAAATCTTTAAAATGCAAGGTTTTCCAAATAATTAGATGCCTTATTAAACCCTTTTTAAAAAACAGCATCCAAACAATTTTTCAAGGTGGTAACCCATGAGTGGCTCAGTTACTCAATAATATGAATGTTTGGATGGTACTCTATTGTGCCAAGCAACTTTTGGGGTTGAAAAAAATCAAAAACCTTCTCCACCTTTCTTTGAGTAAAGCTGGTCCATTTACTTTAGGAAACCATATTTGTGTAAAATCTTTAAAATGCAAGGTTTCCCAAATAATTAGATGCCTTATTAAACCCTTATTAAAAAACAGCATCCAAACAATTTTTCAAGGAGGTACCTCATGAGTGGCTCAGTTACTCAATAATATGAATGTTTGGATGGTACTCTATGTGTCGCAAGCAACTTTTGGGGTGAAAAAACTCAAAAACCTCTCCGACTCTTCTTGTAGTAAAGCTGTTCCATTTACTTTCAGAAAGCCATATTTGTGTAAATCTTTAAAATGCAAGGTTTTCCAAATAATTAGATGCCTTATTAAACCCTTATTAAAAAACAGCATCCAAACAATTTTTCAAGGAGGTACCTCATGAGTGGCTCAGTTACTCAATAATATGAATGTTTGGATGGTACTCTATTGTGCCAAGCAACTTTTGGGGTTGAAAAAACATCAAAAACCTTCTCCACCTTTCTTTGAGTAAAGCTGGTCCATTTACTTTAGAAAGCCATATTTGTGTTAAATCTTAAAATGCAAGGTTTTCCAAATAATTAGATGCCTTATTAAACCCTTATTAAAAACAGCATCCAAGACAATTTTTCAAGGGGGTACCTCATGAGTGGCTCAGTTACTCAATAATATGAATGTTTGGATGGTACTCTATTGTGCCAAGCAACTTTTGGGGTCGAAAAAAAAAAACAAAACCCTTGAAAGTAAATTGAAATCAATTGAAAGTCAATTGAACGTAAATTGAATTCAATTAAAAGTAAATTGAAAATCAATTGAAAGTAAACTGAAATCAATTGAAAGTAAATTGAAATCAATTAAAAGTAAATTGAAATCAATTGAAAGTAAATTGATTTCAATTAAAAGTAAATTGAAATCAATTCAAAAAAATTGTTGAGGGTGGGGGGGCGCAAAAAAATGGTCAGTTATTGAGTAGACTAAAATTGTTTGAGGGGGGGGGGGCCCGCCCACTAATCAGTCGACAACATTAACCAAATTCTATTTTTCTGTTGCCGAACTGTATATCTGAGAAAGGTCCCACATCATTGGCTCATAAAAAATCACCAGATCCAGAAATCTCACCTTCCCACGTGTTCTGTTCAAAAGGCTGGCAGGCTGGGCCAACAAAAACGAGATCTTCAGCTGTTTTTATGGCGTTTACTTTGGAAAAGACCCTCTGGTAATGACACACATAGCTATTGAAAATGTACCATTTATAGTTGATTTACCTATTCAAAATGGTGATTTTCAATAGCTATGTTAATTTACCAGAGGGTAATGGTTGAGCATCAAATTGAAGGTTGTCTTCCCCAAATTTTATCGATGTTTTCAGGTACCAAACCGACATTGCCCTTGTCCCGACTGTCTGTCATAGCGGTCTGACGACACAACTGGTGGTTGAGGCATCCACTGTAGTCAATTGATGCTTAGATCATCATCTCATTTTAAGTCTGGAAATATCCAAGAACAATCAAAAACAATCAAAAAACAAACATCCAATTTCAACATGCTGGAACTTCTTTGAACATCTTTGAAACCGAGCTGTGTTTTCACATAGCTGGCGATGTCGATCGACCAGAGGTTGTGACCCAGGGGAAATTTATTCAATTCGACCATATTCAACCAACAAATCTGGCTGAATTGATAATGATGATTGATCATGGTTAATGATGGTTAATGATGGTTAATGATGGTTAATGATGGTTAATGATGGTTAATGATGATTGATAATGGTTAATGATGATTGATAATGGTTAATGATGGTTAATGATGGTTAATGATGGTTAATGATGATTGATAATGGTTAATTATGATTGATAATGGTTAATGATGGTTAATGATGGTTAATGATGGTTAATTAAGATTGATAATGGTGAATGATGGTTGATAACAATACTGCTTGGTGGTGCAATAACCATCTTGAAAAATATGAGTTCGTCAATGGGAAGGATTATATATCCCAGATATTATGGAAAATTAAAAAAATGTTTGAAACCACCAACCAGATTAATTCACTACCTTCTGGTGAACTAACATAGCTATGGAAAATCATCATTCTTAATGGGAAAATCCACTATAAATAGCCATTTTCAATAGCAAACTGTTAGTTCACCAGAGGGTAACCTGAAAATAGCTGAAGTTTGCTTCCATGTTGGAATGATTCAATCCAATTGACATCCAGTGACGTCACGTCACTTTTTTGCTCACAACATTCCATTCGAATCCAGTTATTTTTGGGCTTCCAGACATGTGCCCCATCTTACCCACTATGAATCACAGAAGAAAAAAACACGACGGAAATCAGTCTGAACATCACTATATCATGCTATATCACTATTTCTAATCTATTCCATCGCAACAAAATTCAGCAAAATCCATGAACATCCAGACCCAACGACCATCAACGACCATCAACGACGATCAACGACCGCCGCGCCTTGTACCATTTCACGCTCCCGTTGGGAGCTTCGAAGCAGAATTCATAGCCAAAGTCTGTGGTGACCTCTGACAACGACCCATTTCTCCTTTTTAAATGGAACCCAATGGGTTGAACGATGAACGATGAACATGAGAAATGTACCCTCTGGTAATTTAACGTAGCTGGTTGGTGGTGCAATAACCCTCTGAAAAATATGAAAGTCAATGGGAAGGATGACAACCCATATACTATGGAGAATATAAAAAAAATCTTTGAAACCACCAACCAGGTAGCTATTGGAAATTGCCATTTAGTTCGTTGATTTACCAGCTATAAACATGGTGAATTTTCTATAGCGAACTGTTAGTTTACCAAAGTGATCCAAAAGGTGTCTTGAAAAATCCTGACAATGTATGGTCAATGTCTATTTAATTCCAGTGCATTTACCCATCTTTGATTCATGGGATCCCGGCATTGTTTGTGAACACGTAAGGGCCGTAAGGATGGATTTTCATCCCGGCATAAAAAAAAAACATGGCAAGGGTGGAACATCTCCAAAAGTATTTGTTTTAACTGTTCTTGCCATGATGAAACCACCTTTTTTAAATAACAATATATACCCTCTGGTAATTTAACATAGCTATTGAAAATGGCCATTGAAATAGTGAGTTTTCCCATTAAAAATTGTGATTTTCCATAGTTACGTTAGTTTACCAGAGGGTAAATGGTTTTACCCCATCCCAAAAATATGGATGATCTTCCTGGCTGGTGGTTCTTGTGTAGTTTTAACATGTTTTAACCCATCCCAAAAAAATATGCGCGTGATCCAAACCGATCATCCCTTAAGTATGACTGAACCCGAAAGGGGACCACGACCACAACTCAAAAATCTCGTCACCAGCCCTGGCAGGACGAAATGACCCAACGAAAAACAGTAGTGTTTACTATCTACTGTGAAACTCTCTGGTACAGAACCATAATTCGACATACTATCTCTATACATATGGGGGTTATCTCTACATGTGGGGATTTCCTAAAATAGGGGTACCCCCAAATCATCCAAGTCATTCGACACTTTGAGTATCGAAACCACCTAGTATTTTTACATTGAAACTTCAGTGTTCACATCATCTCTGATATTTGGTATGAAAATAGCAACCAGTGTTTACCAACTACTTCTCTATACTATTCTATACTTATCTCTACATACATTGAACTTAAATATGAACAAATCATTGAAAGATATTGAAGCATCATTGCATCATGAAACATCATCTCCATATTTTCCATATGGCTATGGATCAATACCTATAACATTTTTAGGGGGATTCATATCCATTTACCAGCTATTTTGATGTTCACCAGGGGTACAAGGTTTTGACCCATCCCCATATGTTCCATCGCCAGGGCACAATCTCGGTGCTGGGGCTCAACTTTTCAGGGAAGACTTGACCTTCCTGGAAGCCCTTGCGGCGCATCCAGAAGTTCTGACCTCGCGACGGCACTTTGCGGCACGCGACGGAGCGAAGGCAGTGGCGAAGAAATTTCTATAGTCTTTCCATGTACAATGGCCCATAGAAATAGATGGTTTGATGGTTTACCTATTAATAGCATGATGAAATTTCCCATGGCGAACTGTTAGTCATAACCAGAGGGTAATGATCATTCAAAAAACATAAGCAATATGCCATGATCTGATCACTTCATGAGGTGAACGGTTGCCACGTTGCCACGAACTCCCACTTCCCATGGCCCCTGAGGTCCCCGGCACATCGTCTTCAAGATGGACACAAAGGACGCACGCCACAGGACCATGCGGGGATCGCAGATGTCCATCTGCGCTTGTTGTGAAATCAAATGTTCAATCTCCCTGGTCTTGCTATCCTCATCGCGAGAAGAGGGAGTCAGCCGGACAGCCGGACCCTTCTGGGCAAATGTCAACCAGAATCAAAAGGGTTTGTCTGAACAGAGGGCACCCCAAAATCCCATAATTTATCATCATCATGCCGACTACCCTCTGGTAATTTAACATAGCTATTGAAAATGACCATTTATAGTGGATTTTCCCATTGAAAATGGCGATTTTCCATAGTTATGTTAGTTTACCAGAGGGTAAATTCACCATTTTGGGAACAAAAACCTCGTTCTGAGACACGCCCATATTACAACTGATGAGCTCGTTGGAATAACTTGCCCGGACCAACTGAGAGACCAACTGGATGACTATAATGTGTCGCAAACATAGGGTCCAGGGTGCATCCACAATTGTCCCTTCTGACGGTCTCTTGGCCACAGGAAGTTATATAATAACCAGAAAACAAAACAACTAAACATATATATAAGATCTATATGTACTATAAACTATATAAATATAATATAATATATTTATATACACACTAATATGATGTAAACATCTTCATTCATTTGCCCCCAACTGATCCATCCATCCGAGCTGCGGTGACCACCCCGGTCTTGGCGTTGCCCTTCAGGGACCACACCGCAGCGCCGCAGATCCGCACGTAGTTCGCCAGCATCTTGGACTCGCTGCGCAGCTCGGTGATGTCCTGACCACGGTGAACCGGTGAACCGTTAAGGGAAGGCCGACCGGGAAGGCCAGGGAAGGCCATGACCGGAGAAACAGAAAGGGGTGAACTCGTGGTGGTAGTGATTTAGAGTGAGGTTCATAGTGATTTTTTGAATTCACAGTGATTTTTTGAGTGGTTAAGAGTGGTTTATCTTATTAAGAGTCCTATTCAGAGTCTTATTAAGAGTGGTTAATAGTGATTAACAGATATTAATAGTGATTAATAGTGATTAATAGTGATTAATAGTGATTAATAGTATAGCCAAACATAATTTGTGTGGGTCACTTTTGGATCAACAAAAACATAGGCGAAAAAGGTCTATCCAACCGTAATGGAATGGAGATCACGTGTTTGGATCAACAAAAAAGGGGGTATACATACCAATAAACCTTCATAAACCCAACTTGACACGGTAAACATGGCATTGGTTTACCATGATTTACTACAAACGAATCCATGGATATCTAGGACTCTGGATATCTACTCACTAAAGATTCGATGCAATCTGGTTGGTGGTTTTTCGCCCTAGCCCACTGGAAAATGATGGAGTGAAAGTCAGTTGGGATGATGACATTCCCAATTGAATTGGAAAGTCATAATCCAGTCATGTTCCAAACCACCAACCAGCTATAGGTGGAAAACTCATTTTTATAGTTTGGAACATGTTCCAACCCAATATGTGGAAAAATAAAATTCATGTTCTGAACCACCAACCAGCAATTGCATAGTTGTTATATATGATGGAGCCATATGGGTGTTGATCAAAATAAAACTATCTCGGGCAGCTTCAATGGCCGATCAACCGCGAATCAACCGCGATCCCAACGGTGTCAATCGCGGGAGGGTTCTGTCGTATCTGACACTATTTTGCACGGAGAATCGTCGAAGCATGGCTGATGTCACAATGATTCTATATATGTAGAGACATGGCGTGAGCCAGGGCCTACTCATCAATCACGGATCAACCGCGAACCAATCGCGGATTTCATCGACATTTTTTTTTAAATTGAATTGTGTTCTGTTAGACTTTGAACTTTGTTGTTCTGCAATTCTTCTTTGCTATCGGCTATCACTGTTGAACATAGTTTCCAAACAAACCCAAATATAAGTCTGGAAACAGAATATCATGCAATATCGTATTGATTTCTCCTCTCGCAATAGTTGATTCTCATACTCATACCGTTTGTCTCAATCGCGAACCAATCGCCGATCAATCGCGATGCAGGGTTTTACAATCCCGGATGTTGAAATATACGTGCCCTTTCATAATTCTTAGACTTGCATTTACGATTGGCTCCCATATGGCTATATGTATATTGTATTATATAGTTAATATCATAATAGTGAAATAGTGGGTACTACGGTATATATATATAACATATGATAGATCTGTGAAACAGTACAAACTATTGGAAACGGTGCAAACCGGGCGGGAAAGCTGGGGCTGAAGTAAATCCACCTTGACATTGTTTTAAGCACATGGTCTTTTGGAATTTAAAGTTCTAGTTTCAGGTAGTGTACAGAGACCTCCATGCTGCACTTTCTTGGTGGATCATACCAACCATAATCAATCATCTCATCTCTCCAAACATTGATTTAAACTTGTAAAAAAATATGTACCACATTGTACCCCCCATTTGCAACAATCTAATGAATCTAATACAATTTTCACATATTTTCCAGGTTTCAAAAAGAATCCTCCAATGTTCAGACCTGCCCAAGTTCTCCCCTCGGTCATGACCGATGCCGATGACGCCCACGATGTTTCCATGACGATCACGGCGGCCCGTGGCACTCCACAGGATGTCTTTGCGGTGCCCACTCTTCGTCCACAGCGAGAACTCGTAGTTGGTGATCTCCTGCGAAACGAAAAATGTCAGCACTGGGTGACACCTGGAAATGCCGTTGATTAACCATCAATCATCAATCATAAATATATTATAATATATTATATGTATGATGCCATGATGTGCGGTAGGCCAGAAGATGGCACCTCAAAAACTTGGGATCGGGACATCATCCCACACAGGTGTGGGAAGTGGAAGCCTCAAAGCCGCCGACTTGCAGACTTGTGAGCAGTCGCAATGTACCCTCTGGTAAGCTAACATAGCTATTGAAAATGAACCATTTTTTGTTGGTTTACCATATAAATAATGGTGAATTTCCATAGCTATTTATGTTAGTTTACCAGAGGGTACCCCAAAATGGACAGTGATATCATCTCAAAAAAACTGGCAAAACTCAAGTCGTTGTGATGGTGCCATCTCTAGCCTCTGGTGAAATGCTGTCTCAATTCGCGGGATCTACAGTGGATTTTTCCAACATTCTTGACAATCACTGGTTGGTGGTTGACCTACCCCTCTGAAAAATATGAGTTCGTCAGTTGGGATTATTATTCCCAACTGGCAGTGTGTCAAAACCTTGTAGCCCTGTAGTTCACATCAAAATAGCTGGTAAATGGATGTTCATCCCATTAAAAATGGTATTAATAGGTATTGATCCATACCCAACTGAATGGAAAGTCATAAAAGTCATGTTCCAGTCTCCACCAACCAGATCAATCCTCAAATCAGGGTGATCAAGTAGAATTGATGATAATTTTACTTGATAATTGGAGGCCCTAGATTCCTAGATCTTGATCATTGGAGGTTTTTCTAGCGTTTTTCTAGGTTTTTCTAGGTTTTTCTAGGGTTTTCTAGGTTTTTCTAGTAGAAAATCATCAACATCCTTGGATCAATCGGGGGCCCATCGACATCGACTCCTGGCCATTCATCCCCTGTGAGAGCATGGTCTGCACGGAGTCTGAAAACCTCGGAGAAAACGCGAAGTTTCTGAAGAAATTCCTGGGTGAAACCAGGTGAATTCTATGGTTTATGATATATCATGATATATCATGATATATTTATAGTTAATGGGTTTATAAACCATTTCTCATGATATATTTATATAGTTAATGGGTTTCTAAACCAACACACATATAATTATATAACTATCATAACTGCGGAGCCTCACCTTACCGATTGGATTGATGATTGATATATCGAACTAGCTAGATGGGCTTATGAACCAATAAAAAAGTTGGCACCACTTTGCTGTTGAATAGATGACACATATGAAAACCTCATAGTTTTCAGCTGTCCAAATTGTCCAACTCTTTTATCTTCAGAGTTGCGACTTTACAAATCCTCCCACTTGGAGCCATAGATTGGGAGTAAATCCATGTAAATCCACCATATTTCAACACACCAAAACATGATATATACGATATATATATATGATACATTACCTGCAGGATCCACATCCCAGAAATTTTGAGGTCTTTACGCTTTCCAGGGGTTTGGGCGGATGTAGGATGATTTAGGAATTTCACACCCCAACAAGTGCAACGGATACGGATTGGCCCACGTTTTGCATTTGAACGGTAGGAATTGGACAGGGAGCATTCCACTTTCACTGATGTCGCTCTATTTTGCGGATTTGCAGGTGTTTGATGTTTTTTTCTGCGGTTCTGGCATTCTGGCATTCTATCGTAAAATTATTTGTGACATTCTATCTGGCATTCTTTCTGGCATTCGGGTCCAGGCGTGCCCCACAGCGTCCGGCTCTCACTCCAGTGCAGAAAGAAGACGGGAGTGATGGCAGCGAGTGAAGGAAGGAAGGAAGGAAAGGAAGGAAAGGAAAGGAAAGGAAAGGAAAGGGAAGGGAAGGGAAGGGAAAGGAAGGGAAGGGAAGGGAAGGAAAGGAAGGGAAGGGAAGGGAAAGGAAGGGAAGGGAAGGGAAGGAAAGGAAGGAAAGGAAGGAAAGGAAAGGAAAGGAAGGAAGGAGGCGTTGCACCTTTGTTAAAATCTAGAGACTCTTACCTGGCAGTTGGGGGAAACCATCGGATATCAATTCCAAGAGATATATATATATATACATATTATATATATACCACATATTTTTTGACCTAAATCCTAATTTTGATGCTTAAAACCCCCCTGGTCCCGTAGCTTCTCCCATATGTTTGTTGGAGCAACCCTGTTAAAAGTGCGTAGTAATGGTCATTACACGGTTCGTAACGGTGGTTAATCATGGTCAAATAATATGGCTAATGGTGAATAATGCTTAAACTCATTGTTTAATTCAATTCCATTATCTTCCATAATTCATCATTGTTTAACATTGTTTTTTGTTTTTTTTGGTGGTTACCACATGTTCCCAATATATCCCCATATATTGTTGCTTCGTTGCTACAACCAACGCGGCCGGGGCACTCATCGGCGATGAAGTGTTGCACCAGGCGCTTTCCAACGGCTTCGTCTTTGGTGAAGCCGAAGAGCCGTTCAGCGCCACGGTTCCACTCCTACCGTGGCCCCGGGTTCGACATCGCCATTTCTGTTGGTGCGTTCATATCTCAAATAACGTTGCTTCATGATATAACTATAGTTATTTATTGATGAAAAGTTTTTATAGTTATAGTGGGGTTTATAAACCAAACATAATAACTGGGCCCCATATTGTTGGACCATGGCTTTTACGAATACCCTCCGGTGTCATCAAACATGGCAAGCTGGAAACTCTACTACAGAGACTATGTATATATATAGTATAGGTTTCTAGCTGGGACAATCGACTAAAAATGTGTGACTTTCCATTGCTACGTTTGATTGCCAGAGAGCATCCTTGCCCCCTACAGGAACAGATTGCATACAAAATTCCACAAAATTCCATGGATTACAACGACATGGGGAGTGAAACATAGAAAGTCTGGGTAAACCAACTTGTGATGTCATAGCAAAATGATGGGATTGTATATGGGGTTATATTCATGGCGCTTCACTGGTAGGACCCAGTGGATACGTAGTTGATTACACTTTTTCTATGGGTTATGTACTGACGAGTTGACTTGTTTATTGAATTACAATCCCGAATCCCAAGCCACACATATCATATAAGTACCACCATATTGGATATATTGGGGAACCAAACTGAATTGAACCAATCTTAAATAATCGGGGAAAAACAACTTAAGGCCCCAAAAAGTAACATCAACCACTTTGGATTCACCAACAATCCTGGGAGTTCAACCCAAATGGCAAACATCTATGCAACGATCGTCAACCATCCGTTCAACCATCCATAATACCCTCTGGTAATGACTAACATAGCTATTGAAAATGGCCATAGAAATAGTGAGTTTTGCCATTAAAAATGGTGATTTTCCATAGCTATGTTAGTTTACCAGAGGGTATCAATATGTATCAATTAATTGGCTCTTATGGATATACTGAAATGAACCAAAATTTGCTGTTTCCATGAAATGAACCACCCAGAATCCAGCAGAAACATGTGTATATATATATATATATCCTACAGGTGTACGGGATGGTAAGAGAAGATATTACCATCATCAATTGTGGAACATAAAATCAATCTATGAGAAAGATGATTGCTGGTCCTTCATGATGTACAATAGCAGAAAGACATGCAATAATCATGATCACGCAATATGTTTGATTCAGAAAGATGTGGATGTTGATCAGAAAAAGCATCAGGAATCTCATCCATAAAACCTGGTTTTTATTCATATTCTCGGATGCTCCTGATCATCAGTGATGATAATCATGGCAGCATGGCAGTATCAGGAAAACAAAAAAACAGGGTTTAAATTATTTTGGTTATACATATATATAATATATATATATATCTAATATATATATAATATATATATATAGGTGTTTCCAAAAATGGAGGATACCATGGGGAAGCTGAAGTTGATGTTAACCATTGGATTTGGGGCAAAATCTGGCACTGCCTGGTTGGTGGTTTGAAGCCCTCTGAAAAATATGAAAGTCAGTTGGGGTCAATATTCCCAACTGAATGGAAACAAAAACATGTTCCAAACCACCAACCAGAATATATTGGAATATGAAACTGTCAAAGATAGTTCCGTTTTAGTGATGATTTAATGAAATTATTCATATTCAATCTACTCCAGGATGACAATACAATACTAGTCTTATGAGGCTACCCTGCCAGAGAGAGGGGGATGGTAAAATTCAATAAATTGCATCTACAGGTGCATCTACAGTCACACTTGAAATTGCATATTGCATCTAGGCATGTTGCCAGAAATGCACCTGTGAATTTCATTTCTTCCCAGAAATATACTAGTGAGTGTATATATATATATGTATATATATATATATACAGTACAGTACAGTATATATCGTATTGACAAGGATGTATGACTCACCAAAATATGGATACTCATTGTTCTTCATTGGGATAACCCACTGGTCCTCCACCACTCCGGTCTTGTCCACGGCAATCAATGGGGCATTTACTTCACCTTCGAAGAGGATCGGTTTTCGGAACTGGAAAATCAGCTGAGCGAATCAAGACGCGACCATCTGGTTATGACTATAGCGAACTGGACAATCCATTATAAATGGACGTTTTAATGGGAAAATCATCTGTAACTGGGCCAATTTTCCATAGCTATGTTGAATAACCAGGAGGGTACTTAACTCATTGATTCATCCAACCCTTCAATCCAACCCTTCAAAAAAAGGGTGACCAATGATAGATGATAAGCCCAATTGATCCCAATTGTTAGGTAAATTTCTTGGTGATTCATCAAGCCTTAGAGCTTAAACCCATCGCTGCCTTAGGTGATCCGCCAAGGTGCGAATCAATCGATCCTGCATCGTCAGCTCGGAATTGCTGTTCTTCAAGAGCTCAGTGAGCTCCTGGCGCTATAATGATCAAGCATGTTATTGTCTATCATTATTATGTATACATATTATATATACATATGTATATGATTATATATGTAAATATAGCATGTTAATTATCTATGATCTATAGTTCATTCTATTTAAGTTTTGCTTAATGCTTAAATGCATGTGTAATGAAATGCATGTGTATATGTAATATTTATATGATTCTATAAGTATCATAAATACATACATAGGAATATAACTAGGCAACGTTTGTATTGGAGTCTTTGTTTCGCTGTCTTTTTACCATGACCAACTGGGAAGTCTCCCAGTTGATTCCCTCAACGGGATGATGGGGATGGGATGTACCATTCATGTTGCTTATGTTGCTTGGGATTCTTGTAAGATACCCTCTGGTAATTTAACATAACTTTGGAAAATCACCATGTTGAATGGGAAAACTCACTATAAATGGCCATTTTCAATATTTCTAATGGGTAAATCACCATTTTTAATGGGTAAATCACCATTTTTAATGGGAAAATCCACTATAAATGGCCATTTTCAATAGCTATGTTAGTCATAACCAGAGGGTACCCTCTGTGCTCAAACATGGCTGGAACCTCGGAACATCCACCGTTTGTGGTTGGAGTCCTGGCCGATGTACAGCACCCCTGAGGAATCTCGACTGCTGATGCTGGGACAACTGGAGGCCGAAAAGAGGACCTGCCATGCTGTGGCAACTCTGAGAAGAAATGGGGATTTCATGGGGATTTCATAGGGATTTGATCATCAACAATGGGGATTATGATGGGATATGGCTAGTAATCCGAAAATGAAACAGAAGTTTGAATATCCATGAATATCCCACAAACATGTGATTATGGTGGTTTATGAAAATTGTTTAAGACATCATTGAAATCAAGATCTGTTGCTGCAACTCCAGGATCTTAAATCTGGACCAAGACTGCCCAAGGAATTGGCTTCACTGCGGGAGTTATCACTGGTATCGCTAAAGCATGACGTCTATTTTTGTGATGGCGACCTAGTCACCAAGTAGATTCGTAATGTTCAATAGCGGTGAATCCAAATTCATCAACAATCCCAATAGTAGTTGCGGTTTAGGAACTTGGATATATCAAAGAGGAATCCCCAGGAAGAAAAGTAAAATCCAAAATGCTGATACATTATTTTATATATTTTTGTTGATAACTACATAAGACATATATATATATATGAATCATATAGATATATATGAATATATATATATATACACGAATATATATATATACATATGAATATATATATATATACATACATATATATATACATGAATATATATATATATACATATATGAGGTTACATAAGTATATATATATGTATATATACAGTAAGATTATAGCAACGTAGATCCCAAATGATGTCCCAATATATCCGAGCTGTGAAGTGTACATCAGCCAGTAACCCACCATATATCATCTAATCTAATCTAATTGAACCCAATCGAATCCAATCCGTCAAATTGTCGATTTGATTTACATATATATATATATACTACAATACATATATATATAATATTATATATTATTATATTATATACAATATTAATATATATTATATACATGATACCATGATACAACAATCATCTCCCCATCCCCAATGCTTTTGGGAGCGGCGCCTCATACCAGGGCTGCCCTGCTGCACGCTGCCGCACGCAGAAGCGCCGTTGCAGCTGCGCGGAACCGGACCTCAAAGCGGCGACGTGTGAGTCATGGGGGGGTTTCCTCCGGTAAACGAAGCTAGCCATGGTATAGATGGCCCGTAGAAATAGATGGTTTACCTATTAAAAATGGTGATTTTCCATGGTTTACCTATTAAAAATGGTGATTTTCCATGGCGAACTGTTAAATAACCAGATGCTATAAGACAATGGTCCATATATAATCTGGTTGGTGGTATACCTACCCCTCTGAAAAATGATGGAGTTCGTCAGTTGGTGACTATTATTCCCAACCCATAGGATCCATGTATGCTATATATGGTAATATTTACCATCAATATACCCCAAATGTTAGCATATATACCATACATGGATCCTATGGGCAATATATGGAAAAATGAAATTCATGTTCCAAACCACCAACCAGTAATTGATTTACCTCCGAAAATAGTGATTTTCCATAGCTATGCTAGTTTACTAGAGGGTACTCAAAAATGGAAGGGACCCCCAAACGTTATGTTTGTTGGTTTATAAGCCGATCTAACATCATCTAACTATAGTCATAAGATGTTATAAGTATCATAAACCAAAGTTGTTATAGCTATAGACTAACTTAGCTAACTATGGGGCCCCTTCCTGCAAAATGGATGGTTTTGAATGGACATCCTCTAAAAAATGGATGATTTGAGGGTACCCCGACATATGGAAACCAAATGGGGGACAAAAAAACACCATATCTTCTGACAGGAACACGCACACACACACAGACTTCTAGGGGACGACGATGATTATTTACGACAACAATTTGATCAGGAAACGTTGGAATTTGGCCACAAATCCAGACTCAAACAAAATGTGGAACAAAAGATCTAAGCAGAAGGAATTATACAGCAGCAAAGATGCGGAAGTTGTCAAGTTGTTAGCCAACATGGGAATTGAGCCAACCAACATGGAAATTTAACCCCTTCAGCAGCGCAATTGAGATTCAACCAATGAAATGGCCATTGTGATTGTGACCTGCTGAAAAATCTGCCAAGGTGATATACCTTTGACCAGTGCAAGGGGGGAACCAATGGTGGTTGCGAACAACTTACTGTTTATGGGATGAACATGAATGAACATAAATACATATATATATATAAATACATATATAAATATATACTCTTGTATTGTTACATACCGCCAGCCACTATTGTTGGTGATAGTGCTCCTATTTCTACATAAACTCTCTCCAACTCTCTCCCTATGCTGATGCTGAATTTCCAAGGCAAGCATCCAATTATACTCTCTTCTTCCCAGTGTTGCTGATACGGTTTTGGGCTTGGGGGTAGATCCATTTTCAGACAAACCTACAAGGTGGTGCTCCCCCAGCTATAAGTGGCTTTATAAACCCATTGAGTATATTATAGATAGATTTACAATAGACCCATACGTGAAATGTTAGTTACCAACATGGCTAACTAAATCCCATGGCAATCCCATGAAATCACCATATTCTTGCTGGTAGAATCACCATTTTCCTTTCCTGGGTTTTCCTATGGTTTTCCCATGGTTTGCGAACAAAAAGGGGCACCACCTCGTCTCCTTGAATCGGGCCACGCGGAGGCCTTCGCTGCGATTGCGGCCTGCGAGAGACATGGCCGCGGAACTTTTGGTCATGTTGGTTCCAAAAAGGGGAATGATACCATCTGGTTCTATTCCAAGCCACACACCCCACTGGTTCACCTTGGAATCCCATGAGGAGTGACCAGCTTCATCCAAGACACATCTGGTTCTTTAACAGTTCGCCATGGAAAATCACCATGCTATTGATAGGTAAACCAATGTAAACCATCTATTTCGATTAGGGCCATCTATACCATGGCTATGTTAAATAACCAGAGGGTATGTTGATTCAATGATTCACTTAAGCTGTAAGAAAGTAGAGAAAAGAATGGTACTATAGTACCATCACCTAACTATAGTTATAGCAATGATATACTAAGGTCGCTGTTATCCAAGAAACATATAGAAACATGGGATATTCAATAATTGTTCAATGAGTCATATCATGAAATCTTAATGGGATACCATCCAAAAAAAACGTGAGATTTCATCAAAAAATATCGATTCACTGTTATCCAAATGATATATTGATATCCATTGTGAAAAACACATGTAATTCAATCAACTAAATATTTATCAGGAATCAACTAATCTATATCAGATTTTATCAGGACAATTTTTTTGCATAATTATTCTAAATTGTAATTACATATACATGTCTGGATAGAATATGATAATTGATTCACTCAGAATGCTTCGGCCATTTTGGGGTCACCTACCTAACCTATCATTCCAGTGAGGTCGTTGTATCATTTTGTATCAATCTACTCAAATATACTCATCATTTGTATCAAGTTAGTGTCTATACCTTAGCTGTAAGATGTTGTAAGTGGAATTGAATGATCTAGTAGACATAGAATGGATCCTAGTTGACTGTATCTATATACATGTGTATAATATATATATGTATCATATGTATAATAGGGTGCCCAAGAAAATTGAAAAGGTTGGAACAATTCTGTGTGTTCTTGTCTATCCTTTTCAGGGTTGCTACTATTTACATACACACGTACATACATACATCCCAAAGTTTCCAAGGCTGAAATAATAAGGTAATATCATGTTTGATACCTTCTCCAATCATCATCATTAGCGAGATTGGTTGAGGTCGCTAATCATTGTCTAGTTGGTATGACATAGCCATAGTTTGCCTTTCATACATTGGTTAAGTATGCTTAGGTGGGATATATCCCTTACATCCCAGTTACACAAAAAAAGCGGCTCCTGCAGGTCTGCCAAGCCCAGTTGACTTCCATGTTCCAAGAAGTCGGAGAAGGGTCTCCTGCCGTGTATCGTTGTGCTTAAAAATCAAATCCTGTCAGTTTAAGCTGCTTATCCTAGGGATCCCTACGGGTAAAGATGTGGAAAACCCATGGTTTCCTGTGCGGAACATCGTCTACAAATGGTGGCTATGTTCTCCACATGTTCAACTACCGCAGATCCGATGGTCGTCTCCTCAATGCGGACTCGGAGGGACATCGAAAGACCTCCTCGGCCTTCTTGTTCCAACCTGAACTCTTTGGGGCAAATCATTGAACTCAACGGAGGATGATTCTGACTGAATTGTTAATAAGTATATTATTTATATAATAATAATATTTAACCCATAGGATCCATGTATGCCATATATGGTAACATTTACCATCAATATACCCCAAATGTTACCATATATGGCATACATGGATCCTATGGGTAATAATAATAATAAATAATAATAATAATAAGCAAATTAATAAGTTACTATAAAGCCTGAAAGACCTGAACATATCTGGACTTGCAGTCATTTGGGGATGATTCACGGACTAATCATCATTCCAGTGAGGTCACAATGAGGTCATTATAATTCATCCAGATGATATTGACCATAACCAAAAATACACCGCATCAGTTCAGAGATGGAGCCCTAGAATCATGGCCATAGACTCAGTAGTGCTGCAGCAAGTGATCAACATGTCTTCCGGGACCATCATCTGGCTGTATATCCCAATATCCAAAGGTTAAAGCCGCCTGTAAATCTGGCTGAATTGAAATCACTCACCAACCGGAAAAGTTCGGGGTGGGATGTTTGCCTCAATCCCAATCATCATCCACGTTGCAGCGAGGTCCTTCTAGGTCTTTTTCCACATTTGGAGATGTTTGGAAGGCCGGAGAACTGCCAAATGTGTGAAGGGCGCCCCCCAAAAAAACGAGGAGATAAAGACTAGCCACATGGGGAGAAAGAAAGACAAACAGTCTAGTAAGTGGATGCAAGTAGTTCCATAAATTTCCAGAAATGCAAGCACCAAACAGATCCAAACGGTACATGTGGATTAATATATATATATATACAACATGACATTGCCAGTAGAGATGATCAAGGTATCAGGCTAACAAGTTACCTGGCAGCTCTCCCATGGACAAACTGTCAGAGTTTGGCTGGAAATTGGATAACATATCCCTTGAGAAAACCCCACAGCTATTTAACGGATTTCAAGGCCTTATTCCGATACTTGTTGCTGATGTATGGGTATGAAACATAATGGGCATATGCGACATCTAATTCCCTTGTCCTATCGAATATTAATCCATGCAAATCAAAAAATGTCCAACTCAGCAAGTACCAAGACCAAGCAAGTACCAAGCAACGAGTGATTAAACCATATCGGTCCACTGCCTAGGACGTGCGGGACTGGATATTGAAGCACTTCGGCGAAGTGATAGTGGTTGGCCAACTATCGGCCAGAAATCAATGACCTGTTAAGGAAACCACGGCAGCCAATCCTCTTTGAGAATCACTAGGGACCATCATTAAATAGCCAAGAAATGCAAACTGGAAAAATCAGAATCAGGACACCACACAACCGTTGTAAAATTTGCCAAGGTTGGGGTCATGGAATACATTGATTCCAACTTCCCAGTGCTGGACTGCAGGACCAAGAGAAATCAACCACTGTGTCTAGCTTTGTTTCCAATGTGGGCTTGTTTCAAAGTTCCTAAATTCATGGGGAATCATCATTTTCCCGATCAAAATTGCCATTTGGGGCTACAAAGGCAACCATATGAGACAAACACACACACACATGTCAAGGCAAAAAACAACCATAAACTTGGACATACTCCCTACTTATCCTCCGGTATAGTCAACATGGCTAGCTAGACATTTTCCCATAACTAGTTCGATGATTTGCCCAGCGAACCAAGCCTCCATAACTAGTGAACTGGCCCAGCTTTCGGATGGATCACGAATCATCATCCCATTGATCCCGGTATCCGTTGGTATCAGCTCCATGATTTTTGCTGAACAAATCCCCATTCTTCGAGGATTTGTCTCTTTAAACCCCATTGATAGAGGATTTCCAATTGTCATGTTCCAGTACCAAGTTGGGTAACCATGATAATATCACATTGAGAAAAACCATCATTAATCACGAGTAACCACTACCATGATTCACCGTTACTTATATGAGCCATGGTCAATACTCACTATATGGTTGATGGTCATCCCATCCATAATAAGGATCCTTATAATGGTTATTATAAATCCCTATGAACCATTGGATGACTAGCCCCTACTAATGGTTATTGACCATGAGTATTGACCATGGTTTACTACGAGCCATTCTTGACGTGTCAATGACGTGTCGTTTGGATGGAAAGCTTCCCTGGTGGCCGCCGGTGGCCGCAACGCGGCGTTGGGCAACCCGAACCACGATGGGCGCATTAGCACCATCCACACAGCGACGAAGGCTGGCATAGGCCTGTGGTGGAGACATGGTGAATCTTAGCTTAGATACCTCGATTTGTTGGTTAGTGGATGTTTAATATAGCAACAGATTACAGTACTAGCTCCGGTTAGTACATGTTTACCATAGCAGATTAAAGTACTACCAGTAGTTCCATAGCAGATTTAAAGTACTATGCGATGATTCAAGTACTGATTAGCTAGCATCTAACAAGTTGCTTTTTCCAGTTGAGGTCAAAAAAAACATGTTCCCAACCTTGCGACGATGATTTAACTATTTCAATAGGTTGGAGCAACCCTGTAAATCATATGTAAATACCCTCTTAACATAGCTATTGAAAATGGCCATTTATAGTGGATTTGCCCATTAATAGCATGGTGATTTTCCATAGCTATGTTAATTTACCAGAGGGTAACAATGTTAAGCGGAAACATTACCATTCAATAGGTCAACTATGGACACTCTCTCCTCATGAAAAAGCAAGATTTCACGGGACAACTGCTGGTTTGTATAACCATCAGCAAAATGGCGATTGAATGGGCTTTGACGGGTTTTATCCTCTGGTAATTCAACAGTTTGCTATGGACAATTGCATTTTTACTAGGTAAATAACATATATTAAAATATCATAGAATCATCTAACCAAATTAGGCCACGTTCCATAGCCATGTTTGATGCAGTGCTAGTCCTCCCTTTGGCCAGCAAGGTGGCTTGCTAGGCAAATCGTATCGAGAGTTTTTCCGGGTTTTCACATCTAATTCTGATGAAATACTGTTTCATTAATGGCTTGTGAATGGGTATAATAGATATGTATAGGTATGTATTTGTATAGGTATTATTGATAGATGGGTTAGTTCATGGATATTGAATTATATACTGAAAATCGGTCCTTAATGTTCCTTAAGTATCCTGATTTTATGGGTTGTGAATGGCTACAATGTGTTATGTTTATCCGTGTTTAGGATTGACATCTTCCACAGGATCAAATTCTACACTGAAGCTGACCCATATTCAGTTGAGCCATGACAACAATACCATATCTCATCATTCTCATCCCATGAAATATATACATACCAGTCACCAGTCGCTTAAGAATGGCCAATAGAAACACCTTTTGTGGCATTACGGGTTGTAATCTGTTGCAATTACCCCAATAGCCAGGGAGTCATTTTTTTTGTCGCAGCAGGAACGACGCGGCAGAACGTTCCCGTTTCGCCCGTTTCGTTGGGCTCATTGAACTGACAATTGCAGGGTTTCACCAACACAGTTTGGAAAATGATGTGTTACTCACCAGCAATTGTGAACCATTGATAATCGTCTGAAATAGATGCCTTTCCCTTTCTCTCTAAATGTGTGTATGTAAGTATATAAATAAATAGAGAGAGAGAGATAGAACCATCTACAAACCCTATATCATGTATACAGTTGTATTGCAGAAACGCATCTACATGCAGGTGGACAATATATATATATATATAGTATATATTCCCATTACATACTACATACTATTACCCTCTGGTAAACTCACATAGCTATGGAAAATCACCATTTTTAATAGGTAAACCATCTATAAATGGGCCATTTTCCATAGCTATGTTAGTTTACCAGAGGGTATATACACATATCATCATATATCATCCTGCCCAGAACTCTCGAACGCCATCAAACCCGTTGGTTCCTGACCTCTGCTTGATCCCGTTGGTACCGTTCCGCATCCGCGAGAGCCTGCGGGTTGAAGCAAAAAGGAGCGTCAGTTGAAGTCATGTCCATCAACGATTTAATGAGTTTAATAGTGGTTAATATTGGTTAACATGAATGATTAAGATATTTAAGATGAATGACTCACATGAATGAGACCAATATAAATGGATCATTTTTTCATGCTCAATATAAAAATGGTTCATGCTAATCTGGGTAAATTCTTTCATAATTCACTAACCTGAATCTTGCGCCCATAAAAGGGGATGATTTCCCTAACATTCACCATGATTCCCAGGCTTCGGTCGAACGACGTGAGGTCGTGATGAAATTTACCCAGTCCCAAAAGGGTCAACTCACAAGCGGATTTCCTGATCGAGGTCAAACATGTCGAAGCGTTACTCAACCGCTAAGCCATTCATATGGCTACCCTCTGGTTATGTCAAAATAGCTATGGAAAATGGCCATAGAAATAGTGAGTTTTCCCATTAATAGCATGGTGATTTTCCATAGTGAATTGTAAACGTTTACCAGAGGGTACTGGCGACAGGAGATCATGTTTGTTGCTTTCCATATCCCATGACGGATCCATGCATGCTATATATGGTGTGCCATGGATCCCATCAATATACCCCCTTGATGTTAGCATTAATCTACCAGCACCATGGATCCGTCATGGGGCAGGTGAAGCCAACAAGGCCCCCATGGTTTTTCAGGTCCGACCAGCTGGCTGTTGTGGTTCCCTGCTATCCGAATCACAACTGACCTACAGCATCCTACAGCCACATGTTTCTCTACAAAAAACGCCCGCGCGTAGCATGATTTGTCGTAGCAACACCTACCATGTACAGCCTGTACACTTTTTCTTTGGATCAATCAATTGATAGTGACTTTTTGGTGCGGGTCATACCTGTGAAGCACAGGGTGATTCCATCTTTTAGTCTCTTTTACCCTCTGGTAAACTAACATAGCTATGGAAAACCACCATTTTTAATGGGTAAATCCATGATAAATGGCAATTTTCAATAGCTATGTTAGTTTACCAGAGGGTAGTCCATGTTTGCATCCAGCATCTTGGTCTTGGGAAGTTCGCTGACAAGCGATGCAACCAGCGATGCAGTAGGATGCCATGGATTCAGTGGACTGCAGCTGGGTAACGACCACTGGACACGGTAGATGAAGAGGAAGTGTTTTTTTAACCCCAGGAAAAGAGTGCCATAAACTGTGCTATTTTGGCAAACCCAGTATGGTATTGTAATTTTGCATGTCATGTATATATATATATATATGCCAAATCCCATAGTATCCCAATTACATAGTACCCTACGTTAACATAATCCCATAGTATCCAGCAATTTCATAGGATAATTTGCATGTACTTTTAAGTATCCTATGTTTGTTGCTTAAATGCCCCATCCGCCTCTGAGATCCTAGGGTGAATCATCCATTTAAGCTATGTTTCCACTAGTTTTCACTCTTATCCACATCATATCCTGGTAAACTAACACAGATATGGAAAATCATCATCTTTCATAGGTAACTCAACTACAAATGGGCTATTTTCAATAGCTATGTTAGTTTACCAGAGGGTATATCCCATTGTATCCGCTCTACCCCCAGTATAGCTCATTCAAAGAAACTACATTTATACATATGCGTCTTGGGACAGAGCCACATCATATTGTTGTTCAACAATACCCCATTAGATCCCATGAAACAGTTTGCTTTCTACATCCCCTAAACCAATAATTCAGTAGTTTTACCTTTAAGTTATGACATGCATAACCCCAAAAATAGAAGAAAAACGAGGTCCTATTCCTGCACACTAATGATTAACTTGATGTTTCAAATCAAGAAAAAGTCTGTGTTTCCTATGTCTTTGGGGGCTATTAAGCTATTAAGCGGACATTGCCTCAATACTTCATGTATTTTCCTTTGGGGCTTCGGCCTCCCACTTTGGAGATGTCACGGCCATGTTTCCCATTCTCAGTCATGATCAGCCATTACCCATAGGATCCATGGTGCTGGTATATATGCTAACATTTGGGGTATATTGATGGGATCCATGTTACCATATATAGCATGCATGGATCCTATGGGTTATTAACCATGATTAATGATTAACCCCCGTGAACCATCATCAACCGTATTGACATCACCGTTATGGTACATCAACATCATATCAACAATAAACGGTGTCTATATCGTTAATCAAAATCTCAACATCGTCAACAATGAACAGTTTTTGATGATTAACATGTATAGTTATAATTCCTATGTTTTATACTGTTCTATCATGATACTATTTTAAAAATATTAGTTTGTTAATGATTAAACATAGGATTAACCATTACAGTATATTACAGTAATACAGTATAAACCATTATTGTCAACCATTAATGTTAGCCATGAATGTACGCAACCAATGACTAGGTATTAACCATTATTTACAATCATCCACTACTATGACAACTTTAAAATCGACTGTTACCAACTATAAAAATGCATTAATTAACCATATACGTATCAACCATTAACGATTCTGTCCAAAATTAACCATTAAGCATTAACCATAACTATGATTCTTTAGCAATTACCAATAAGATCAATAAGTTCATATTTTCTAATCATTATAATACATAGACATAGATCATCCTCTATCAACCGTTAGCACCACGATTTTCTTCGCTCAACGGCATCGCGCCGCGCCTTCTTGCTGGCGCTCAATGCTTTCCGCACATCGCTCAGGGCGCGCTGGGCGTCCGCGAGCTGCGCCTCCGGGGTTAGTTCATGGGAAATCATGGAAAATCCCAATCTAAAATGGATGATTCCAGTCAAAATTGGGTACCCCCAATAGTTTGATGACTAAAATCTGTGGTCCCCCAGGTCTTCAATTTTGACCCATTCCCATATGTGTGGGTTTCATAGTCATGGGGATACCACAAGCGAGCATTGGATGGTGTATTTCATGGAAAATCCGAATCTAAAATGGATGATTCAGACCCCAATTTATGGAAACCCCCCATGTGGACTATTACGAACTATTACTGGGATGATTATATCCATTAATATGATAATTATCAAAGTAATACCCTTAGATCTGGATATTATCCACTAATTCATAGATTAATGGGATAACTAATTCATGACTCATTACTCTGATATGGGAAAGCTCAAAACCAGTGCAGAACTTTCACGTTCATGACATGATACGGGGATGGGTCAAAACGACGCTGTAGCCCCTGGTGACAAAATAGCTGGTGTCTATGGATGTTCATCCTCCAACAAATTGTATCATGTATTGATCCATGGCCATGTGTGGACTACTGGGATAATAATCCAGAGTTAATCCCATTAATGGATAATTGCATAACTATTGACTATTACTATCAATTCACTCTTAACCACATCTTAATACATATATAATCACATATGTGTATATATATATGTATAATCCAAATCTTGACGTGAGGCATGTGTCAGGTTCACTGCACGATCTCTCACCCCATGCTCTGGTGGCGGGTATAATCCAAATCTTGACAATTCAATAACTAGACAATCCCTATCATAACTGATTAATGTTATAGCTATGAAAATTTAATTCCATTACCATAATCCCCATGAGTACTATAAGTATGAAATCCATTACTATCAAACCTATGGTTATTTTCGCGTTTCGGTTACCGATCCACAGGAGATACTGCACCATATAAAGCCATAAATTGGGGGTATATCCCTTACTGTGGATGGAACAAATCCTGCACCAGTTGGTAGATTTTGGTAGATTGTAGATTGTTTATCCCGTTTAAAAAAAAAACATTGTATATAGTCTCAGTGTTTCATACTTACCTTCATAGTCACCAACTGGTGCAGGATTACGCAACCATCCACAGTAGCTATAGAACATCACCATGTTTAAAAGGTAAATCACCTATAAATGGGCCATTTTCCATAGCTACAAGGGTATATCCCTTTACATATCCCCTTACATAGCTACATCAATGGATTGATGGCAAAATATGGGGCTTTCCTGTTTTTTTTCCACATACACCAGTCCAATGAGCCTCAGTTTCAATACTAAATGGATCGAAATGATCATGACTTGGATGCAATCGGATACCCCCCCCCACTGATGAAATTTTGCCTGAAGCTCCTGAGGAGAAGCCACGCAGCAACTCATCGCCCTACCGAAGCGCGGACCAAGAAAGCACCGGCAAGTCACATGGAAAATGTGATGGAGAACATATGATGGAGATATATACATATATATATACATATATATATATTATATACAGTGTATGTATATATATATATATGTATGATGTAATGTAATATAATGAATATTAAACCCAGATGTATCATGGCCTCGAGAAATGTGTAACATTTGATTGACCTTCAGTATCAAAATGATCCAAGCCTAAGTAAGTGCCAGAAGAATGCAATGATTATATAGGACAGGTCAATACAATCAAAAGGAAAAAACATGATGATCAACTTGATCAACTGTCTTATGACACTGGGGGGATGCAATTTCTCCACGTCGCCCAATGGCCAAGTGTTGTTTCAAGTCCAATAAGAATGGTAAATATATTGAACTAGTTAAATGGGGTGTATGATGTTTATTCTATTCTATATAGTATATTATCATAAAGCAACAAGCAACCTTGAATGGACTTCACTAGCTCGGTTTGGCATTTTGGCAGCCAATATATGTGGATTTGACTGAAAAAATATAGGGAATTGGAATCCCATTGTATTGGCGCAGTTGGACATTGCCGAAGCATTTCTTGCAATTTCGTTGTGGCCATCAATTGGCAGCTTGGTGGGTTTCATGAAATAGTCACATTTGGCTCATTCATCATGTAATTTGAAGGGATTATTTCGCATGTATCGTGGTTGAGCATCAACCTCTGCTTAATTTCCTGGCGCTGAAATCATCCAGAATGGCTTCGGTCAGCTGGAGTCCTCATTTAGGATCATTTCACATCTGCCGGCATGTTTGTGGATGTTCTTGTGATACATCTTGTGATAGCTTTAGCACCAGCCAGCTTTCACACAAACCCGCTTTTACACAAACTCGCTTTTCCACACACCACCTTTTACACCAACCAGCTCTTGAGATCTCACCTGTGAACCAAACGAGCTTTTACCCGCACCAGCTTCTACGCAAACCAACTTTTCGACCAACCAGCTTTTATACAAACATACGCACACCATCACAAACCACGTTTTGCACCAACCACGTTTTGCACCAACCAACTCTTACAAACCAGCTTTTACACTCAGCTTTTACGGCCAGCACTTGTGCTATGCCCCAAACTCTTTTGGGATGTCGGGAACCTGATTTTTGGTGACCTTTACAGTACTTTGTGGCCTTCCACTATGTTGAGATGGTTACCCTCTGGTAAATTAACATAGCTATTGAAAATGGCCATTTATAGTGGATTTTCCCATTAAAAATGGTGATTTTCCATAGCTATGTTAAATTACCAGAGGGTAAACTTCACGAGGCTTCGTGAGGGACGCGATTTTTGACCCTCTGCGGGGATTCGGCTGAACTCCACACTCGCTGTTTGAAAAACACTTTTTACATAAACCCTAAAGAACACCTACAAAAATCCTAGGAAAAACATCCTAAATTAGCCCTAAATGAACCCTAAAGAAACCCTGCAAAAACCATAATATGAAAGTGTATATGGGGCGTAGCGCACGTGCTGCTGGAGCTTTTGCACAAACCACAAACCAACTTTTGGACACACCACCTTTTGGGCAAACCACCTTTACACCAACCAGCTTTACACAACCCCTGCTTTGGGCCTGTAGGCCAAAGGCCAGAGGGCCAGCGGAATGCCGAAGGCTGTTAAATAAACATCTCCATTTTAGATAGTAAAATCCCACCATTGCCTCCGTGTCCTTGAAAAACTGGCGCGAACTGGGCGAAGTCTGGAAAAGGCTGAGAATGTGCGAACTGTAAGTCGGAAAAACTGCTGGAAGCAGTGCTGTCTTTGATGGAATTCAACAAGTGACAAATTAGGGGATCTGATCAGTTGTTAAGGCTCAAACGGCCACAGCAAAATCCAGCATCTGACTTTGACTTGCGTTCGCAGCCCCAACCTTGGAACACCTTGGAACTCTGTGAAGTTGCTTGACTTCTAGACCGGTGAAGTCATGCAATGAGTGACTTGAGCGGAGTTGATATGATACAACGGTATCAATATCTCCAAGGTGTTTTGTTGACTCTCTGCCTGGGATTCCTCTGAGCCAGAGCGACGAAAACGCCATGATTGCTAGAGAAATGCATCAAGATGTTGAGACTGGAACCCATGGTCAAACTCCAGCTAGCAAAAAACATGGGAGAGACTGGTGGAAAAAGGTCAGTCTTGAAGGATGCCAACATGCCCTGCCCCTAGCCCTCCCCGAATATAGACATATGATAACATATGAACAATAGATGAACTAAAAAAAATAAGTAAATTGAGTGATGTGGCAAGCGCACCCCAAAATTATGCCCGACTTTAGCATTTAAGAGTTCTTTGATAAAGCTTTAGATTCGACTCTATATATATGTATATATATATATATATGTACATATATATATATATATACATATGTGTATACACATATATATATATATCATATGATTCTGAAGGTAGATCTGACTGGCACCATGAGGAAATGCCAATGCCTGAATCCCCCCATCGAACCAGAAATAGCTCTCGTGATCCTCAGCTCCAGTGATTTCTTCTCTCCGGCTGTGCGGTCTCCGGCGCTCTCCGGATGGGTCAAGACGGAAGCAGACGCGATGGTGTTATGAAATCTAATAATAGGTATATGATGATATATGTGTATAGTTAAACCATAGTTATCACTATTTATGATTACTATTATGGTATATATAATAGGATATAATAGGTATATCACTACCATAAACATCCATAAACCAACTCAGTTATCATTTGGGCCTCACCTGGCATGATTTTGCACCTTCAAACATGGGGGAAAAAACAAGAATACCTTATGGAATGAGCGTCAAATCTGGATAGGTGAACCAAGAGGAGTTGAGCATTCAATCAGCAAACAAATCGGATAAAAACACATGAAACTCCCAATGGCGTTTTGAATTCTAAACACGCCCTCTAGCTGCTAGCTCAGTAGGTCTGAGGGCCAAACAATCTTGACAGATATTGACCCACACGGCTGTGAAACGTGGCTGAGCCATCAGCTTCCAGAGTGACTAGGAGACGGTGAAGGGCACTTGATAGTAATTGGATTTTTTAATGATAGAATCCGATCCCCCTTGAAAAAAACATGGTTTAATAGCCTGTTTACACATTTTTGGAACGATGGGTTGGGGGGTGTTTGGGTGTTTAATATTAGGGGGATAGGATTATAAATGAAATCATTGCAAAACTTACATGCCCTTGAACGAGGTCTGTAATATTTATGATGTCTCTCTGCTTATCAACCTACCCAACAACCCATCAACCTACATGAGCCAGCAACCTACTGATGCAACCTACCCAACCACGATTTACCTGGTCATGAGAGCTAACCTCAAACGATCACCAGGGAGATATGTGCCACGGTCATCCCTGGTGATCTTTTCGCCTCTGGAAGATGGTCTCCGAGCCAACCCGAACTCAAGAAACGATCACCGTGTAGCTACAGCCCGGCTTCAATCCTAGACCTGAGGCAGCCAAGGTTAACGCAGTGAGTTCGATTCTTGGGTGAATGTCCAGGTTCACCATCGGTCACTCATGCAAATTGGGTGAATCATTCATTGATCATCGATAATTGCTAGTAAACAATGATTGGTGAATCATTATCCATGTTACAGTAACCTTCAGTGAATCATTTATTGGTAATGTTAGTACAGCAATGTCATGTGAACCACCCATATGGATTCCAAAAAATGCTTGGAATCCCACTATCGAGCACAATTCTTGGATGAATCATGTGAATCTTTTTTGGGGTGAACATTTCTTGGCTGACCATCAAAATCAGACACAACCATCACACGAAAAAAGTACCTGCCGGATGTTCATACTGTGAATCTTTGGCGTTTTTTTTTCATCTGGGATTCTGGGATACTCGTGGATACTGAGGATGCAATCTGCTGAGGTTGATACTGGGCTTCATCATATGCTATGCGGATAGACGTTGATGTTTAGCACGCAACGAATGCATTGAAAAAAACTTTTGGCTCTGCTGCTCGGAAAAAATCGTGGACCATCCGAATGATGAAATGTTCCGAAAAATCCAATCAGTGAAAATGGGGGACACCATTCATACTTTAATTAAAATCCGCCCACACCGTTTTGGCGGTGAAGGCGTGCTTATTGGGGGGCAACAGCAACACTAAATGCTCAATGACATTTGTTAATATAGCAGTCGCTATATCAGCTTTAGCTGGGGGGGGGGGCCAAAAACGGTTTCGCACCGAGACCAGAATACGGTGGTGTTTTCGACATTTTTCGAGGATTTTTGGGTGTCTGAGCGCAAGAGGGTATTGAAATGGAATTTTGGGTCATTTTGGTAGCTTTCCGGCAATGGAAAAACGGCCAAAAATGAAAAAAACATTGTACATAGCAAGATTTTGCAGGGTTTTTGGATGCCAGAGCATTGAAAACACTGCAAAAACAAGTGTTTTGGACTGACGTTATAGCAAAAAACGTGTAAATTACCGTATGCTTGACTGGAAACATTACAAAAACACTGTCAAAAGCAATGTTTTGGAAGGATTTACTGCCTTTATGGCAAAAAACGTGTAAATTACCGTCTGTTTGACTGGAAACATTGGAAAAACACTGTCAAAAACAATGTTTTGGAAGGATTTCTTATATATATGTTGGAGTTGGCTACCGGCATTGGAACATGGAAAAATTGAAGAAAACACTGTAAATAGCGGTATTTTCAACGGTTGGGGAGATAAGGGAATTGGAAGCATTGTCGAACATGATGTTTTCGACCGGTTTTATGGCGACAAAAGTGTAAAGTACCGTGCTTTGAAGGAAACCATTGCAAAAACATGGAAACACATTCAAAGAACACGGGATTTGGGGGACTATCTAGGCGTCGTTGTCTAGCTATTTGAAATTCCGCAGCTTGGAGAGCCTCCAAGGGAGGGAAAAGTGAAAATTCCATAGCTTGGGAAGCTGTCACGGCGGGGAAAAGTGAAAATTCCCTAGCTTGGGAAGCCCCCACGGGGGGGAAAAGTGAAAATTCCCTAGCTTGGGGAGCCCCCACGGGGGGGAAAAGTGAAAATTCCCTAGCTTGGGGAGCCCCCACGGGGGGGAAAAGTGAAAATTCCCTAGCTTGGGGAGCCCCCACGGGGGGGGAAAGTGAAAATTCCCTAGCTTGGGGAGCCCCCACGGGGGGGAAAAGTGAAAATTCCCTAGCTTGGGGAGCCCCCACGGGGGGGGAAAGTGAAAATTCTTAGCTTGGGGAGCCCCCACGGGGGAAAACCACCCTTAGCCCCTCTCACGGACGGAAATAAACCTGCGGTGTGGGCGGCCACCCCACGCGAAGCGGGGTGAATACCCTCTGGTAAACTAACATAACTATGGAAAATCGCCATTTTCAATGGGAAAATCCACTATAAATGGTCATTTTCAATAGCTATGTTAGTCATTACCAGAGGGTAACCATTCAAATCGAAAAAAAAATGGCAGATTCACCGGATGATCCATGGCGTTTTCTAATGCCAACCATTCATCCCGGGATGCGCCTGGCGCATCCCGGGTAGCCGACTCCCTTTTTTTTCCACGAGACTCATTGGCTACATCTCCGGTATCATCCTGTCATTCCCATAGTCAAGTATTGGATATATATATATATATATATCTATAATATAGACAAATTATATATACATAACTCCTATTAACACCTAATGTTCCATTGTTTACATTTGTACATGTGGTTTTCATAAATCCCACTTTTTTCGCCCTGTAGATACATCGACCCTCCGGGACAGGGCTTGGAAGTTGACGCACAGTTCACTTGATGAATTCAATGGTTTGGGCCCTATGTTTTTATAGATTCGATACATCGATAGTTACAGTATGTTACAGTCTTACAGTTATGGATGTATAAAATTTTATAAACCAACAAAGATATCACTGGGGCCTCACCTTGTGATTGCCTTGTGTCCAAGTTGAATGGTAAATCCCTTATTTTTCATCCTAGAAAAACCAGGCATGTTGTCACCTGCCAAGAACCAAGCTCTCGAGACTCAAGTGGAAATTGGCCTGAGGAAAGAGCCACCATGTGGCAAGGAGATTGACCTTTACAGCAACCACGGGGGTCCGGATTCCTATTCTCTTTACATATATATATATATGTATATATATATATATGTATATATATATATATGTATATATATATATGTATATTGTTAATGCACCAGGAATTTCCCACCATGTCCATGTCCATGTCATATCCTTGATTTTGGCAGATCACCACTGCGCCGTCCGATCGCCATCCTTTCTGTGGCCATTTGATCGAACCCACTGAGGTGGTGGGTGGGAGCGGCTACTTGAGTTAAGGAAAAGCTACGAGCATTGGGTTCTGTGTTGGGGACGCAGTTGTGGTAGGTTCAACAGGGTTGACCATATTGGAAACAGGGTTTTCCCAGTACATTCACATTGGCAGCGGAGTCTGGGCTGCCGCAAAATCCTAGGTGCTAGTGGGGTCTTCACAGCAGGGGCTAGGAGACTTTTTACTTCACCCTAGGTGTGAGCCATGGAGGGTGAAGCTGCGCAAGCAGCGGGGTCCGGGGCCTTCTCCACAGCGGTGCCGTGGAGTCAGATCCCCAAGTTCGTTCCTGGGGAGACAGACCTTAGGGTCTACACCAGGAAGTTGGAGTTCCTGAAGGAACTATGGCCAGCTGAATACTTGGAACAGCCTGGCACCAAGGGCGGCCTTGTTGGTCGAAGGAGTGGCTTTTCAGAAAATATCGAGGCTGGATCCGGCCAAGCTCAAGCAGAAGGAGGGCGTGAAGTACTTGGTAGAGGCACTGGGCGGCCAATGGGGGCGTCCAGACACAGAAGAGCGCCTGGACATGTTTGAGAAAGCACTTTACCTCACAGTGCAGAAGGCTGATGAAAGTCATGATTCATACATGGCACGTCATGATGCAGCCTTTGAAGACCTCTTGGTGAGAAAGGTCACCATCGAAGAAGTCAGGGCCTACATCCTGATCCGGCAGTCCTTGCTGAGCAGTGAAGATCGCAAGAAGATCATCTTTGAGAGTGGTGGGGCATTATCGTATGACCAGGCGAAGAAGAGCATCAAGCTGCTGGGGTCGAAGTTCTTCTTGGAGCTCCAGAGCAACTCAAAGATGGTGCCCAAACTCAAGACATATGATGTCAATCAGGTTGAGGATGAGACAGTGATGTATCAAGAAGCTGAAGAAGAAGTGGACGAAGAAGTTGCCTTTCAGGTGCTCCTGGAAAATGGTGACGAAGATGCCTGCTTTGTCAGTGAGTTCGAAGATCAGATCTGTGCAGCCTGTCAAGAGTCTCAAGAACTTGCGGCTTGCTTCGTGAGTTACCAGGAGGCCAGAGCTCGTTTGAGAGACAAGGCAAAATCCAGAGGCTTCTGGCCATTGGCAGGCTACAAAGGAAAAGGAAAAGGTCGAAAAGGCAAGCCGTTCATGGGAGCCAGCAACACCAAGGGTGGCTCTGGTCCGGCAGGATTTCGCCGAAGAAGTCTTGCAGACCGCATCGCAAACTCCACATGTAGACGATGTGGCCAGCCAGGACATTGGAAGAGAGAATGTCCGATGTCATCGAGTCCGGCTGGCAACTCTCTCATGGCAAAGAAGAACGATACGGAGTCCTTCACGGGCATCTCGCAAGTCGAGGGCAATGGCAACCAAGATGGCGAACACGACAGTGATCGCAGTGGCTTTGACGTTGTCTATGAGCTTCCGTACACTGCGGAGGTCTATGATGAGGACGGGAAACAAAACATGACACTTGGTTTTGGGAGAGTTGTTGCGGATTGTCTTGAGGATTGTTTGGTGTGTTTTCATGAATGGACCCAAAATGTTTCTCAACGTCTCCATCAATGTTGTAGGAAACATGATGTCTCCAGTGTCGCCACTGCTGCAGAGTCGTTCCGAGCACCCATTTGCACGGCTGAGGGCCCACCAGGAGATAACCTTGTGGTGCATCCCACAGCAGAAGTTTTTAATGCAGAGGAGGCCGATGATGAAGCCATCATCGACACGGGAGCCAGTCGGGCAGTGATCGGTAGTGAAAGGTTGAAACGTCTTGTGAGGAGCTTTTCCCCTGAACTTCGGAGTCGAGTCATGAAGGTTCCCACAAATGGGGTTGTTTTCAAATTTGGAAATGCTGGTCGCCTGACTAGTAGCTTTGCTGTGATGCTTCCAAGACTGCAAAATGGGTGGCTCCGTGTTGAGGTAGTGCCAGGTCATACACCATTCCTCATTTCCAATGCAGTGTTAGGTGGCCTTAAAGGAATCATTGATGTTGAGGGTCGAGTGTTGGGGTTCAAAGGGAGTTCCCAGAAGATCAAGTTGGAATCGGTCCGTAAGAACCTTATGGGAATCAAGGTGGTTGAACTGTTGATGAAAGCACCTCATGGGGAGAACACACCAACACACATCTTTTGCGCACCTGTGGACGAAACGAAAACACAGACTCAACATGGTCATGATGTGAGGCAGGTACAGGTCAGTCCAGAATGTAGTCATGACACCCACCACTTGCATGAAGAACCTAAAGTAGGTCGAATATGGTCGAATTCAGAATATCAGTGAAACGGTTCCTAAGGAATGTGCAGAAACTGGAAACCAAGGACAGAACTCAGGACCAAAAGACTCAGCATCTTTGTGTACAGCAGTCGAGAGTGACCAAGCTCAACCCACGTGTGAAAATTTGAGCACACCCGTGATTTCCTCTGATGTCATCGCAGATGGTGCCGAGCTATCTGGATCGGGTCCTGACCACTCCAACAGACCCGTCGTTGCAGACCTCGACACACCACGAGGACTTGCCCGAAGTGCTGATGAGGCCACCAGGCATCAACACCCTGACAGATTGGGGAAGAGTCAAGGCATCGTCAGGAAAGCATGCCAGCAAGCCTTTCGCCACCATCTACGAGGACGACAGGATGTACGTGACGCAGCTATGGAACAGACGAGGGGTCTCGTCATGGGTGAGGAGCTTCCAGCTCTACTGTCGCGAGCGGAGGGCAGCCAGTCAGGAAAGACAACGCCTCACACGTGGGGAGGACTCAAGGAATGTGACTCCTCCGCGTGTCCCGCCGACAGAGCAGACACCCATTCAACCGAAGGCCAAGATGTCTCCAAAGGCAATCCAAGGGGCTTACCCATCTCGTCAGATGCTGGAAGAGTCCGATTGGACAAAGGTGGCAGTCGAGACACCAGTGCCCGAGGAGAGCAAGAACAACAAGAGGGGCATGACGCCACCGATCAAGCCCATGGAGATGCCGATCAATCAGGAGAAGGTGAGCCAGATCCAAGCCCAGATTGCGATCCTTCAGCGAGAATTGCTGAGGGAGACTCAGGGATCCAGCTCAGCAGAGTAGGTGTGCCTACGTTCCATGGTTTGCATGCAAATCTTCAAAGTAAGGCCACTGAAATTGAACACGGTTTGATATCCCTGAAAGCTGACGAGAGGTATGTTGGATCACGTCCCAAGATTGTCAAGTCTCATGGACAATACCTTCAATATGATGGTTCCAAGAAATCCAAATGTCAACAGAACCCCAAAGATCAGATTGACCTCTTGGAAATTTATTGTGAGCCCAACTCCCCGTTATCCAAACAAATTCAACGTCTGGGTGGTAAATCTCTAAGATTCACGAAGGATGATGGGGATCTAAGGACACCAGAGGGTCAACAAAAGTTATGGGGATGGATTTATCTTTTTGAGCCACGTCATGTATGGGTAGCACCCGAATGTCGATTGTGGGGAAACTTTTCCAGATTCAATATGGGGAGAAGTACAACAATGTTTGATCAAATCAACCTCAAAAGGAAAACTGATGGTCCACACTTGGTGTTATGCAATCAGTTATACCTTCACCAAATCAGTGAATCTCGACACTTTCACTTGGAACAACCCAGGGATTCAGAGATGGTCTTGCAACCGGAACTGGATGATGTCCGAAGGGGCACACTACCGGCGACCTTTGGCATGTGTCGGGTTGGGAAGCTTAGAATGCCTCGGTCCTCAGATTTCCTCCAAAAACGAACGCAAGTTTTCACAACCAGTCGGACGATGTTTGAAATGTTGCACTCCCAAGTATGCCAAAAGGACCACCAACATACCCCAATTAAAGGCCAGTTCAAAATTCATGGGGAATGGCAAAATGTTTCAGCGTACGCACAAGCATACACTGCACAGTTTGCGCGCAGGGTTGCAGGGGGAGTCTTGTGGGAGTGTAGGAATCATGAGGATCCGCTGTTGCTTGAAGAAATCATTTTGGGATTGGAGGCACATGAGAGACCTTTGGCAGAAGAATCTCTGCGGCTACACAAAAGGCGACGCGTTGGGCTGAAACAGCCGGAGTCATCAATGTATGGCAAGGCTCCCAGCTGGAGTGACATCTTTCGAACTGTTGGATATAGTACCCCAAGGGTTGGCAATGCTTGTTTTACTGGGGATGGGGATGCTGTGCTGCAATTGGTTCAGATGTTGGTTCCTGAAATCAAAGTCCAGCTGGTAGTTTCTTGTCGCGGCACAGACCGATATCGTACCCAACCTGACGGTGTCATGCCTGAGATACTGCCATGGAGAAAGACTGTCATTGTGGAGCGCAACACAGGTGAGGTCAAGGAATTGGGCCCTGTTGAGAACTGGGTCAAGTTACCTAGGTTGAAACAGATTCGATCCACTGGGTCTGCAAAGCTTTCTGTTACTGTGTTTGGGACTCGTGATGAACTTGACAATCCACAAGGGGCAGTTTTTCGTAGTGCTGAGCCCGGCGGAAATTCGGGTGCCGCTGGAAGTGGCATATATGGTGTATTACAGCATCCGGGTGTGGAAGCTGCACCATCTGGTGAATCGGCATCGGGTGTTCCGAATAGTGGAAGTGACCTCCAAATGGAAGATGCACCTGAGTTAGAACAATTGGAAGAGGGATGGGCCCCAAAGATAACCCCCAAATCTGGTCCAGTATATCGGGGTTTAACTGGGGTTCAGAAAGGGGAATTGAGAAAGCTTCACAACAACCTTGGACATCCTGACCCCGAAAAGATGGTAAAGTTTCTAACTGAGAGAGGTGCTCAGGCTGAGGTCATCGAAGCAGCTCGTGACATGGTCTGTGACACATGTGTTGAATCCCAAGATCGTCGGAAACGATCACAGCCAAGTAGGATACATGAGGCACTTGATTTTAATGATGTTGTCGGTGCCGATGGAGCCTACTGGACCAACAAAAATGGAAAGACTTTTCACTTCATGCATTTTATCGATGAAGCCACTTTGTACCATGTTGGGTCATTGAGTGCGCGGAAGGTAGAGGATCAGGTTCAAACTTTTCTCAATACTTGGGTTCAGTGGGCAGGGCCATGCCGTACCTTGTATCTAGATCCAGCCGGTGAATATGTCAATGATACATGGGCAGCAGTTTTGCAGGGCGAAGGGATCAAAGTATCCATGACAGCTGCTGAGGCACATTGGCAGAATGGTAGGGCCGAAGTCCATGGAAAGGTTGTCAAGGAGATCCTTTCTAGGATGGAAAGGGACCGTGTGATTGAGACTGTTGAGGAATTTTCACAGTGCCTTCGCCAGGCTTTTGCAGCCAAAAATTCATTGAGTCGGGTGCATGGCTTCACTCCGGAGCAATGTCTCCTAGGGAAATCCCGACATTTGCCTGGATCTTTGGTGTCAGACGATGCAGCGACCAGCCATAGCTTGGCAGAAAGTTCCACTCCGGAAGGGGTCCGATTTAAAGAAAGCCTTCTGAGACGGGAGCTTGCTCGGAAGGCGTTTGTACAGGCAGACAACGATTCCTCCTTCAGGAGGGCGCTTCTGAGGCAGAGTCGGCCTGGGAAGTTGGAATATGAGGCAGGTGACTGGGTCCTCTACTGGAGGAGAACTCGTGGTAGGAGTCGTATTGAAGTAGGTCGCTGGTATGGGCCGGCTCAGGTGATTGCATGTCAAGATCCAAAAGTTCTCTGGCTTAGTCACCTGGGCAGAATCATTCGTGCAAGTCCGGAACAAATACGACCAGCATCCCTACGGGAATACGCAAAGCTTCCTCGTGATACCCAAGGTCTTGTGTTGGATGAGAAGCCACAGGGTCGGGGGTATATTGATTTGGGGAGTTCTGGAAATGATTCTGGGGAAGCTGATGATGAAGAAATTCCGGCAATTGAGAATAACCATGATCCCCCAATGTCAGAGTTCTCTTACGCGCCTACAGCACCATTGCAAAGCCAACCGGAAGGGGAGCAGTTTCCGGTAGAGCCAACAGAAAAGAGCAGTGATGGTGGTGATGTAGTCCCTCAAGACGGGAGATATGTTCCCATTCCTGATGATTCCGATGATGGTTTATTTGGGGATGATTGTTTGGTTGTTAGTGAACATGTTGGGGTTTGGGAATTGTCACTGCTGGACTATGAGCTCGAAAAAGAAACTGCGGAAGTCCTATGTTGTGAACCAATGGTTTTTGAAGAGACCCTGGTTGTATCGAGTGATCGTAAGAAAAGGGTTGAGCTGAGCTATCGTGACATGAGTCGTCATGAGCAGGGTCTTTTTGATGCTGCCAAACAAAAAGAAGTCAACGCTTGGTTGGCACATGGGACTGTAAAGAAATTAGCAAAGGGCTCCCTGAAACCGGAACAAATCATGCGGTGTCGATGGCTGCTGACGTGGAAGGATCCATTGCCAGGTACATCCGAAAAGAGGGCAAAGGCCAGGTTGGTAATCCTAGGTTTTGAAGACCCAGGTGTAGGGGTTGTACCCAGTGATGCCCCGACACTTTCCAAGGATGGAAGGCAATTGTTGCTTCAGCAAGCAGCATCGCGGCGCTGGTGTTTGATGAATTTCGATATCTCCACAGCCTTCCTTAAAGGGGAAGGTGATGGACGTCCTCTGGGTATACATGCACCTCCAGAGATCAAGAAAGCCCTTCATATGAAGGAGGGTGATCAGTGTTCCTTGGAAGGGGGAGCTTATGGTAGGGTCGATGCTCCATTTCTTTGGTACAAGGCTCTACGGGCTTCACTTGAATCTCTGGGGTTTGTTGCATGTCCTTTTGATGGTTGTCTCTTCAGCTTGATAACTCATGACCCCAAGAATCCTAAGGGGAAACCCGTTGTCAGAGGGGTTCTGGGTATTCATGTTGATGATGGGATTGGTGCTGGAGATGATTACTTTAAGCAGACCATCGAAAGGCTCCGGAAAATCTATGACTTTGGGGCATACTATGAAAGGGAATTTGACTTCTGTGGGGTTCACTATAAACAGTGGGACGATGGTTCAATTGAAATGGATCAAGTGGGATATGTCCAAAAGATTTCTCCCATAGAGGTACCCCGATCAAGAAGAAGTGACCCTGAAGCAGAAGTCACTGAAGTAGAGCGTCAAGAATTGCGCAGGTTATGTGGAAGCCTGCAGTATGCCGCAGTGCACACAAGACCTGATCTTTGTGCAAAAACAGGTCAGCTGCAATCCATGGTCACAAGAGCCAAGGTGAAACATTTGCTGGAAGCAAATCGGGTTCTGTTCGAAGGAAAGAAGCATCCAGTGTGCCTGATGATTGTCCCTATACCTGAGCATCAGGTGGCATTTTGTGTGTTTTCCGATGCCTCCTTTTCGACATCACGTGACATGTCTTCTAGACAGGGAACATTAATATTCGCCACGGATGTGAAGCTTTCTCGAAATGAAAGGACAGTCGTCTGTCCCATGGCATGGAGCTCCAAAAAGATCCCACGGGTCGTCACTTCGACTCTTAGTGCAGAGTCAATTGCGCTGAGTTCATCTTTAGACAGGCTAGGATATGTCCGTGTGGTTTGGGAATGGCTGAAAAATCCTGGGGTTGATTGGGCCGACACCACGAAGATTTTGTGTGAATCACCCTCTGCTAGCGCAGTGACCGATTGCAAAAGCGTTTACGATGTCGTCACTCGCACAGCCGTCCCAAGCTGTAATGAGTACAGGACGACCCTAGAATGTCTTTTAATTCGGGAAAGATTGCAAGAAAATGTTCAAATGCGGTGGATCAGCACGCAGGCGATGTTGGCAGACTCACTGACAAAGAGTATGGATTCAAGCATGTTGAGGGAATGCTTGCGTACAGGTAGATATTCTCTTTTCGATGAACAAGAGAGTCTGAAACAACGCGCTTCAAAGCGTGAGCGGCTTCAGTGGTTGAGAGAAGAAGGACCTAAGGTGGACATGGACAAGGCTACAAAACTTTAAAATTTTTGGATTTTGACCAGTGTTAATGCACCAGGAATTTCCCACCATGTCCATGTCCATGTCATATCCTTGATTTTGGCAGATCACCACTGCGCCGTCCGATCGCCATCCTTTCTGTGGCCATTTGATCGAACCCACTGAGGTGGTGGGTGGGAGCGGCTACTTGAGTTAAGGAAAAGCTACGAGCATTGGGTTCTGTGTTGGGGACGCAGTTGTGGTAGGTTCAACAGGGTTGACCATATTGGAAACAGGGTTTTCCCAGTACATTCACAGTATATATATATATGTATATATATATATATGTATATATATATATATGTATATATATATGTATATATATATATGGAGGTTTCCTGAAATGAAATGGGGCTACCCCCAAATCATGCATTTTAATAGGATTTTCCATTATAAACCATCCATTTTGGGTACACCCATTTATGGAACCCCCCTATATTGTAATATTCACATGTTTAATATATATCAACATATTATACATTCAATATATGTATTGGTCAAAACCCGGTACACTGGTGAAGCCCATTTTTTTGCTGGGACATGGATTCTTATTCACCTCAAATATTGGATTTCAAAGGTGTGATCCATCCCCATAAGTAATGGTCTGTGTAAAAAATCGTTTGGTGGAATTTGGCTATACAAACAGTGGTGTGCAAAACCCAAAGTGAGAACATTTTTGAGGACACAAAAAAAACTGCAGGATAAATCAAGGACTATCCACCATTTTGGGGACTTAGATCTTCATTTGTCTTGGCTAATTTTGCCGGAACTATCTAACTTCATGATTTGGTTCAAATCATCTTAGCAAAATACTGTGCTAATGGTTGCGAAATGGCGCAGCAGTTGATATGTGGTAAACATCCCATAATTCATAAGGTTTCAACCATCTACAGTATGCTGGTTGTCATGACATTTTCACAGATTCCCTTGAACCAAACTCTAGGCCTCATTCACGTCCTTGGAGAAGTGTTCGCCCTCGGCCCCCTCGACCTGCGACTCTGATCACCAGCAGAAAACAGAAACCTGGCGACATGAGCTAACAAACACCAATAAATAATTAGATGTGGCTAATCACAGGCAAAATCTTACGTACAAGTACACCCTGAAAAAGTTGGATAGGCATATATTATCATATATTAATGTTCACAATTCGAACAACGGAAACAACATATTGGAATATCGTGCATTATTGTGAAAGAAAAAACACAAAAACACACGATTTTACATTCCACGACCTGCCGAGTGGCATTGTCTTCGGTTCCGAAGCGCTCATGTTTCATGACCTGAAAAGATGAAACACATGGTTTGGCTTAAACATTGTGTTTTTCTACTCATGTTCATCCTCCAAGCTGTAAAAATTGTTTTGACTGTTTCGAATGGTTTCTTGTCTATCAACCCACCAGTTTAGGATATCATGATCCGGTGGATGTTCGCCCATGTCCACCAAAATCCGCTGGTTACCCTCCGGCGTTTTTCAACGTGGCTATTGAACATGGCATATGTGCAGTTGATTCAACGATTTTCACATGCTGGTTTTCCATAGCTATGTTAGTTTACCAGGGGGGCAATCATCATGTCCCCATTAGCTTGGCCATTTAAAACTATGCTATACCAATTTTCAGACATACAAAAAACAAATATAAACTTGGTTGTATATCTACAACTATAACCCCCACCCCCATTATGTTCCAATTCTATCGCTAATATTCTTGTTGGTTATATACACTACCCACATATCATATGTTTTTTGGTAATTTGGTACCATGATATATATATATTATGTATATATATAATTATATATACACATATTATGTATATATATAAATACAGTATATATATATATATAATTATATACACACATATTATGCATATATATATATGCCCACAAAATTGTTGCTTATACATCCCCACAAACCATCATTTTTTCCATGTGTCCATATGTTTTGCCTGATTATATCCACGTCAAAAACCAATCTCGTCGTGGCCTTGATTCTGAACTCTCTCTCCTGCTGCAAAAGCTGAAATGCCTGGCAGGTAGCAGGGGAATCGCCCCATGAACAAAAGGTGTATCGAGGTTTAATGTATGTGAGTATGTTTATCTTATCTTACCATATCTTATCTTGTCGTATCTTATCCTATCTATCTGTCTATCTATCTGAGTTTGTCTATCTGTCTATTTATCCATGAATATGTAAAATTATGTAAATATAAACTAGAAATAGAAGGGATTATGTTTTTTTGATTTCCCCCTGTACTGCAAAAGTCTCAACTGATCAGGTAGACTTGGGTTGATGTCAATGTCATGTTTCAAATTACCTATGGAGCAAAAGCGGAGTTTAAGTACGTAAAACAAATGTCACATCAGGTATATATAGATCAGCGCTGATGAAACATGTTTTATTGCTTCAGATGCTTCAGAAAACATGTTATGACTTGAGATATTCAAACAAATTCGTCTGGAAATGTGGTGGTGATGCCTCAAAAACATGACGGAACTCGAAAGTTCCGCCTCAGAGCTGATCTTTTGTCGCTACGATATAGTACGATGCTACTGCTACAGGAATCCTCGGTGAACATCTGACCAATTCTGACCAATCAATCAAACAAAGAACAGGAACCAATACCCACCACAATAATGGTATACCCGGGCTATTTAACATAGCCATGGAAAATGGCCCATTTATAGATGATTTTCCCATTAAAACCTCCATTTATAAGGGATTTTCCATGGCTATGTTAAATAACCAGATGGTAAATATTCTGGTAAATTAAGATAGACTCTGAAAATAGATGACCGTAGCCATTCTTTAATGGAAACCAAGCTTCCAGCCCCCTATTTACCGGGGCCTATGTTGATTTAATGGAAAGTATCATCATTATCATCACATCATCATTACATACCATAGTGTTGGATAGTGTTGGTCATCAACATTAGGAAATAGTGAAAAACACTGAATAGTTATTCATGATTCATAATTTAATAATACTACCAATAATGATGATGATAATCATCATCATCAGCATCATCATCATCATCAACAACAACACTCCAAGTCCTAATCATCATCCATGAACAGGAACCAATAGATACCACAATAAAAATATTATTACATATTATGACGCTGTATTACTAAGTGGTTGGGGGATCACTTAGAACCAAAGGATTGGGATCACTCAGAACCACCAGATCACTTAGAACTTAGAACCAAGAAGCATCACTTAGAACCACACAAATAGGATCAGCAGAACCACCAGTCCAGATGTTGATGGTTGAGGCTGCTACAGCCAGCATGGTGGAATGAGACCTTTAGGGTAACACTTGGGGACACGGGGCTGGGACATGGGGTGGGTTTAGGGGACCAGCATGGTGGAACGAGACCTTTAGGGTAACACTTGGGGACACGGGGCTGGGGCATGGGGTGGGTTTAGGGGACAAGTGGGGACACGGGGTTGGGACATGGGGTGGGTTCAGGGGAACAGCAACACTTGGGGAGACGGGGCTGGGACATGGGGTGGGTTTAGGGGACAAGTGGGGACATGGGGCTGGGATGGTGGAATGAGACCTTTAGGGTAACACTTGGGGACACGGGGCTGGGACATGGGGTGGGTTTAGGGGACCAGCATGGTGGAATGAGACCTCTAGTAACACTTGGGGACACGGGGCTGGGGCATGGGGTGGTTTTAGGGGACGAGCAGGGTGGAATGAGACCTTTAGGGTAACACTTGGGGACACGGGGCTGGGGGTTTTCCTCAAGTTACCATGGGGTGTTCCCCAAGTTACCATGGGGTGTTCCCCAAGTTACCATGGGGTTTTCCCCAAGTTACCGGGTGTTCCCCAAGTTACCATGGGGCTTTCCTCAAGTTACAATGGGGTTTTCCCCAAGTTACCATGGGGTTTTCCCTAAGTTACCATGGCGTTTTCCCCAAGTTACCATGGGGTTTTCCCCAAGTTACCATGGGGTTTTCCCCAAGTTACCATGGGGTTTTCCCCAAGTTACCATGGGGTTTTCGCCAAGTTACCATGGGGTGTTCCCCAAGTTTCCATGTGGTTTTCCCCAAGTTACCATAGGGGTTTTCCCCAAGTTACCATGGAGTTTTCCCCAAGTTACCATGGGGGGAAGTTACCATGGGGTTTTCTTTAAGTTACCATGAGGTTTTCCCCAAGTTACCACGGGGTCACTATTTTTATATTGTTTTTTCCTAAGTCATGGTTGTCCCATGACTGGATGCGCTGACCTTTGTGTAGATTTCGTAGCTGGTCTGCGTCGGCTGCATCTTCTCCGTGACCTGGGAGCCGGAGCCAGGGTCCCAATGGCCATTCAATGGGGGAACCAACATCATGATGATAAATATGTACCAGCAGTGCCAAAAGGGTCAATTTCAGATGTCAATTTCAGAAATCACAGTGGGACCCCTTGGGTAGTCCTGGTATATTAATGTTGGATATATTTTATATAAATAAACAAAACACATGTTGGTTGGATATAGTGTTGGATAGTGTCAATTAGAAACCTGGTTCTTCAAAGTGACATTGTTAAACATCAATCCCAGGTCACTTAAGCCCAAAAAGGGTCACTTAACCACCTGAAAAGGGTCACTTTGAAGAACCTGGAATATGTATATAGCTGTTGGATATCCTTTATATAAATGTTGGTTCGAGATCAAATGGTGATTTTTACTTCCACGCTTAAATTGCGAGTGAACAATCGAAATGGAGGTATTTAACGGGAAGTCTCCGGGTATAACCAGCAATGGTGGTATTTATGCTGGTTGGTCCAAGCATCGGGGGATTCAGAGCAAGAACAGGAATGAAACTAAGGCGATTTGGGTGTGATTTCCCTTAGTAACCATCATTCCAGTGAGGTCGCAGTGAGGTCGTTAAAATTCATCCAAATAAAATAACCAACAATACCCCATAGGATCCATGTATGCCATATATGGTAACATTTACCATCAATATACCCCAAATGTTACCATATATGGCATACATGGATCCTATGGGTACTGGAGTAAAGGGTAAACTGGGGTATCAACGGACATACCGAATTGATCCAAATTGGGTCATCTGTACGCTTTAGCCGGCTCAAAATCAAAATCATTTTTTGAGCCATACAAAATTCATTCTGTTGGCTTGAGGGAAAAGAGCATGAAACAGTCGATTTTTCCAGTTAATATACGATGTTCCTTCATACTCTTAATGTTTTCCTGTAAAAAAATGTGAAGTAAATAAAATTGCTCATTAGACGGTCAGCACCACAAGCTTTCAACCCAAATAGTTTCAAATTCCGGATGGCTACTTCCCACTAGGTTGGTAGATAAGTGAATCCGCAACCAGTCCAAATTTACACAAAAGAATGGATTTGAATTGAAAGGGGTAGGAATCTGAATTGGAAGTAAGTCAACCTCAGGCAAAACGATCGGAAAATCCGGCATCTTCTGGCGGTTGCAGCCCCACTTTTGATGGCTATTTATTTTATTGGGCAGAAATTAATCTATCGAACCAATGAACAATCATTAGAGTTCTATGAAACTACCCTTTGCCAGTTGGTTTGTCCGGAAAATCTGGTTTAACTCCCCCTAATCCCCGTAGCCATTTTGTCTCAAGGCTTCTCAAGAGAACCCTTTTGACCGTTCTAGTTGACGAAAGAAAAGCGATGCGAAAGCTCAGTCTTGAATTAAACCATAGGATCCATGTATGGTATATATGCTAACATGTGGGGTATATTGATGGTAAATGTTACCATATATAGCATACATGGATCCTATGGGATATGAAAACGCCATAAAACGCCATTCTCGATGCTTGACCCAGTAAACAACCCAATCTTCGATGGTTTAGTCAGTAAAATTCAGTAAACACACTGAAAAACCATCCCACTTTGCGATGGTTTACCAAACTTTACCCAAATCACTCCGCCTTCGACCCTGTGGGCAGCTGAAAATGCATCGTCACCTGCGTGAGTTGCCAAGTAAGTTATTGGCTTTCTCATCCCCCAGAAACCATGGAGCAATGGGAACAATTGGACAGTCATTGGATCATCGAACTCTGGCTGGAGGCATGGCTGGGAGATTACAAGACCCGTTCATGTTAAACAACCCCAAATTTCCATGGGATCGAAAGGTGTAAAAGTCCTAGGGGATGACGGAGCGAGGACTGGGACAGTGGGATGGAGTGAAAAACATGAGGGGATGGGACTAATGGCAGATCTTCTTGTGCCAAACTAACATGGTCTGTAATTCTTTCTGGGAATCGATCAAATCAAGCACTCATCCATCTATACAATCAAATCAATTACCCCTGTCCAAAGTTTTTGGATGTTGTTTATGTCTTGACAGGGGTCTGACCCCCACTAGCCATGACTACCCAAGGGGGCTAATATCTACCCACTAGTAATTCAAGATAGCTGCAGTATATAGAAAATCACGATGTTCAAAAACGGTAAAATCATTTATTCTATACATGTATATTAAACCAAATATATGGATATATGATATATATATATATATATGGATGTATATATATATATATATATGGATATATATGTGTATATATATTACAACCCATGGTATATATATATATATTATATATATATATTCATATTGTATATACCATATATATATATATATATACACCATATATCTTTGTATTAAAAAATAACTATATCCAATAGGGCCTGGGTGTCTTGCGGGATCTCTGCGGCCACACGGAGTAGCTCCTGGCGCTCCTTGCGGTTCACCTGAGCGAAAAAAGCCACCGGTGGCTGAGGCAGCAAAAACCATGGCAAAACCTTGGGAAAACCATGGAAAACACTGGGAAAACCATGGCAAAACCTGGGAAAACCATGGAAAAACCTGGGAAAACCATGGAAAACACTGGGATTTCCAGAAATGATCTAGAAATGATCGTTTTGTTCTATGGAATATCTATAAATATCGATATCTCTCAAATAATATCCCATGTTTTTTTTAACAGGATAATATATGGGAAAATTAGCATGATTTAGCCCACACAAGTTTAAACATGTGAGGATCTCAAAAGGAAACGGTGGGATTTCAATCAGCAGAAACAAGTGAACAAACATGACAAATATCAGCGAAACAGGAGGGGTATCACTCCCAGCCCATATTAGGATTTGTTGAGCACTATCGGGGTTTGAACAGCTGTAAATATGTTCTCGCTCTATCTCTAGTTCAGCCAAGGAACCTGGCTCGGATATAATTCTATGTTATAATAAATAGAGGATTTACATGGATTTGCCTATTAAACAAATTCCAGAGGTGGCTAATCATGATGATAATCTTGATTAACCCCAAGAATATCTACGATTTCTATAGATTAACTATTCAATAGATGCCGAATCTTCATTGATGGTAATGCTTAATTCATTCAGCAGTTCCATATGGGTCTTTCAAGGTGTTTTTTTCACACACAGTTCTGCAGTACCTGTCTAGGGTATGTTGCTTGACAGATACCTTCATGCACATAAATACACTACATAACTATACTGGCTATACTGTACAATGTACATATATGTGTATAATTAATTGTAATTATATGTATCATGATATATTCCGTATGTATCTGTATATTTGATGGTTCAATATCATTAATATGCGCAATAATCGCCTCTCCATTTCCACCATGTGGCCTGCTTATATCTGTGGCTGAACCTTGATATACTACTAGCATTCCATTTTTGTTGGCTGCTTTGCTCAATTCCCCATGGAAAATCCATGAAAACCATGGAAACTATGCTCACCTACCCACCAACCAAGTTAATTCTAGAAGATCTGGCCTTCTAGTCTTAAATTGCTTCATACACATCATTTATTATAGATATATATATATATATTTATAGATATATCTCCCATAAACCCTAGTTGTGCTAGTTCTTTTTTTTATTATGTCTACTTATAGCCAGCGAATTCCGATGAAATCCATCGCCACCTCCTCGTCTTGCGCAGCGGAGATCCAGCGATCATGGTCCTCGATCACCTCGGAAAAACATCGGGAAAACGATGCAAAGTAGGATTTTTGATGGATCATGATATAATATGATATATATATACATACCTATATATACATAATTTAATTATATATATATAACTATACATATATATATAGTTAGATGAGGTATGAATGGGGTTATAACCTAACTTAAAAACTTATATAACGACCCTTCCTGCAACCAGAATGAGGATATAGCTATAGAATGATGAATTCAATGCCGGGAGGAATGCCATCTTCCAAGGATCAGGACGCAATCTCCTGATTGACTCAGTGATCCTAAGCATCGGAGCCAGTTTCCGATCAGTCCCGGAGCCCTTGTCAGCACTGACGATGTGATCATCAGTCGGAGTGTACTTGGGGCTGCCGTTGTTTTTCTGCGTGACAAAGATAACCCCGATTCGTTGGGATACGGGGCGGGATTTGGAACGTGGAACTGCATCCCCCACGGCAGGTATAGCTCACGTCATCGTGGTACCAGTCCCATCGATTTTGGGATGAAAACTTTGATCCTGTCCCTGCTCCATGGATGGATGCAGTTGCGAGCACTAGATGCGCAAAATGTAAGCAGGATTAGGGAAGCACATAGCATGAAAAGATATGAACAAATTCTGGAAAAAATATGAAAACATGATATGATTATGGCATATTATGGCTATGGGTTTTAGCTTCCAATGAACTTGAAGAACAGAACCGGGTAGGCAATTTGCTCAGTGCAATCTCTGTGTATAATGGAAAATCCGATGAACATGAATGATTTGGCGGGTACCCCTATTTGGGCAAAGCCCCAAATGTGTTTCCTTGACGTTTCAATTACATTGAATGCCGAGCGAAGTTCCTCAATTCCATGGAAGTTGACATCGAGTTGACATCGGCAGTTTCTGAAAAAACTTACCAGGAAGCCAAAGGTACAGTATTTCTGCAGGAAACCATTGCTATTTGTGTTAAACTGGAGGCTCACGAGCTACAACAAATTTCTGCAGCACTGCAGCACCTACTCAAAACCCAGGTTGGTTGATAAGCATGTTTGGGTGATCATAGCTACCCTCTGGTAAACTAACATAGCTATTGAAAATGGCCATTTATAGTGGATTTACCATTAAAAATGGTGATTTTCCATAGTTACGTTAGTTTACCAGAGGGTATCCAAACTGTTTTTTTACGGATTACACACGAATCCACGATGAAATTCCCTATCCACGCACTAGAAGTATTGGAAGGGACAGAAGATCAAGCAGCTCTTCACCTGCCTTTGCCGTGCGTTGAAAACTTGAAATGAAATATTCTATTCTATTAGCCATGAACCTACGTGGATGTGCATAGCAGTTAGGTATGACCCAGTTATGTATATATTATATATGGGTATCCTCAGTTACATGGGCTACTGTATATATATATATATATCGGTTCAAACCCATTTACCAACTGGGATGTGCATCCAAGCATGCACTTCACTCCACAAAGCACCCCACATGTTCCAAATTGCGTTACCGACTTGCCGACTCAAACTGCAGTGTTACCCTGAGGGCAAAGATTCTCATAAATCAATCTACAAATGGGCCATTTTCAATGGCTATGTTCAACTACTAGAGGGATCTCCAACAGGTCCAAACCCCATGACCCGTGACCCGACCTTGCGTGCCATCTGGAAGAGAGGCTCCACTTCCTGACTTATTATTATTGAATGGAAAATATAGGATTTACATGGATTTATATGGATTTATATGGATTTATATGGTATATAATGTTATATATATATATATTTATTTATGGGGGGTTTACTAAAATGGAGGTTCTCCACAACTAGAGCTTTGAAATGCTTTGAATATCTAGTCTAATTTTGGATGATTGGGATTATCCCCATAAGTTGGGAAGGAAAAACCTCCTGATTCAGTGGGAGCTTTCACCAGTGATTCCCGTGAAATGATAAACCATAGATTTCAAGAATGGGAAACCCATGGGAAACCCATTTTCTGGATTTCTCTAACATCATCTGGCATGATAACCTCAATATCACAAGATATCACAAGCATAGACTTCCCATCTCTTTGCCTTCGAATCTCACCCCGGCAGTTTCCCCCCGAATTGCACACAACGTGGATATCCATCTCGGTCAGAACTCAAGTGCATCCCGGTACCACAATAACCGCTGCGAAAACAAACATGTTTGGATGGGACGGTACGGGATGGTAATCCTGTGGGGTGTTTACTTTTAACCTGTAATTAACCGTACAGTGTATGCTATGTATGTAGAATTATGAAAGGGCCGATGAATATCCATGACTAACAATTTCGGTGTTCTGAAACCTTGGTGGTTTGCGGATCCCATGTTCTAAAAAACGTGCCATGAAATCCATGAATTTTGAGCGGCTTATCTGGCAAATCCATCCCCAGAAACACTAAACATCAGTGCAAAGATGTGATAACACGGTATGCAAAACAAGTTTGAAACCCCAGACTTGTGGATGGGTGCAAATAGGCTGCTGAATATGAAAACTCAAAAACACATCGCAGGCTGAGTGGTACGGTAACTACATTTAAACACACGGATTTTTGAATATACGAACTGGTATTTTAGACTACCTCCGGAAAGATATTCCTTGGCCCTCCCTGCCATTTAAATATAGGGATTCTAAATATGACAGCAACCATTTAAATATCAGAACGGAACTGGTACAGTATTTCATACTACCTCCGGGGCCGCATGGTCTGGCTCGCCCTACACATATATATTTAAATGTCGTTGCCGTATGAACATGTTTGTTTGTTTGCTTGCTTGCTTGTTGGTTTCCCTGCACTCAAAAGTTTTTAAGGCCTGTGATTCAGGCTGCGGGCTGAAACATAACTGAGACAAAAAGTGCAGGCCCCGCTGCACTAAAATGTGGTACTATCGATACATCTCGTCAATATCATGGACTGTTGTGGTTATACATATACAGTATATGTATGTGATATGTGAGTATGTGATATCCCAGTAAACAACGCACAATCAAACTGGTTCATTTTATACCCATGAACTTTAGACATAAACCATACATGTTCCCATCTTTGCTTAAATCTCATTGCAGTAAAACATATCCAAATCACGTGAACCGCAAGAAAAATATCCATATCGGTTATCTCATGTCTTTGTTCAAGTTGGGTTTTTTATTGTTCCCTACTAGAGGGTATCATAACCCCCAAACAAGTAGGATAGTCCCTGTAAGTAACCAATCAATTTTTGTGGTGATGTCCCCAACGCGGTGCAGTTCTGTCGTCATGGTTTGGGCCCTGGGAGGCGCCTGCTGCACCGAGGACTTCACATCCGCGGGAGTCGCCGGCAGTTGGATGGCTGAGGCGTCAGTGCCTGGTACCGCTGAAACAAAAGCTGTAAACGGATGCCCATGGTGGTTTCCTGAAATAGGGGTACCCCAAAATCATCCATGTTTTTTGGGTGCAGATTTTTTTTTTTCGGATTTTCCATTATAAACTATCCATAGTGGGGAATGTACCCCCATTTAAGGAAACCGCCTATATGACAATCACAAGAACCATATAACCAAAGGAAATCCAGTTCGCAAACTTCCAACTTACGCACAAATTTTGCTGGAAAACGCGCTAGGAGAAATGCCGTGATATTTTGTGTAAGTGTATTGTGCCAACACAAAATAAGCAAACTTGTATGCCAATTCCCTGACATATTACTCTATCATCTTCCCAACAGAATTGTTGTCAGAACATATGTCATATTGTATCTTCCTAGAAAATATGAGGAGTAACATCTTTACATATCATATTCCCTTACATATCATTGCCAATCTTAGATACCCTGCAAAAAAATAAATTCTTTGCTGGTGAACGTAGATATTCCCATTAATACCAAAAGACTAAAGGATTAAAGTAGCCATGTAAGATTGACCTAGATATTCTTCGTGATATCTTTGTGGCCAGAAAATATGTCAAGATGTCAGGGATGATACATGTCGGGTGGTCCGTGGAGTCGGTCAATGCCGCCTTGCCGCCTTGCCACGGCCACTACGGTTATGTGATGTGATAGGATGTAATTAATCCCTATGTCATAACATGTTTTATCTTACAATTAACTATATATAACATACTAGAACTACATATCACATATCTGTCTATAGTATTCTATAGTATTGTAAATGAAACACCTTTTATGACTTTTATGACTATGGCAAGTACGCTATAATGCATAGTACTCTATGACTTGTGTAAGAATATAATACTGATAAGTCTGCATACGAGTAGGATCGTACTATAAATATATATATATACACAAAAAAAGGTGTGTATATATATACACATTGATTATAGGTTAGTACACACGTATAAACGATGATATATACTGTCGATAATAGTTAGTTTGTTTATAACCAGCCTAAGCATGGTTATAATTAATGTAATGATCTATCATAAATGGGGTTCAATTCTAAACCAACTCAATTCAACATATAATTGGGGGACACCAACTTGTAGTAATTTGGGTACTGTAGGTTCTGTGTTCATAACTCAGGTTTCCGTGTATTTAACCGCTGTAAACAGCACCTTTTGCACTTGAACCTTCCAACGTTGGAGGACGAGAAGGACATTCTACCAATTTCCAATACCCTGACCAAACGTCACATTGATAAATGCAAAAAAATGCTTGATTAGAAATATCACACGACTCAGTAACTCAGTAGTCTTAGAACTATAAAAGTATTTGTATCGCCGTCAGAGTTGCATGCTCATTATCCTGCTTGGCGATTTTTTCTATGCCACTATTGGTCAGTTCCCCAATCCCCTAAACAATGAAACAACATTATATACACATCATTGCGCGTCATGAAAGATCATGAAAAAGATCCATTAAACATTAATGTTGACCTCAGGAAACATCATAAAACTCAATAGAAAATACTGAAAAACATCATTCAACATCTTCAAAGGCCAAACATCATCAAACTTGTGATAAAATCCACTAAACCATGTAAATAAACATGTATTAACACCCACTATTTCTATGTCAATCGTCATGACCCCACACATCAACGCAATCACGCCGCACCTCCCAGCCCAGCTAGAGGCGGGAGCTGGGTAAAGGGCGCATACTGCTTTCCGGCCTCGAAGAACGGGGGTTTTCACCATAATTATGGGAGAGTTGTTTTTTCCTTTTTATATGGGATATAGATATATAGTCTGAAACATAGAATTAGACGGGGATATCTATATATATATATATATTATGTAATTGTATATATGGGATATATGGGATGTGTTTGATCATTCTGATTATCAATTAATGATATATAGATATCTATCCGATATATCATCTAATCTCATTGTGGAATATATATATATATATGATATATATATATGATAATATATATATATTTGATATACAGATATAATATGATATAATCCCATGTGTATCCATGTTTAGTATAGCTAATCTCATGAATGATTATCATTTTCACCCTCTATATATATATGTCATTATATAATATTATATATCTATCCCATATATCTAAATCTAATCCCACTATGTAATCCCGTGTTCAAAAATATCTATGGATCAATGGGATAAGGCCACCTTTTTAAACATCGTATAGATCTATAGATAAATCCCATTATAATGGTTCACCCATATTTATAGATAGTTGGTTTGGGTATATCTAAATCTATGAATAAAGAATATATATTTCATGGGGATTGTGAACATATGGGATATATTAGTGATAATCGTAGTTTCATATGTAAGATTATTAATATGGTATATATATATATGGTATACATATATATACTGTATAATCATAAATCTATAGATGGAATGTACCCTCTGGTAATGACACATGGATTGCTCGAAAATCCCCGAACGAAATGAAAGTTTCTGGTTGGCAAAATCATCGAACTAAATAGAATATAGCCTCTGGTTATTTGTTACACTTTGAGAACTCCAAGCCATGGCACATAGAAAGTTCGATGATCAACATTATGATTTACCTGTTAACAATAGTGATTTTCCGGTTCGCTACGTTGAATAACCAAAGGGTACATTAATCTAAATTCACACTTCGACCCTGCTTTGGACGATTACTTTCCACTTCAAAATGAGTGTTTTCAGGGTTTTGGTTACCCTCTGGTTCTTTAACATAGCCATAGATGGTTTACCTATTAAAAATATTTAAAAATGGTGATTTTCCATGGCTATGTTAGTCATAACCAGAGGGTAATTCATTTAATTTGGTCAGCCGGGTCAGCAACCAAAGTTTGGGATTTCTCTCCTTTCACCTGGGAAAATTGGGATGAACATGTGGAGTACACCGGCATCGGTAGGGATATAGAGACAAACCACTAAGATAGAACGGCCATGCAACAAACACAGAGGTTGGTATTTGAGTCCTGGTAACATATCGGGCAAACCATCAATCACGGACATACGCAACTGATAGTTATCAACTCATGATGGTTCATGAGCTAATTTGAGTATATTTGAGTTACCCGATGACCATGATGAGACCCCATTCAAAATGTCTTTTATGGGATTGGGGGGGCCCTCGAAACCCCGTAGCTGTGCCTCAGCTCAGGTTGTGTTTGTTTATTCGGGGACTAAGCATCCTGCATAAACTGGCTGATTTCACATATTGCTGTACATGGCTATATACATATATGGCTATAATATATATATATATATAATCTTATTGGACACTGATATACAGAAAAGTTGCTGGGTATGACATGTTCCCCCATTTACTTTGATTTCCTTCAATTAGAAATGGTCACCCAAACATAGAACCTCCCTACAGATTGCCTAAATAATCCTAAATAGTAGATTTTCCATTGGGACAGTCACAATCACGTTGAGCAAACGCGGGTTCATACGGCAACACATCCACTTCATTCAGCTATCCTTCACCAAAGACTATGCAGTCACCGCATATGGCGAGACCCATTGCTTTCCTGCTTCAAAGGACCTCCTTGGTCAATGAGGTTCCGGCACATCACCAATGAAACTGCTTCTATTTTGCAGGCTATCATAGCTCATCTTGGATATCTCGTAAGAACAGTAAATCTTTAGCATCTGAATCCTCTGAAAATTCAACAACCTGAAGTACTACGATCCCTTGCCGATCTTCCCGCCAATATTTCATAACCCCCCTAAAAAGCCTTGTGAAGTATTGGATCTATCCATTTTTGGGGCCCATATGAAGGATATTTCATATGAACGGGGATGAGATTATCTCACTTGGCGTTCACGTTGAACCCAGGTCCAAAACTCCACTTCAGGCCTGATCCGACGTCATGGCGAATGGATAGGACAATTACACTGCTCAGCAGAAAACTGTGAGTTTTTTGAGTAGTCATATCCCATATGCTCCATGTATAGTATATTTACCTACATTTGGGTGATTCCATACATGGAGCACTTGGGTATTTGATATTATTTGATCATAATCCAAATCTTGAAAGATCTATAGTTGCAATCAGTTTTGGCTACTTTTGACATGCCTAATGTATAATTCAAACATATTAAAACTGCAGATCAAACTAGATCCGGCTGAAGGTAAACGAGTTCCTCCAGAACCTCCATGGGAGGGCTAAAAAAGATTAAAACAAAAAGGCACACCGTAGTTTCAATGATCCAAGTTCTGTTGTGCTTTTTATATGTTGCATATTCTCAGGATCATCATGTTGATATGTTGTGATTCTTTCAATGGTCATCACCGTCTGAGGTGATGTTTCATCATGTTTTTCACCTACCTGTCTTCGGCCCTTAAGTTGCAGAAGCTGAGGAAGGATATCACCATGAGAGTGAGCACACATTGGTCTGGCAGCTGGCTTCAGCCACCAAAAAAAAGAAGTTATTGGGGTATTCTTGGGGGATCATATCACAGGTAGCGATGGTGCACCGTCAGCGTCTCAAGCAACTGGAAGCCAACTGTTATGCCTATGGTTCATCCTCGCAGGTATCCAGAAGATGATACCATGTGATGCTAATGTGGGAAAAAGCCAATCACAATGGGAATTTCTGTAGGTTATTAACAGGAGAACTCTGGATTGATACAATCACCATCCCCAAGAAGAGGTTTATTACTGGACATATTCGTATTTTGATGTAAAATGACTCCGTTTTATGGTTGGTGAATGGGATGCTTGCTGGACCGGTAGAACTTATTGGCAAACTGGGCATCCGTTCGACGCCCGTGTTTTGCAAAGCGATGTCAAAATCCAGCGCCGGAAACTGCCAAGCGCTGCAGAAATCAGAACTGCCTTGGAAAGTTCAAAACCAGTGCAGAACTTTCACGTTCACGACATGGGAATGGCTCAAAACCTATACCCCTAACATCAAAATAGCCTTTTTTCTGGATGTTCATAGTCCAACAAGAACTGCTAGTATTGTAGTTTATTAATGTTTATTATGGGTAGGTGATCCATAGCCCTATGATTATCATACAGCAACAGTACGAGATACAGTGACATGATCCCTGGTCACCCCAAGTCATACGAAGTGGTGCCCCCGTCATAAATAGCGTTCAGTTGATTTATAACTCCAAGAACTACGGTTTATTAAATACTTAAACTATATATATATAGTTAATATATAGTATTCAGAAGGAGTTTCTTTTAGTTGCGCAACATTCACATCACAACGGGTCCACACCCGTTGTGAATCCAAGGCACTTGACCTCCATCATGGCTTGAATGCTTTCGACTTCCTGGAACCGTGCCCAATCGTGCCCACGAAACATGGGCGAAGTTGGTGCCATTTTGGTTACCGATAGATGTACCAGAAACCATATATCCATATACCAGAGTTAACCTATGTCATATATTGTGAAATATATCCTTATAAGATCTTACAGATCAACTTCGCTAAGAAGCCTCACCTCGTATAGCAATACCTGGAATCAAACATGGCAAGTTTGATCGCCGTTTTCTGTGAGCTGACTGTGTGCAGGTTCCCAATTCTGCGACAAACCCCGGCTGCTCTTTATATCGTTTACCTGCAAATAAAATCATGAAATGGGTGGGCGGGATTGTCATAATGTTGCTATGTGCTGCTTATGTATATTATATATATATACATACATACACCATTTATCCTATAAAATGCTTGGTCATGTCACTAATATTTTCCATTTTAACCATATTCAAGCATATTCAAACCTTATGTTCTATTCCGAAAAAAATCGGGGGCCAAAAACGGTGGGTCCCCAAGGGCTTTCCAATGGGACTTTCCCATAGATTCTCCAGATTCTCCGATTCAAACTTCCATTCTGGGGATTTCTCCGCTAGCCATGTTTCATGATCCTATCACCATCACATCACCATTAATTAAATCCCATTCAACCCATATTTAGATGCAAATTAAATCATGTTAAATCATGTTAAATCATGTTAAATCACCCCAAAAAACATCAAATCAACATAAATCAACAACATCTTCCCCGCATTTTCCATCATTTTCCATCATTTTCCCATAGTCACTGGCCATTTCCCTCGGCTTTTGAGGACTCCGAGCCGGGGGCCCAGCCGGATCCCTAGGCCCCGCCATGGCCATCCGCCATGGCCATCCGTCCACCGAGCATCAGCAGCGCCAGGCGCTGTCCCATGAGCTCGGCCAGACTCTTCAGCTGCGTGCGATGCGCCTCCAAGAGCCCGGGCAGCACCTGGGAAGTCCGAAAAAAAAAAAGTTGTGTGTTTTTAAAAAACATACCTATATATATATATTATATTATATTATATTATATTATATTATATTATATTGTATTATATATATATATATACATATCATACGTGTATATATATATATATACCATATATATATATATATGATTATATATATGTGTTAATTGAAGTTTAAAACCACTGTTTTACTCCTGAACACATGTTTCCATTTAATAATCCAATATCTTGAGTAAAAATAAGAAGACGTCAAGATGATTTAAGCATATTTAAGCCATCAAACAAAAATGGGGAAAATGGGGAAAATGTTGATTGGTCGATATACCCTATGGCCTGTGATATATACCAAATTTGTGGAGGATGGGACGTTGCTCCACACTTACAATTGTTCACAATCATAATGAACATCATCGTCATCATCATCACCACCACCATCATCATCATCATCGTCATCGTCATCATCGTCATCGTCATTATCATCCCTTATGGAGATGAGTTGGTGCTATTATCAGATTCAGCATTTGAAAAACCCACCCATCTCATGGTCCCTAATATGTTGCATCCTGTACTAAACCATGGTTTCTTGGGTGTGTTTGATATTAGGGGAAAGGGACTATTGTACAAGATGAGGCCCCACAATAAAAAGTTGGATTATAAACCCCATTGGCCCATTAACTATAGTTGTATATTCCCCATGAACCCTATAGGTAACCACAGTTAAAATTTAAAGGTAAACTTAACTATCTAGAGGGCCTCACCTTCTATGGATTGAGTGGGATTAAACCAAAAGTTTGGGTATTGACATGGGACATGTGATTAGCCACAGGGGCGTGTCTGAAAACAATGTTCTTTCATCGATTTATTTGGAGAAGCCCTAGGCCATTAGTCAATGTCTCGTTCAGAACCACAGATGAAGTGGTCATTTTGAGGACTTAGTCGAAAGCATCCAATTGTTGGGGGTAACCCTCTGGAAATTTCACAGTTTCTATGGACAATCACAGTGTTTAATGGGTAAATCATCTATGGGCCTTGTTCCATCCTTTTTCCATGACTGTTTGACTACCAGAGGATAGGCAATTTTAACCCATTAAAACTTGTGCGAGATCGTTGCTGGGCCGTTTTTTAGCAATTTTACCGGCATACTGATGGCTTTTGATAGAACTGTTCATATGCTTCCTCAACCGTCCATGATAGGCCTACCCACAATTTTCCCAAGAAAAGAAACTTGTTTATAGATAAAGAAGCTTGTTGATGGATATAGAAAATGTACCCGCATATGGTTCCTTACCCATCATAGTAAACAGATGGCGGAACATATCCCTGTTAGATATAAATAAATCATGCGGTAAACCCATTCAGAAATCTACCATTTGGGGATGGTTGATACCACTCATCTATGGATTCTATTGGCTTTACATGGCTTTACCACATGAGCAATTCTAGGGTCTATGGAAATTTCAGTCGCCCGCCTCCAGGGACTGAAGCTGCTCCAGCACTGAGCCTTTTAAAACGTCGCGAAAGATGCATGCAGCTTGAACCGCCTCGTTGGAAATGGCACTCTCCAACTTCGCCGCAGACTGTAAATCCTCGGCAAAGGGCCACGTTCATCCATGTTCTCGTGGTTTTTCTGATGGTTAACATGCGATATATATATATATACATAATTATGTATACACCGTCCAATTGAAGACATGGGAAAACAGATCGATTTCGGCAGGGAGATCAAAGTGAATCATCTTGCGAGACCATGCAAGTCTGTTCCCCTATCCGGTCCCAGGCCCTATCATCCCCAAACCGTAGGATTCATTCCAGTGATCATTCATGCTCTGCTTTGGGGTCCGATCATTTTTGAGAAACTCACATATGATCATGATATGACATCAGGCATAAATTTAATTTCAGATGCATAAAATGGCTTTATGATTATGTCATATTCTGGGATATTGCCATGCTTTTTCGTATTTGCTAAGCCAATATCAGTGCCAATCTGGTGCCGTCGCCCAAGGTGCTGCTTGCAGTTCGTTGAGGCAGCGCTGGACAAACTGCAGCGTGTCGCGCAGAGCGAGGCGACTTTGATGGATGACATCGTCAGCCTTGGAACGGGGAGATACGTCACTTAGATGGGTCATGGAGTTAGTGAACTAGATAAATGGATAGCTCGTGTGGCTCGCAATGATCATTCAACAACAAATAGATGATTCAATACCCATAGGATCCATGTATGGTATATATGCTAACATTGGGGGTATATTGATGGTAAATGTTACCATATATAGCATACATGGATCCTATGGGATAGGATTCAGTTTGATAATTACTGTGGATGGTTGCGAAGCCTTCACCATCTTGGATGGTTGAACCCTATAAATATCTATAAATAATGGGATGTTTACCACCTATCAACTCATGCAGGATTTCGCAACGATCCACAGTATGTCTAATATTGTCTAATGTAGCTGAACATTATTGTAAAGTCACCATTGGAATGAATGGTTCAAAATTCGGATTGTTTTCTTCTGGCTGGTGGTTTCAACATGTTTCAATCCCCTCAATCAACGGGATCATACGATTCGTCCGAAAATGTCGTGTAGCCCTAAATCCATTGGATTATCATCAATTTCCCTATTAAAATATATATTGAAACTGGTTACTTAGGGGTATACCCTATTTTCAGTCACAACCCAATATCAGATATTATTGGTTTATATATCCCCATAATTTGTGATTTCCATGCTATCCGCATGATTTTCCCTTTCCCCAGGGTCCCCAACCCCCTTTAAAAATAGGATCATTATGGGACCATCCATCAGCTTGAAAACACGGCAAACAGGACGAATCGCGCCTTTGCCTTCTTAGAGGACTTTGGAAGGGCGGTGCCAAGCCAGAGAAGTACCTTGATGGCTTGGGGCCAGTAACCAACAACCAACCATCACAATATATGGATATCAGGAGATATGTTCAGTCAGTAATATGTGTATATATATACATATCATATATAATATACATATCATATATATATATAGATGACCACTTATTTTAAACAAACCTTGAGGAATGTAGAGAATCACGAAAATAGTTTCATTTTCGAAAGCGCATAACCCCAAATCAGGCTGGGTTTTCGTTTCTCAGTGGGGGATCTATGGCCATGTCATTGCCAGCTGGTCAATTCAAGTGATTTGCTCAAGCCTATGCCCTTACCATCCTTTACCTGAGCTCCTCAAGGCTCAAGATAACCCTTGAGGAAAAGGACCTTAGATCTTACTTAGATCCCCCCGTTAAACCTCCTTGTTCGCATGCACAGAAACGACCGAAAACCGCGCAATGGGAGCCCACCAGACAATGTGGTGCCAACCCTACGAAGTCACCCAGGCAGCGCTCTTGACATGATCATTTTCTGCACGGAAACCATGCTTGTTTTATGTAACTTCCAAATCTATGAAGATACCAGAGGGTATGTGTTAAGATATTCATGGATAGAAACTGTGTGTATATATATAATGTATCTAACTATGTGTATATATATATAACTGTTCAGTTAACCAAACTAAGGCTCCATTCGCGTATAGTTACCCCAATCCTAACCATATAACTACAGTGACGTCGCAACATGAGGACGTTCCAGTATAACTTATCCTGACATGATACAATAATAGGTAATTAAAAATAAATGTTAGAAATGCCCTTGTTTGCTCTTAATAAGCCTTATCCATAAACATCATAAACCCGAACATCACCGCCACTTTATCATATTACACATTATATCCCCCTGTGATATTCCCATCAAATCCCCTGAAAAACCAATCAGCTCCCATACAAAAATCGCCCTGGAAATCCATTGAACTCCCATCGATTTCCCATGGATTTCGCCCACTTTGCTCCGCCCAGTTGCCACACTCAGCACCAAAAACATCTGATTCAACGTTCCCAGGCTGCGCGCTCCATAGCTGCCCAGCCCATAGGGGCCACCAAGGCCATCACCTTCCGCCGGAGCCTCGCCGGCCCTTGGGGGCGGATGAAAATTCAGGCGCAGGCACGGCAAAATGGTGCCTGGGGCGGAAAGAAATAGGTGAAACTGTGGAAATTTGGGATGGTTCAAATGTGAAAGTTTTTACTGATTAATACTGTTTACCCATTAAAACACGGTGATTGGGATTTTTTTAAGAATGTTTAAGACTGCCAAAACGCACAGAAGTGGGAATTGACTGCAAACAAAAGTGACTGGTAGCCATTGAAACTGGGTCGTGGGATGTACTCAGCAAGCAAGAGAGGAATCGCCTATCCACATTTGTTTGGCGAAGTTACTGGGGGAGCCTTCTCAGAATTGATAAATCCTAAGCCACATGTTCAACCCATTATTAGCAAAACCTAAATTACAAGGCTTTGACGTAGGTGTGTGTGTGTGAACCCTTCTAGCACAGGGAATGGTGCCGATAATCGTTTGCTGCGACGCCAACAGTGCTGCATGTAATTCAATGCAGGGGGTGCCACAGGATTGAGTGAAGCTGGCACCAACGAAGACCTTCACTCCTTCCTGTGATATGAAAACGGGATGCCGTTTTCACGTACCTGCTGGCTTAGTTATGATCACATGTTTTTCCTCGAGGCTGTTTCAGGTACAATTCGGTTGATGAAGTTGTTGTTTCTTCATACCATTGCGGACCTCACCCACGTGGATTTAACTTCGGACCTCACCAGTTTGGATTTAACCTCAGAACTCACAACCAAACCAGTGTGTGCGTGTCTCTGTGTGTGTATGTGTGTGTGTGTGTTTTGTTTACCCTCTGGTAAATTGACATAGTTATGGAAAATGGATGAAAACAGCCCATCTATAGATGATTTACAAACAAAAATATTACTCTAAACAAAATGTGATTTTCAATAGCAAACTGCTAAATTACCAAAGGGTAAAAACCAATGCTGTAGCCAATTCGGATGCTCCACCATCTGAACCAACTCAGTCCAGACCCATGGGACAGCACATCCATTGGATCCAAGTGTCTGATGGTAAAACCCGTCATCCTCTATTAATAACTTGTATGTTTGCTACGTATATAATATATACATATAACATTATATAACATGTTCCTTGTGCTGCGCTGGTTACCGTCCATGCGATGGCTAAACCGAGTAAAACTGTTCCACCTGACAACGGGTGATTGAATATCAATGGGAACTATTATTTGCCCCTCAGCCCTATTATGATTATACATGCTATATGTTTATCATGATCATTCAGAATAATGCCCAAATCTCTCATTAAATCCTCAGTATCATATGTACATAGCCCCATGCATAGCCCGGATTGATGTAACTGATGTTGATATTCAATTTCACAGTAAAATTTACACCCTGACCCTACCTTCAAGGATTATCCATGCCCCATTTTCTCATAATAAATTTTCTTGTCTAAATCCCACATGTTGAAAATCCCACATGTTGATACGCTCACATCGTTGCTGAAACCTCCATGTTTTCCACCCCATTTTTTGGCGACCGATGGCTATGGGATGGGTCAACAAAATCATCACCCCAAATTTCAAGGGATGGTGGTGATAACGATGATTTATGATGATTTCATGCCTTAATGATTCGAACATGATGTTTCTTTTTTAATGATATTTAATGACTTGAACATGCCCTACAAATGACTTGAACATGGCTTGAAGACGACGCGTAGTTGATATGACAGTGAACGTTAATCACATTAATAGCCATTGGACTCACCTCGTCGCTACTGGCAGCACTGGACATCAGCTTGTCGGAAGCGGAAGGAGTCCGGGGTGCAAAGCCATACATTAATGCATATATTCTATCTGGGCAAATTATAATAATTCACTAACCTGAAACTTGCGGCTATCTGGGGATGATTCCCCGAATCCTAACCATGATTATAGTGAGGGAGAACAGTGAGGTCGTGATGAAATTCACCCAGATTTGATGCTGGGAAATCCCAAATGAAATGCCCGCGCACGTTTTCGCCAATGATGATTTTCCTGCCGCCACGTTTGATCATATATATTTGGGATAAGCACGGATAAGCGGATTTAGAAACTACGTATTGGTGTGGACCATAACTATTTTCACAATCATCCATTATATACTAATGATTAATGATAGATGATACATTCAACAATTGTAGTTGTTTATATGTTGTTTTTTTGTTCAATTGTATCTCCCTTTAATTTTTTTTAAAATCCAGTATATAATTTATGAATCCCTATTATTGATGGTTCAACAGTTTACCCTCTGGTAAACATACAACAAAAAATATGGAAAACCACCATGTTTCTGGGTAAATCATTATAATTCACTAACCTGAATAGTTCGGCCATTTGGGGATGATTTCCCTATAAAAACCTGTCATTTAGCCAGATTTTTCGCTACATCAACGTGGCCTAGCCATGGCCGCTTCCAAGGTACCCAGGCTGCTACTGATGGCCTCCAGATGCCTGCAAAGTTTCTCCCAGGCCTGGTTTTTTTCGGCGCCAGAACGGGAGAATTTTCGACACACTTGGCATGTTAAATAAAACTTGCTAGATCCTGGGTCAAGAAAAACAACTGATATGTTTTTTTTTAAACAACAGAACAGATGTAAAAACCACGGAAAGTCCTAAGGGCTTAGCCCAAATTTCATGCTACGAACTGTGCAAAGAGTTGAAGTTCCCCCCGGAATTAATATATGTATATGTATGTATATGTATATAGTATTATGTAGTTGTTCCCAAACTTGCAGCAAAAGATGTTCCTGCTCATTCAGACAAAATTATACGATTGACCTACCCATTACAGGTTTACGTAAAGGAAATCAAAAGAACAGTCACGCTGGAAGGGCCCAAGTGAACGGTATGATTCATGTGAAGTTGACAACTTTTAATCGGACATGTGGTGGTTTTGCAGTTTCTTGCCATTTTGACTATGGCAACAATCAACTGTGTGGCTATCATCCATTGATTTTTTGCTGCCTGCTAGGTGTCCGTTTCTGGGTTGGCTCAAAACAATGTAAAACTACTTGTTTTGGACCGTTTTGGACTATCAATGTTTTGGACTAGCAAGCGAGGAGTCCATTCACCAGAAGCATGACCATTATTATAAATTCTAGCCTTCACTACCCACTGTTAGCCGGAAGGGGATAACCCAATCCATACCAGTTGTTAATAGTTCAATCCTATTAGTTGGCACACAAAACTCCTGTTGCCGACTCAAACTTAACTCAATCCTCATGTTGCTTGATATTTTCTATCCTTATTTGTTGCTTCCCCTGAATTTAAAATGGGTAAACGGGTAAAACGAGTCATTTGGGTCTGAAAATAGGGATCTATCCCCACAATCCAATGGTTTAACGGAAGCAGATTGGAAACACCGTTCACTAATGGACGTTAATGGAATTAATTGTTACGAATCGTCCTCAAGCTGGGAAAAAGAGGGTGTTTAACTTAATTAGCTCTGACCTATTTCACTAATAAGTGCAACTAGCCAGAGGCCTTTGCGGGGCTTGTGTCGCTTTTGGTCATTTCATTGTTTATTGTTTTTTGGATTTTGTTTCTCTTTTTGCCAGATACAATTTTTGTAGTTATGCCACAGAACAGCTCTTGTCTTGTCGAGTAAAATGGCATCCTTGGCTAATACCGGACCCTGGTATGAGCCAGCAAGGCTAGGGAGATATCTTAACTTTGGGGTCTGCGTGGGTTTTATATTAATTGGGATGTCAATAGTCAATAGTCGGATCTGTTTTCTGTTTTGAACACTTCGGCAAAAAAAAAACACGTCTACATCGTCTACTTTCCCAGTCAGTTTCACTCTTTTTTGAGGAGGATGATCATGTCAATGGCCATTCCAGGATCCTAAATTGGAGGTACCAAGCATATATAAGGCCTACTAATTGGTGGTTTTAACCCCCCTGAAAAATATTAGTCAGATTGGATCATCATCCCAACTATTGGGGAAAATAAAAAATGTTCCAAACCACCAACCAGCCTATAATTATAAGGCCTAAATTTCAGGGAATATCCATTGATCAGTGGAGTTTCCCAATAGTTTCCCCGTGGAGTGGATCCAACGGATCTCTGCCTCGGGTGTTGCGTTGTGAAGCAACAGCGCGGAGTCACAGGCGCTGAAGCTACAGAGGTTACCGAACCTGGGGGCCGAACAAAAAGGACCGTAGGACCGCGTGAAAGCCCCGGTGGATGTGAATGTTGGTTCAGATTAAACATGATTAAATGACTACACTCATGAATGCTATGTTATAATTTATAATACATTATAATAGTATTGGAGTTATAATGTATTAGAACTATTATACATAAATTATAACAAATAGTATATAATAGTATTGGAGTTATAATTTATAACCATGACTAAACTAACATAATACTAAACCATGGCTATTGGAGTTATTTGGGTCAAGGACTGGTTAGCTAACCATCTCAAGTTGGGGCCACTTTGGACCACCCATATCTGGCACTTTCAACCAATAAAAGTACGTGTGTATCTAATATATATATATTGTTGTGTATACATAATATACATGTATATCAGTGGAAAGGTATATCTATATGGTTGGTTATCGATATCGCCATTACTGTAACCAGCAATCTAAGACAACAAAAAGCATGGGTATCCCAAATGTATTGAAATGTATATTGCAGATGTCAATGCTGCGAATTGTTTCCAAGCCATTTGCCTGCATAAATATACTCATAATAAATAAACAATATAGAACCAAACCAAAAGGTAATTAATCCCGTTTAAACTAGTTATCCCAAATACAGGCTATGTTTCATATCTTCTAACAATGTTGTCACATTTGCGGCAATATGCTTTGCTGGGGGATTTCCCAGCCACGTTTGATGACACCGGAGGGTATATAGATATGGAAATTACCCTGTTCAATCGATACATCTTCAAATAGGCCATATCTTCCACTGTTAATTCGCTGGTTACCAACCATTATCCCTACTGATCCCAAATATATACTTGAATAGTCCATTAAGATTCCATTCTATCAAGCAGTATCTGATTTGGTGGTTCCATATCCCATGAAATCCCGTATGTTATAAGATGTTATTAATGTTAATAGCCCGGCTCCCATTGAATCATTTGAATAACCATTAAGTTGCTAATAACCATATAAATATGTATATATATATAGTGGTGATATAGTAACCTCAAAACATGCGAAAACATATTTTGTGGATGCTAGCTCGATGGTGTTGTTCCCCAAAATATATGATAGATTTATGTACAGTTATATAATGTGTTTACACCAACTTAAAACTGGAAGCCACACCGAAAGTACAAATGTTGGTTTTTGCTTGTAGGTTGTTAAACGATTCTAGGTTTTTAAATCCCATGAAATCCCATCCACATCCTATCAAATCCAATTAATATCCCATTAAATCACACCATGTATCTACATATACATTCAGTATATTTCTGAATCATTTTGGTGATACAAAACCCCAAAACATGCGGAAGTTGGTATTTCCAGGACGGTAGTTTGATGATATACAGTAATTATATATATATATCACATCTATACAAATCAGATTCATAGATATTCATAGTCCGTTATAAATGATGTCCCAAGTCCTATACACAACAATATCTTCTGACGTTGGTTTAATCATTATTAACCCCTGTCACTATAAAACCCATCACATCCCAATTATATAACAGCATTTCATATCCTATTCCGTTGACTTTTCTGGGCCATGAATAATATCAATATTCAAATCTCACTAAGAATCTATGCAACTAATTCTAATATCCCAGTAAGAATCCTTTTGATATCCCAATTTGTATATACACTGTATATACTATCCTTGGTGAATTATAATAAGTCACTGACCTATAACAATTTGTATAATAATAAAACATGTTCATTTTGGGATAGTTGCCCCTACTAATACACCCAATCAATATCCCATCAATGAATATCATGGATATTCATTCACTTTTCATGAATAATATTCTGGCTGATCCATAATTAGATATATATATATGTATACATAGATAATTATATAAATCCATTGATTATATAATCCATTTAATAAACATCTTCGAAGCTGCCCAGCCACGTCCTAAAGGCCTCCTGCGCTTTGCCCCAGCAGCTGCCCGCCGCCGACGCCGTCGCTTCCGCCGCGGCCTCCGCCAGGGTTTTTTCTTCGCCGTGGAGCAGTGCCAGCGCCGGACGTGCCAGGGACAGGCAGCTGGAGAAGTCCTGGAGATGTCGTTTGGGCAAAATCATGTGAAAAATGTGGGAAAACAAAGGAAAACCATGGAAACATGTGGGAAAACATAGGAAAACCATGGAAAAATGTGGAAACACCATGGGAAAAACAATGGGAACTATGTCCAGGTAAATACATTGGAAATACATTGGAAAAAAACATAGATACTGTAATCCATGAAACACTTAGGAAAATCATGGGAAAACCATAGGAAACTCTGCTGCCCCCTACACTCCTCAGGTACACCATGGTACACCTGGGATAGGATGCACCTTCCCATCGCGGTCTGGAAGTCTCGGGATACTGGTGACTTCAACCCCCGACTAAACCATTGGTGCGGTACGTAATCTATTCCTGAGTCAGGGCCATACCCATATTGCTACTACATCCATGTGTCAGTTATATAACATGCTGTTACATACTAGATCTGTATACATAACTATACATATAAGTTGAAAAGTCTGTACAATATTGTAGTCACTAAATACAGTTACAGTATTAGCCACCTGACCAAAAACATCAATAAAATATCATCAAAAAAACATGATCAAACTTATTTAACGTTCTGCCTCAAGTTCATCATTCACAAGATCTGCCTCTTAAATGGCCCAGACCATACCAGTAGCATGGCCCCAACCAGTTTACCCTCTAGTAAACGTTTACATAACCATGGAAACATCTTCGTCTCGCATAGGAAAATCAACGAACTCAATGGCCATGTTCCAGTAGAGATTTACATTGATTTCCCTATTAAAAAAAATGGTGGATTTCTCATGATTCCCCTATTAAAAAAAAAAACGATGATTTCCCATGGATACCCTCTGGTAATTTAACATAGCTATTGAAAATCACCATTTATAGTGGATTTTCCCATTAAAAATTGTGATTTTCCATGGCTATGTTAGTTTACCAGAGGGTTTCGATCAAACGTCCTCCGTCACGCCGCTCGTAACGAGCATCCCCGCGCAGCGCAGCAGCGCGGCGCTCAGCGTCAGCTGCGCGCCCGCCGTCGGAAAGGACGTCGAAACGCCGAGCAGCAGCTCCGCAGCGCCGTGACCTGTGGAGCCGTGACCTGAATAAAAGGTGCAGGTGGGTGGATAAAGCCACCAAAAACATGTGTATATATATATGAATGTGTATATATATATATATATGATTGTGTATATATATATGATTGTATATATATATAATTAAATATAGATATATGACTGACATATATAGATTGAAATGGATGGAAAACATCGCAACACATAGAAACGAACTATGGTTTCATCAGTTTTGATAGATGATTTGATAAGAAACGTGACCTATTGAGCAACAAAATATCATAAAGTATACCATCCATCCCTGTGCCGGATTGATAAACCCTGACTGTCATTTTCACGGATTACTTCCAAAATAGTCATAAACTACTAACTACTCTTTAAATTGATACCCTATCAATGATCTTGGGTGAACATGAATTCTCACCTTTGTTGGCTTATCGACTAAAGATGTACTCACCATAAACCTTACTTGTCATTACTTATCTGTGTTATAAATCAAGCATTGCGATCCAAAAACATCATTCACATTGGCTAAATCTAGCCATATCTTCCCATGAAATATATGAAATATCCCCAGCCCCAGCCCACCTTGCTTCCCCACCTGGCTCTAAGTCCTCGTCCCGGTCGCCAACGTCGCGAAGGTTCGCGGCATCGCTTGGTTGGCCCCAGGATGCCGCGAAGGAAGTGAGGGACTTGGAGGAACCAAAGGCCTGGCAGATCTGGCAGCGTCTGGATTCTGCAAAGGAGGAGATTGCCTCATGGGAATTACCCTCTGGCAAACTAACATAGCTATTGAAAATGACCATTTATAGTGGATTTTCCATAGTTATGTTAGTTTGCCATGGGAATCACAAAGTTTTAAGAATGTTTTAAGAATGTTTTAATGATTTGATCAGCAAACATGGAACTGCAGGGTGATCAGGATGATAAAACCAGAAACCATACTCAAAAAGGCTTGCGATATCTTGTGATATGCAACGCAGTCGTCCGTATGTGTTGGTAAATCCGTTGGATTTAATCAGCAAACATGGAGATACCAAAAATAAAACAGGGATCATGAAGGGGTGAATATATTTGATCGACACATTGTGTGGATTGATTTCAATGACAAAAACCCGGGGGGTCAATGAATAAGCCATGGATGATCAACAACAAACATTGAGAGTGATGCAACCCTACTTAGCATGGGGATCTTACTGATTGAACCAACCCCAATATCACTAGAAATGGGTGGTATAAACTCTCCAAAATTGGAGCTTCATGAGCTTGGGTTTTCCACATTAGATGCAAAAAAGGGAGCTATGGAAGTTGTCCAAATCGATTGCTCATCACTGCTCGGATGTGGAGCCAATCATCCAACCGGTGAATCAGCATCTTTAAAAGACACGCTTTATGTGACAGGATTCAACAAAAAACAAAAGTCAACATGATCCAACAATTTGTGGGGAGAATTTCTGGATGATTTCAGGGAAACTGAAAAAACTGAAAGCAGGACTCATGGTGACATTAATTATGTGACATTCCGAATGACAATCAGCAGCGGTTTCCAGCAGTCTTTCCTTTGACAAAATTTTGAAAAAAGAAACCGGGATCGATTATTGAGATGTACCCTCTGGTTATTTAACAGTTCGCCATGGAAAGATCCACCATTTTTTATAGGTAAACCATGAATTTCTATGGGCCATCTATACCATGGCTAACTGTTAGTCATAACCAGAGGGTAAGCAGAAACTTCTGGATTCAACCCTCCAAGATTTGGCTTTCATCGACTGAAAAAATCAACGACAAAATTCATGACATCGCTATATGAACTATTGCTGCGGGAATCACCACTTCATTCAGGTAACCTTTGAACAAATCACCGCAATCTGAGAAATTCATCTACCCTCTGGTAGTGACTAACATAGCTATTGAAAATTGTCATTTATAGTGGATTTTCCCATTAAAAATGGTGATTGTCCATAGCTATGTTAGTTTACCAGAGGGTAAATTCATCATGAATCCCAGAACTTGTTACGAACTTCAATCTTGATAATCTTGACCATGGGCCCCTCGGAAAAACTATCCGAAAGCTGCTTTCACGACGAATCTGGGTGCGTTTGGATCCCACCCTGGTTGAAGTTCCAAGCGTCCCAGGTCAACAGTGAAATCCCAAGCCATCCCCATCTTTGTTGGTTGAAATTCGATTGAAGTTCCTTTCAGAAAGTTGACCTCCAACTTCCGGTGAATGTTGGTTAGTTACATCATACTAAAACTTAGAATCTGTGAATTCAGATTGAAATCCCCAGTTTGTTGATGGTTGACTTCCTTGTTGATAGTGTGTCTGAAAATGGGCTATACCCCAAAACTGTCCTCATTCGGAACATGATCATAAAATATCATAAACCATTGGATTGTTAAGGAACCTGATTTTCAGACAAACGCATATGAGCAGTGTTCAAAATCCCTCTATTGGATCATTATAATCCCCAATAGATTGGGTAGTATAATCCCCAAATAATCATCAACTAAGAGGGGTTTTGAACACCGCTCATATCAATTGTCCCAGTAAAACCTATGAAATCATAATCCTTCTGGTTGGTTCCATACCCCCATAAAACCACAAAATCCCATTATCAATCATATTGTTAGTATGTATGTGTGTATATATATATAGATAAATAAAGAGTTTCTTAAAGTATCATATCATATCCCCAATCATACGGGTCGTATTATCCAAATCCAAATCCCCATCATATCCATTATTTTTGCTGCTCATGGCATCTCGCGTCATTACTCCAGCCATCCCGCGCCCCTTGCCCGTCTCCTGCTCCGTCGTGCCTGCGCCGACCACTGGGGCCCCCATTGAGGATAGCTAAGCTGGTGTTTTACTAGAGTTTCACTAGAGATTATAACGTTTACAGTACTACTTACAGTGTACTGTATATGCAATTATATATATATATATACTGTGTATATAATGTATATATAGTTATATATATATAGAGATATTTTATATTCTTTATGTATATATTATATCATATGTTTTTACTCGTCGCGGGTGAACCAATTGAAGTAACTGAGGGCCCACCCTGTTGGATCCTTCTTTTGTCGGTAGCTTTGGGGGGTCAACCCTGACCGAGGAAATGGCGATGAGAAACCACTGATTCTCATTACGCTATATAAATGGTATATAAATGGTATATAAATGGTATATCAATTACTGGATTTCCGATATTCCATTTCATATGAGTGTTTTTCTCTGAAATTTACCTTTGTTCAACTTGTTTCAAGATTTTTTGGACTCACCCAAATGATACCAGATGTAAATGAGGTTCATGAGATCGACACTTTTAATTCCATCATTCCCAGAACGTAACTGCTGTAGAGACAAGGGAGGCGCACCCTGAAGTCTGGGAACTGGGTTTGTAATTCCAGGCAACGATGATCTTCATAAAAAGTCACTCGTTGTCAACGACGAAATCGGAAGGGTGTGTCTTTACTTTAACAAAGTGCGCCTGGAGAATTGAGAAACGACATCAGTGTCCTGAAAATGGTTTTGTCCAAGAATGGACAAAACTACCCTGTTCGATGGTTATTTTTGACTTGGAGGTACCCTATCGACCCTATCTATCCCTATCTTCAAACAAGAGTCTGCAACAAACTCTTTCCAACATCTGCTATGCTGAATGTGTCTGTCAAGGTTTTCGAAGCAACGACATCCGATCTCACCAGAGAAAGTCAGAGAACTTGTTGAGTACTTGTTTAGTGAAACATCAAAAAACAACCGCAGTTTGATGATTGCAACTCGCTGCGAACCTTGACCAGAAACCAAACAAGTTGGACACCATTGGTGTCCCTCAAACGAACACGTTTTTTCCAGCATGTGATCGTTTCTTTTCTTCCATCATTTCATTTCTGTGTGCGCGTGTTCAAAACCCGCCTTGCGTCGTCCCTTTATACTGCTTGAAAACATTTGAGAACGGGATTCCCTGTGGATTGTGATAATCCCCAATGTATTGCTTCGTATTATCCGATAGAATCACGTGATACCACGGCGAAACCTCCACATCTACGCTGCGGAAGAGGCTGCAGGCCGTTGAGGAGCGCACGGTCTTGGTTCCTGCGAGCAGTGCTGTTTGAATCAATTGTTCACATGCGCGAACAAAGCCATTGTTGACGGGAAATTCCAGAAATCCTCCACAATATAGTAACTCTAGTGATTCAGTGTGATTCACTAAATAAATAGTTAAATTATGTTAAATAGTATGAACAATGTAATTCTTAGCTTATTCATGTTACATATTCCCAAAGCTTCGTCCATATTTCTTTTGAATCTGGTTTTCTGGTTGGTTTGGACGAGAAAACCCTTCACGTTCACCATTTTTGGGGTGTCAAATTTCCGTTTCTCCAGGTTTGGAAGCTTTAGTCACTTGGATTCAAGATCTGGATAAATTAGAATAACAAACCAACCGAAAAGGCAATTTTGATCAAGATTCCAGATTCAGATTCCAGATTCAAAATTCCAGATTTTTGAACAATAACCAACCATCATTCCAGATTCAAAATGATCCCAGCTATGCCCAGCTCAATTGATCAGCCTCCAGGCCCATTTCTCGGAGGGTACTTCGGCCACAAGCTGCAGCACTCTCAACTGCCTCCACAAAAAGCGGAGGCTTCGGATGGCGGCTCAATGTTGAAAAATAAACATAGTATGTGTATATATATATATACACTGTATATATATATATTATATATACATGATAGATAGATAGATAGATAGATAGATAAGATTAGATAGATTAGATAGATTAGATAGATTAGATAGATTAGATAGATTAGATAGATTAGATAGATTAGATAGATTAGATAGATTAGATAATTAGATAGATTAGATAGATTAGATAGATTAGATAGATTAGATAGATTAGATAGATTAGATAGATTAGATAGATTAGATAGATTAGATAGATTAGATAGATTAGATAGATTAGATAGATTAGATAGATTAGATAGATTAGATAGATTAGATAGATTAGATAGATTAGATAGATTAGATAGATTAGATAGATTAGATAGATTAGATAGATTAGATAGATTAGATAGATAGATGAGATAGATTAGATAGATTAGATAGATTAGATAGATAGATAGATAGAGATAGATAGATTAGATAGATTAGATAGATTAGATAGATTAGATAGATTAGATAGATTAGATAGATTAGATAGATTAGATAGATTAGATAGATTAGATAGATTAGATAGATAGATTAGATAGATTAGATAGATTAGATAGTAGATAGATTAGATAGATTAGATAGTAGATAGATTAGATAGATTAGATAGATAGATAGATTAGATAGATTAGATAGATTAGATAGATTAGATAGATTAGATAGATTAGATAGATTAGATAGATTAGATAGATTAGATAGATTAGATAGATAGATAGATAGATAGATAGAGATAGATAGATAGATAGATAGATAGATAGATAATAGATAGATAGATAGATTAGATAGATTAGATAGATTAGATAGATTAGATAGATAGATAGATAGATATAGATAGATATAGATAGATATAGATAGATATAGATAGATATAGATAGATAGATAGATCGATCGATCGATAAGATAAGATAAGATAAGATTAGATTAGATTAGATTAGATTAGATTAGATAGAAAGATAGATAGATAGATAGATATAGATAGATATAGATAGATAGATATAGATAGATAGATAGATCGATCGATCGATAAGATAAGATAAGATTAGATTAGATTAGATTAGATAGAAAGATTAGATAGAAAGATTAGATTAGATTAGATTGGATTAGATTGGATTAGATTGGATTAGATTGGATTAGATTGGATTAGATTGGATTAGATTAGATTAGATTAGAATAGATAGATAGATAGATAGATAGCTAGATAGATAGATAGATAGATAGATAAATAGATTGATTGATTGATTGAGTGACTATATATATATAATTATATATATATAAACATAGATTATAGATGGGGGGGTTCCATAAATGGGGGTACCCCCAAATGGATAAATGGATGGTTTATAATGGAAAATCCATCTATAAATGGATGATTTGAGGGTACCCCTGTTTTGTTTAGAATCTCCATGGTTTCTATCCTGATTTCGTTTTTGACTCAGGCCATGGGATGTTTTGCCTTCACCCAAACATCACCTAATCACAAATCTGGCTGAATTTGTTTGACAGATTAACTAGCCAAAAGCAGTCAGCATGTACACGCTTGTTTCTTGAGCCATACATGACGAGTATAATCAGTGAGACCAGTGAAAAACACCCCCCGCCGCCCCGTAGTTTTAACGGAGGACGGAAGGCCTAGCTCGGTCGCCAGAAGTGACCTGAGAGCAACGGAGCTACATGGACATCACTGCATAATTATATCGTCAAAAGAAATCGGTCTCAGCTCAACGGGTGCATGAGGCAAAAGGCATAATCGGATGTTTTGGAGATCCTGGGCATTGCATGTGCTTGGAAATAGCAGAAGCGACATCGGCCTGGCTTCCGCCAAGGCATAGGAGCATTACCACTCCTTTCATTGCCTTGGAAACTTGAAAGCTACTGTATCAGGCCTATATACACGGCTATATACACACAAAACTACCGCAAAGGATCGGATGCTGGTGTCAATTTCTTTTGAAGCAATTGGGAAAAGGTTTTCAAGTTATTCAAGTTGGAATTTCAAGTTTTGAAGATGTGTGCATTTCGATTGAACTGAATGACCATGGGTCAGCTTTCATCCAATCGGCCAAACCTTCCGGTAGGCATAAAATCATGGCATAAGATGTGAAACATCTACCAAGACTCAAACTCTACCGTCCCATCATTGTAGGTGCGCTTGAAGTGCGGCTGGCCGTTGATCTCGCAGTACTCCTCAGCAATCACAACTGGTGCACGAAGCACTTGTCGTGGAGGTTCTGCTGCAGCAGCTGATCCAGAGGCTGCTTGGGCAGGGTCGCCTGCAGCAGGAGTTGTGTCAGGCACAGGCGTCGCTGTTGAAGGTGGCCGCACTGGCTCCGGAGGAGCTGCCGAGGAGCTTGATGCTGTAGATCTTCCCCAAGGATCAGCAGTCCAACCTCTGCCAGAGTAGCCCTGATTCCAATTCCAGCTTTGCCATTGGGCCTGCCCTCCCGAGCGGCTTGAGTAAGATCCATACGAACCCCACTGTTGCCCTCGGCTCCATCCACTGCGGCACTCAAAGGATTTGTGGCCATACTGACCGCACTTCCAGCATTCAATGGCCTGCTGAAAGATTGGACGCTGTTGTTGACCATAACCCTTGCCCTTGCCCTTGGCTGGCTTCTGAATCGGGTCAAAGTGACGCCGGTATCCTTCTCGCCCTTCGCCAGTACCCGTCTTGGAGGACCTTGCCAATGGAAAATCAGCCACATCTGATGCAGTGGCTTCATCCACGAAGGAGTGTTCTTCACCCTTGATGTTATTGTATTGTTCCTTCCACTGCCTCTTCGCAAAATCGACGAGGTCGAAGAAACAATCTTGGGCTGACCCTTGATCCACAGGCATCATGGAGCCAGACCAACCAAATAACATCGGCGTGGGTTCCCCCCTCGCTTTCAGCAAGTCCGCAGCAAGAACAGCAAATTGTGGGAGTGTAAAAACTCGTGCATGATGCGCAACCATGGCTTCCTTTGTAACGTCCAACGGAAGTCGGATGTCTCTGTTGAAGTCTGGCATGAAAATCAAACGAGTGCTGACACCTGTTCCCAGTTGCTTTTCTCGCTTTTCTCGGGTACGGCCGACATCAGGGGCAATGCATTTTGCCAAATCCTCCAAAAATTGGCAACAGTCGGGGGTAATCTGGCCGACCGCATTGTTGAACAAATAAAATGGGTCCTTCTCCATGCGGTCCTGGATCGATTTGAAGCCGAGCTTTGTGTATCTTCCCGCATGCGTTTGAGCAGCGTCCTTGAGATTTCCGAAATTGCTTCGTCCAGCTCGACGTTGATCTGCTCGGGTGCGGTCGGAGACTCGCTGAGCTCGAGGCTGCTTCTCAAAATCGATTTTGTCCAGAGAAAACACCTTGTTGGTCTTCTTGGCCGAGATTTCCATCCGGCATACCTCTGTCGCAATTCTTCCATCCGACCAAGCAATCAGCCATTTGAAGCACGACTGACACTTGTGGGTGCCCTCAATGTTCAACTCGCCGCAGAAGTGGCATCTGACCTGCTGCATCTCAATCTTTGAGCTGTAGATGTAATCCTCAGCATTGGTTGAGCGCTGGGCCTGCCCTCCCGGGCGGCTTCCTTTCCCTTTGCCTTTTCCTCGGCCCTTGCCTTTGCGAATGGTCTCGGCATTGGACAAGGCACCAAAGGAGGCCATCTTCAACGTCACTTTGTCCTCAAAGGGTCCTGAAGTTCCTTCACGTCGACGAAGAAGTGGGGGAAGCTCTTCCGGAGAATCGGTCACCTGCATCTGGCCGGGTCAAATGGACTTGCCGCTCATGAGGTAGGCCTTCAAACTGTCCCTGGCGTTGGCATACGGGCTCTTTGACAGTGCCTCTCTCTTCGGAGTGTCCTGGTCCTTGTGGGTCTTCATTTTGTTGTTGTACCCCACACGCGTGATCTCGTAGGGGCGATTCACCCAGGCAAACTCCCTGTTGACAGCATCATAGGTGCATATGATGTTCTCGTTGGAGATCCAGTCAGGGCTTATGATTGCTTCGTCTGTACGAAACAATCGGCAGCCGCTTTGGACGATGAGCTCGGTGTCAAAGGCAATATAGTATTGCTTCCCGGCTCGCGTTCCCGCGAGCTTTCTGCCACCGACTGAATCATCCCATGGATGTGACGCAATAAAGAAATTATGCGCCCTTCCTGTTCTTTGGGGCCAGCCGCCTGGGATGAGGCCATGTTCAACTATCTTGTCCATAACGAGCCTGTCGCAGCTATGGTAGATAACCCTTGGAAGTGCAGCCAGCATCTCCGGCACAAGGTCTGGACGAAGATTTGTCCTTGGCAACTTGGGCGTGTCGAGGTCGGCCTTGGTAAAGGTTGGATCCAAAGTAAACACTTCCTTCACCAGCGATGAAATTTTGGCATTTTCCACCACTGCACGGTTGTGTCCTTGGACAGCTCTGATGGCGACAACCTTCCATGGCAAACCCTTCCAGGTTGCATCAGGCAAATCGGGCTGAGCCACTTTCACCTGAAAGCGCCTGGTGTCACTGTTGCGCACGATGGACAGGACCTCACTGATCTTCGGGTAGGAGACGTAGTGGGCCATCGTCTTCATCACCGCCTCGAAATCCATCGAAAGATCCATGGGATCGATGTCTGGGCTGCGAGCACCATAGCTCAATGCGTGCCCCCTGAGAACATAAGATAACTTTGTGGAAAGAAATCTCAGTCTCCCTTGGCCGCAATACTCCTTGGGAATCCTGTTGATCATGTCATTGGGGTCCAACCATACTGATCCCTCTTGGCGTTCCGTCGCTTCTTCCAACTTGCGAAGGGCTGCATCAGCTTCGACACTGAGTCGTGGCGCTTTCTGTCTTGGCTGTGCTTTTGACTCTGGTGCCTTTTGCTTTTCACTCTTCGGCATTTTCTTTTCGGCCGGCTTTCCAACTGGCTTGTCAACCTCCACCTTCTT